CATCCTTTAATTTATCTTTCATGAATATAAAGTGTGATGTTATCAGGAGCCATCCATGCCTTAATTCTGCTTGAGACTGGATGAAGCAGAAATCTATGAACATTCCTTCTGAGTCAGCAAGGACAAGGGCCCAAGGCGACAGTCTCACCTGCTCTGGGGTCTTTCATCGCGCCACCGTGGTGACACCGTCAGGACCCTCTGCATGGAACACTCAGCCGCTCTGAGGTGCTTAAGGAGGTGCCAGGGAGTTCTTTCATCTCCACCACTGTCTTTGGGGATTCATCTTCCCCATTTGATAAAACATCCTGTGACTCAGCCCATCCCCAAAGTTACCCTTTGTTTGATCAAGATAGTTGGTTTGCAACACATTAAACATTAAACAGTATTGGATGCCTAGTTAATAATTTGCATTCTCTTCATTGGTTCCTGAATCCTTGGAGACTGACATTTTCTCCCCCTCAAGGCAAACACAGCAAAACGGGAGGTCTTCCACCAGCCAGATGTGTGCCAGAATAAGCCCTCTCCATGGCCTGCTGTTAGTGGTCCTGGTGGGAAAGACAGCTAACGGGGTAAGTGTCCTTTCCAAACATGGAGAGTTGAAAGACGCTGTGGTTATTGGGAGGACCGACCCGCAGGGTTGGCAGCCACCAGAGATGGCAGGAGAGAGAGAGAGGCCGATGTGTCTGGTCAAGAATGTTCCAATTCCCAGAGCTCGCCAAAGCGTGGTGCGACAGCTGCTGTTGAGCAGCCACTGCCTGGGTGACAAGCACCTGACTTGAGCCCTCTTGGACCAAGGCCTCCAAGAATGTGCCCCAGTAAAGGGGACTGGGGAGGGAGAGCCCATGGAGGCATCAGTTGTGATCTGGTACGAATCTCAGAGATCCTTGGAGCGGTCATTGGTGGCTACACACCTTCTCTGAGTAAAAATATTCCAACATGCCTTTGCTGGTGCACACACCCAGCTTTCCAGTCGTTTGGGACAAGCACTAGGCTAAAGACTCCTGTGTCAGGACCTCAGAAGGGAATATCACCCAGGGCGGGTAAATGATCTTGACAATGGGCTTGCTTAGGTAAAAAGTACATTTGGGGACAAGCTGGGGACGGGAGGGTCAGGACTTTTTTCTCCTTTCTCCCCTGACCAATCTAGTTTGGGTGGAACAGGTGATCAGGGGCCCAAGGGACAGTACCATCAAAGGAGCGTGAGATATGACAGTCAAAACCTTTAGGGGTGGGTGGCAAGGAGGTTCTGCAATGTCACCTGCTATTGTGTATTCGTGTGACCTGGCACTTTGCAGGTACTGGGGCAGGGGAGCTGGGTAAAAGCCTTTTTTTTTTTAGCGTGATGCCTCCTCGGAACTCCCGCCTGGCTGTTGGCAGGAGCACAAATGTGGGTTTGGGAGCCAGAGTTTGAATCTCCTCTTTGCCCTGCTCCAGCTGTGCAACGTTGGGCAGCTTCTACCATGTCTCTGAACTGTACTGTTTTCTGCAAGGCCCAGTGTGAGAGGAAGATCTTGGCTAAATGAGGCCATGCCCGTGGCTCTCAGGAAGTGGGATCCTTTTCCTCTTACTGTTCCCAGACTGAATGCAGCTTCCCTAAACATCAGAGTGACACTCGAGTGCCAGGGGATGAGAGGGTCAAGGACAGTTATAATCCTTTTATCAAACAGCTTTGCAATTTATTTCCCAACTCCATCGACAGAGCAGATCCTGCAGGAAGGCGACAAACTGACAGGTGCTCAGATGAGCCTGGTTTGAAAACAACAGTCTCTGCTTCCCTTTGGATAAACTGGGCTCACACACCTGTCTTAGTCCCAAATTCAGCTGCCAAGTGACTCGTGTGTGTGTGTCTGCAATGACAGACTGTTCTCGGACCTCCTACATGATGTGACTGCCTTTTGGATGTCTGAGGAAGTCCCCCAGGCCCAAGGGGGAGGCAGTGGAAGCCATCAGAGGTCTGTGAAAGGTCCAGAGAAAGTGCCAGGTGCAAGGAATTATACACTCCAGTTTGCAGGCAAAGGGAAGGGTTGGCCGCAGTCTGTTTGAAGTTCACAAGAGGATAATGGTTCCTGGAAAAAAAAATTTTTTTTTTTAATCCCCTGCAAGCCCCAGTGACTTTTTAGGGTTAGCAATGAAATTACAGGTCAATAGTAGATAAAAGAGAGGTGATGTGTAATAGAGCCTTCAGGCGGAGAGCACAGTCAGTTGCAGGAGAGAGGACTCCAGGCTTTGGAATGGTTTTGAGCCCAGATGTATGCTAGACTGGTGGCTGGGAAGGCAGGTGTGTTCCGTGGGCTGGCACGTGTACGTCAGGGCACAGTGGTCACGTGGTCCAAATGCTTTGGAGCATCTGAGGCACCATCCATGGACAGAGAAGCCCCACACAGCAGGTGGGGGCTCCCACTCTCATGTGGCACGGCCTGCCATTTGTCCTGAGTGGCTCTTGGGGGGGGGGGGGTGCTAGGCCCCAAGCTTTCGGCAGGTTGGTTCATCTTGGGAAAGGCTCTAGAAAGCCAGTGCTGTGCTTACTGCCACTTTACTGCTACCAAGGCAAACCGCTGTGCTGGCCGGGGCAGAGCCGAGCTTAGAGTAACAGGCTAAGGTCTGGCTAGTTAAGGAGCATCAGGGGTAAGGCCATGGCTAACAATGCTATCACCTTATATTTGGGGGCATGGTCCTTCCTGCCAGGGCCAGGAGGTTCTGGGGTCAGGGTGTGCTAGCTGCGCAATACGTAACATACTCTTCATGTGCCAAACCTAAGCAAAGCCAGTGGTACCATCGGAAATGGCCCGTGCTCTATGCTTGCTCTCCATGGGAAAGACACCCGAAGACTCAGCCATGAATGCTGATCCTGCAGCAAGCATGGAAGACCCCCTTTTTGGGGTCCCCTTTAATTCAGATGATCAATAAGGTGATAGGGGTAGATATGGATCCAATGCTGTTGCTGGGATCACCAGGCCGTCTTCCACAGTGCCTTCCGGTTCTGGTGTCCGTGTTTTTTTTTTTTTTCACCTGGCACTTGGAAGCACCTGTCCCCAGCACAGTCCTGCCCCCTTATTCCTGCTTTCCAGATCAGAAACAAAGCCCAGAGACGTTTAATGGTCAAGCCTGCACAGGTCCCAGGTCTGCCCAATTCCTTGTCCATCATGGGAGACACACATACTGTCTTTGAAACCTCTTCTTGCTCTGGTTTTTACAGTGACTTAGGATTCAATCCATCCCTGGTGGAATGAAATGTGACCAGTTCCAGGGTCAGAAACTAGAGCACACAGTTTATAGGTCCTGCCCTGTTTCTCTCCGCTGGTCCCCAGAGACAGGGAAGACGGCAGCTTCTCCTCTCCTTGACAATGAAGATGTTCGTTTGCTCCCATTTCTAAGCTGTCTAAGCCTTAGAACTCTAGTATCTTCCGATGGCTCTGAGAACATTCTGTGGTTTCTATTTGGCAGGCAGAAGTCAGCCTGGAGAGCATTTTAGTTTTATTCACCTGGCAACAATTGAATTCTGGCACCTTTCGGGCAAAGATTAGATTTCCAACTTTTCTTAAAAATCTCACATCCAGGTGAAAGAGGCTTACATTCTTGCATGGCCACCGCAAGCTACAGTCCCTGAGCCCACGTGGCCGCCATTCTCCGGAAACCCTTTCATCTAATTGTCTGCCAGGAGACAGAGGGGAGAGCGAGTGAGTGGGCACGGGTCTGGGTATTGCTCTGAAACACCATGGAAGGCAGTTTGGGGTGGGCAAGGAACCAGGCTCCACCAGTGATTAACGCAAGCACTCCAAATCTGAGACCCCAGTACCAAACAAAGAGCTGTAAGCCATCCTGTAGCGCCTTGGAGAGCCAGAATGTTACTGTCAGGCCTGGGTGAAATAAGAGGAGGGCAGGAGGAGATCTTAGGACCAGAAACTGTCCCTCTTGCTGTGTAACCCGCCCAGCTTTCTGGAAAATGGAGGGATTGAATTTCACTATCATGTCTCATAGATTAAAAACAAAACAAAACAAAAAACAGCAACAACAACAACAATAAAAAACGCCACTGCTCCTGAGCAGGGGCCCTCCTCATTAACTTTGTCAGGGTGTGCTGCTATTTAAGGGACTCAGGTGGCGGGAAGTCGTGTGCGTGTATAGGCTCAGAAGTATTTATAGTTTAAATTCATTAGGGTTTCCCACTGCCACAGTGCAACAGCATGGCAGAATATTTGGCAGCCGGCATTTTAAATAAAACATGCTTTTTTCTTCATAATTAATATAACAAGGTTTCCTGGCTTAAGACTTGGCAAAGATCCCAGGAAAGATTTAGGGGGGAGGGGAAAGGGGCTGGCAGGATGAGCCTGTGACCCTGATGCACCAGTTGCAGAAGACTTTGTGCAGAATTGAGCCAGCTCTCTCCTGGGCCAGCCCCTCCCCCCAGGGTACACGCAGAGATTTGCAACAAACAAACAGAACAACAACAAAAAAGTCCCAAACTCACCGCAGCAGGAGTTAATAACAGTATCAACAACAATAGTGAGGGAGCAGCAATTACTATGTCTTGGCCCTGGGTGCTTGCTGTTTGTTATCTCATTTAGGCACCTCAGAGGGCCTTGGAAGTAGTGACCTTTTGTGGATAACAAACTAGAGAAGTTAAGTGATCTCTCAAGTTGGGTCCATATAATCCACCCGCCTTCCGCCAGCTTTCAAGCGCATAGGCACTGTGGTGTAGACCAGTGTGCCAGGCACTGCCCAGAGGCAACTGACACTGCTCAGCGTGGGGTCAGCAGGGTGGCAGCCTGAGTCAGCTACAGCAGGAGTTGAAGTCACAGCCATCCCTGGGGCTCCCTCCATGCACCCTGTGTGTCACATGTTGCCAAGCAGCCAATGAACCAGTCCGAGGCTCTCATAACTTTAGCTGTAAGTGTATCCAACTTCCACAACTTTGTCAAAGCCTAAAGTGGTTTCCTAATATTGTCATCAATCAGACTCTTCTCTCTCCTGAAGGAAAGCGTTACTGCCGTCGCTGGGCGATGGCAGAACACGGGGATGCTGCTGAAGTCTGGCTGCTGCGGGTATGCGGCGGCTCTTTCTCCGGGTTAGGAGCAGGTCAGGGAGAGGAGGAGGATGGAGATGGGCTGCACCATCCGCATCTTCCCCGTGCTGGGACTAGGCAGGAGGATGCTAAACCAGAGAAGGACACGACTACCTTGGGCTGTGTTTCACTGCTTGTTCCCACTGACTGGGCACCTCCAAGATAAACCCAGGTGCCAGCCATGGCCCTTGTGACGCCTGGAAGGTTCAGAAGTGAAGGCAGCCTCCCAGGAAGGGGGCAGTAGTGCTGGACGCCAGAGGTGGCTTTTCTGTGTTGAAGCCCTGAGCCAGGAAGGCAAAGGTGGGCTTCATGCAGTGTAGTGGGCACACTGCTTACCTGCTTTTTCCAAGAGTCTCCCCGTGCACTGCCTTGTACAGAAATGAGCATTGGGTTTCTTCAGCCTTTCTCTCTCACCTTCACCCTCCAGCATTCCAGGATACTTTGCCCTAAGTCCCCAGGGTGGGCCTGGGGGCAGTGGATGTGCAATGCGAGGTCTTACCAGGCACTGTCCTTTGGAGTAACTCATTACAAACGCTGTACAATAGTCAAGTTCCCCTGAATAAAACAGCAGGTGGGGAAGGCAACTCTTACTTACACATTGGGGAAACCGAACGGAACTAGTCAACAACTTTACACAAGAGCAAAGCCGGGGGTTTCCCAGGGAACTTTTCCCTCCTTTGCCCCGAGCAAAGTCAAGACTAACCTGCCAATCTCCGGACAGCACTAAGCAACTGGAGTGCTACTGCAAGGGAAAGCATGGCTCCTCGTGCCTGGCAAGAACAAAATGGCACAGCTTAGGATGAGGAGGAGGTAAACAAGTTGGCACTCTGGGGCATTATTGGTGGGAATCCAAAAATGGTGTGGTGCTGCGCCATGTGGCAGTTCCTGAAGACTTTAAATACAGAATTCCAGAAATCTCATGTCTTACTAAGCACCCGAAGAACTGAAAGCGAGGACCCACACAGCTTTCTGCACGCCGACAGCCATTGCAGCTTTCCACACAATAGCCGAGGAGCACACCCCCTCAGGCCTATTAACCGATGGGCACACAAATGCAATGTAGTAGATACACAGGTGGTGATGAAAGAGAAAAACATACAGTGGAATACGATTCAGCCCATAAAACGGAAGGGATGTTTGAGACAGGCTTGTATAGGGTTGGACTTTGAAGACAGAAGTAGGGAATTGTGACACAACAGGGCATCTCTCGTGAGGTCTGATTGATGTGTGGGGTACACGGAAGAAGCAAATTCTGAGATAAAGGGCAGCAGCAGCTTGGAGGTGAGCGATTGTTCAGCTGGCACAGTTTCTAGTGGGGATGGTGAAAAAGTTTTGAATATAGAGTGGCAATGGTGATACAACACGGTGAATGTCATTGGTTGGTGCCACTGAACGCTAAACTTACAAATTGTTAAAGTGATACATGCTATGTGCCTTTTATCACCATTTTTTAAAAAAGCATTGTGAGTGACTTGGCACAACCATTCCCCAGATGACAAAGTTTGTGTCTGCAGCAGGAGGGCATGCGACGGGATTTGGCTGGGCTGGTTCCCTGGATTCTTGTAACCTCTGACCTCTGTCATCTGGACCTGCCCCCACTTGCTATGGCCTTGTGTGCCTGGTCCCACTCAAGGACTGGGCCCACTGTGCAGCACACACTTGGTCCTGGCATGCATGTTTCTCCTGCCCAGCCCTCCTTGGGAGTCCTGATCCCTCCCTGGTGGGGTCTGCCACCAGGCGGTGGCAGGTCAGCGGGGAGGAAGGGGTACCTGGGATCACAGCTCAAACCTTCCACCTGCTCCGAAAGATTCCTCCACGTGGGTTTATTGGCAGCCACGCCTCTGGCCCCATGAGACACGCTTTACCCCTGCACCCCACCCCCACTTCCTCTTCCCTACCTCACTGTGCCCTGAGAGCAGGCTCCATAAACTCATTCCTGGAACACATGAACTCGAACTTTCAACCCCAGCCTTTATTTTTGTTTGGCTTTCCAGAGCGGCAGAATGAAACAGGCCGTGGGTTACAGAGTGAAACAGCAGAGGAGGCCTTGACCTTCCCCAGTGTACACGGTGTACCCCAGAGCTATGCTGCAGCCGTAGGACGCTTCGGGGGCCACCCTCTGCGGGAGCCCCGCTGCAAGTGGAGGCAGAGGAGTAGAAGTGGACAGAGTGGAAGCGGTCAGTGGTCCGCGTCCCTTTGCCTCTGCCTTGAGCTGTGCTTGCCACAGTGGGCTGGCCAACGCTGCACCTGACTTTCATCCTTTCTGTCACTAGGGCCAAGCAGCCCTGGCTGTGGCCCGTTTGGACAGGGCTTCCAGAAAGCCCTGATCCTTTAACCTAGTTCTATACCCTGCCTCTCTGCTAAAGAGGGAGCTCTTCAGTTGCTTTCTGCAGTACTTTTCCTTTTTATGATTATTTCTAAGGAAGGCAGAGTTGCAGAGAAGGGGAGAGGGACCTTTCATCTACTGGTTCACTCTCCAAGTGTTTGCAGTAAATAGGGCTGGACCAGTCCGAAGCCAGAAGCCCAGATCTCCATCTGAATCTCGCACTTAAACAGCAGGGGCCGTCCTCCGCTGCTTCCCCAGGCACACCGGCAAGGAACTGGATCATAAACAGAGCAGCTGGGACTGGACTCGGTGCTCCAGCATGAGACGCCAGCGCAGGGGTGTTTACCACTGGCCCACGACACCTGCCATTTGTCTGCTACCACGTAGGCCATGCATGGGTGACTGAGGGCAAGGACTCTGAAGTGGCAGCGGCTGTTACATCCTGCCAACAGCATTTCCCCGTTGAGCTTCTTGGGGGCACCATCGTCTCCGCATCTCAGTTTTCTCCCCTCTAAAATGGACACAGTCTGAGCACCTAAAGGCTCGGGTGTTTGTGAGCAACCAGCAAAACTAAGTACATCGGAACCACCTGCACAGGCCTCAGCTATGTGGCTGAGGCCAGGCCACAGCTCCTGCCTCCCTGTTGCTCCTGCGGCTCCTCCCCTTCTTCCTCCTCTTTCTGAACATCCTCTTCAGATCTGCTGAGTGGCCCGAAGCATGCATGCCTGCACCTGTGCTCCCACCACGGGCGCCAGCGTCCAGGTCAATGTCAGGAACTCAGATGAGCACGGGCTCTGGCCTTGGCATGCTCCCTGTGGTCCAGATACCCATCCCCGAGGCTGGGCCTGCGCACAGCATCCCAGCTTCCTGTCGGACGGCAGCAGTGGGTCCCGAAGCACAACTGACTTCATGCTTCGCTGACAGAGCCAGTGGGGCTAGAGGGGCCAGACCAGACCGGAATTTCCGGTGGCTGGTTTTGTTTAAGTTTTCCTCCGGCGCAGTCCCTCGAAAGGGCACGTCTGCCACCTGGTGGCCATGAGCAGAAAGGCAGCAGCCTGTCCCCCAGGCTCAGCTAGAGCCAGGACTTGGGGCTCCCTTTTTGGAGCGGGTCGTGGAGAGCTGTGTCCTTCTGGGAAGGATGTGCCCCAATACCTGCTTGGTGTCCTGCCCCCTTTTTAAGTCTGACAGTGGCCAAGTTCACCCAGCTCAAATTTAGGACTTCAGCTCTGGGTGGAGACAGGGAGGGACAGGCCATGTCCTCCAAGCAAGTTCAAGGGGAGAAGGGGAGGCAGGCCCCAAGGCCCAGGTGAATGACCGTCACTGTCGTGCCTCTGCCAGGATGCCCACCATCACTCCCATCTTCGCACCGCCAACCCCAACGTTGCCCCACAGAAGCAGGGCTGGGTGTGGGCACATGGGGACAGCCTGCCTCCCATCCCTTCTTTTGCAGGGCTTCTCCTCCACTGATCGTAATATTTCAGGCTTATAGAAAAGCAGGAAGCAGAATACAGTGATGTTATCGACCCAGAGACCACAGTGCTGCACCCTTGCCATGTCTGCATGCGTTCTGCTCCCCGTGTACGCGGTGATGCGTTGGTTTGCTGAATGGTTTTTTTTTTTTTTCACACCAAGAGTAGACTAGGAATGCTCTAGTGTGCATAGCTTCAGAGTAAGTCCATTTTCCTCAGGACCAACACACGTCGTCCGCTCTCATGAATCCCAGCACAGGGGCTGACATCATGGTTATGGGTTAAGTTGCTGCTTGCAGTGTTGTGCCCGTGCCACCGTGCTCCTGCGTGCAGCAGGCGAGTCACACTCGTCCCTGCTCAATGCCAAAAGCCAAGCCACAACGCCAGCCCAGGGTTGGAGGCCTCCAGAAACAGAGGCACCGCCTGCAGCACCAGTGCCAGCTGCCACCTTGAGAGAGCAGCCAGTGGCTTCAAGCCATGGGGGCTGTGATGCCCTCAGCTCAGCCTTGCCCCTGGCTCACCTGTGCCCTGCTCTCTGCTCTTTTGTTTTGCAGTTCTCCTTGACATCTTTTCTGGACGACCTGGACCCCGGTGAGTGTGCTCATCCCCCTTCTCCCGTGGGGGGTGAGGGAGGCTTCTCAGCAACCATGCTCAGGTTCTGAGCCAGAAGTAAAGTGGGGAGAGGGAGGGGAAGGGAAAGAGAAAAGCCCAAGAACTAAAGTGTTGGAGGGATTCAGGTTCTGCTGGTTCAGGATGTCCCATGCGCCTTGGAGGATTTGCCCAGAAATGATGCGCCTATACAATGCTTTACGCACATTCCCACTAACCATAGATAGCCCCAAGACTGAGCCTCATTGTCCCAGGTAAAGAACTACACTGCCTCAACAGAGAAGGAAACGGGAGCCCAGAGAGGGGCGAGACCTGTTCCTGACCCCATGTGCATGAAGGAGATGAAAGACAGAGGCCAGGGGGCACTGGCTGGCCCCTGGCCACCTGCACCTTCATGGTGATGCCTCCTCTGCTGTGTCCAGGCTCACTTCCCCAGGCTCTGCCGACCAGCCCCCAAGGCCCTGCCCTTCCAGTTTCCTCTGTGTGGAACCCCAGCCCTGGCTGCTGCTTCCTAGCCCATTGTCTACTTGTGGTCTCTGGCCCAGGCTCCAAGCCTCCCTCAGCTGCCCTTCCCAGCTCCGTCAGGCTGCAGGCCGGCCTTTGCCAGGCATGGACACCTGCCCTGCTCACTGATGGAGGAGTGGGGCAGGCCCACAGCGTATGGAGGCTATAGTCCCTTCCAAAACTCAGTTCCCGGACTGACTCGGAACACAGACAGCAGTTGCTGGGGTGACTTAGGTTTGCAAAGTCCCGCTCAGAAATGAGCATGACCTGTGGAGTCTGCAGAGAATTGGTGTATTTCCCCAAAGAAAAAGCAGGAAGCAGCAGAGTGCAGTGCAGTAACCCAGAGTGCAGGGCTCCTGGCTGATGGCTACACAGCAGCCACCTGCCTCACTGCCCGGGTCCCAGCAGCAAAGCCCAGGGTCTAGCCAAGCTGCCCCTGCTCCAGGTGGGAGCACACAGGGCTCAGGGTTTGGGAGAGGGGCTTCTCGGGTCCGGCCGTCAGGGAGGCCAAGAGTGAAACAGCAGAAGAGATAGGTGTGTGTTAGCACAGGGTTAGATCTGTCCCCAGGGTGCGGTGGAGCAGCCTCACCCAGACCTCTAGGGTGACTTTGTGGGCATGGAGAAGTGCTTTTACTTCAAGACCCTCCACTGTCATATGCTAGAAAGTTGCAAAAAAAAAAAAAAAAAAAAAGACAACATGATCACGACACCGTGAAGTTGTGCAGTGAACAACCTGAACCACTGTCAGCATTGGGGCTACCCAACAGAGACCCCAGCAACTGGGCTGGGTTTACACTATGTGTCCTGAAGATTCAGGGCTGTAATGGTACAGCTCAGAGGGGCGATGGGGACAAATGTGATGTGCCCACGGAAAGAGCTTTCAAATTGTCCAAAAATCTGAATGGACCCTTGGGCTCTGGGGAGAGGTTGAGCTTGCCATCACTGGAAGTATTTAACACTGGCTGGGGAACTGACACAGCACGGGGAACATCTTGGGGAAAGGGGTTCCTCATGAACTCTGCTCCCAATGGCATGGTGACATGGAGAGTTCGGGATGGACTGGCCCTTGGCCCCGGGTTCCCTCTGGAATGTGCTGTGTGAGCCTTCCTCATTAGACCAGGCTCACGTGGAGTGCTTCAGCCCCTCCAGCATGGGTAGGTTGAAGGGTTTTTGTGTGTTTTTATTTATTTATTTATTTTATTTTTGTGCAAAAGGCAGATTTACAGAGAGGAGAGACAGAGATAGAGAGATCTTTCATTTGCTGATTTACTCCCCAAGTGGCTGCAATGGTTGCAGCTGGGTCTATCCAAAATCAGGAATCAGAAGCCTCATCTGGGTCTCCTATGTGGGTGCAGGATCCCAAGAACTTGGCCCATTTTCTGCTGTTTTCCCAGGCCATTAGCAGGGAGCTGGAAGTAGAAAGGGCCAGGATTTGAACTGGTGTGCATATGGGATGCTGGCACTGCAGGAGAAAGCTTAGCCTGCTGTGCCATGGAGCTAGCCCTGGATGGGTTGAGCTTTAAGACTGTCCCTGCGGGTGTCTGATCAAATCCCCCAGGAAGGTTGTGCTGTAATGGGATTTGTCACATTTGCCTTTTCAGCAGTGTTTGGGGACAGAAACCACTCATGGGGTATGGCATTTCTGGTGTCGATCTTGCTGGAGAGCCTGGCAAGGGGCTGACTGCTGCAGAAAGTCCCTAGTTGGCAGCGGGTGGCAGAGGAGGTGGCCATCAAAGGGGGAAGGCTCTGCCCGTGTCCCCAAAGCAGGTGACATGGCAGCCAGCAGGCTTGGCGATGTGCCTCTGCCCAGCAGCTGGGCCCAGCCCATCCATCAGCTGTCCTGCCGCCTGCCAGCGAGGCTCTCTGCTGGGCTTACGCCGTCAGCCAGATTGGAGGCATCAAGTGTGGGGTGACAGCGCTAGGGCTCCGGGGAGGCCTCTGGAGGGGCCGTCTGTGCCACGGTGATGGATGACGCCAACAGGGACGACATTCCGGGGATTTTCATTCCGTTCCACACATCTGGCAAGCTCTTTAGCCTGAACAGCTGCAAACCCCCTCACGAGGACTCTGAGTTGCTGGGAGAGACCTTGAACGTGGCCCGTGGTAATCCTAGCCCAGGGACCCGGAGCCTATGTGAGAGATGACTTCGCAATGTGTGTTACTTCCGGCAGGTCAAACCCATGCGATTTCTGGAAACACAAGCCCACAAGATGTTTCCCAACTCTTTAAAAGGCAAAGATGACACAGAGTCAGAGGCCTGAGTTGGGATACCTTGGTTTTTTGGCACATCTGGGATTGTTTGTCGGTCAATAAGATTGCGTGCAACCACATTCACTTGGTAGCTCCTCTATACAAAGAAAATGCTGCGGAGACAGGTCTTGTTGCAGTTGTTGGGGTACAGCTTGGGACCCCTACATCCCTCCTCAGAGTACGTGTTTCAGTTCCAGCTCCATTCCTACTTCCAGCCTCCTGCTCACCCACACCCTGGGAGGCAGCAGGTGACAGTGCGAGGACTTGGGTCCCTGCTCCCTTCATGGGGAATCAGGGCTGAATTCCAGGATCCTGGATTTAGGGAGTGAGCCAGTGGATACAAGATCTCTGGGCCTGTCTTTCTGCCCTTGACATGAATGTGTGTGTGTGTGTGTGTGTGTGTGTGAGAGAGAGAGAGAGAGAGAGAGAGAGAGAGAGAGAGAGAGAGAAGGTAGGGAGGGAGAGAAAGAGGGCAGAGGAGATGAGAGGGGAAGGGAGGAGAGAAGAGGAGAGAAAAAGGAAGGAAGGGAGGGAGGAAGGAAGGATAAGAAAAATGAATCCATAATCGCCCATTTCTAGGAGTGTTTGGGTTAGCTGGGAGTTTTCTCACCATTGTTCCTTGCCATTTTGAGAAACAGTATGACCAGTAGAGACACTCAACAGACTTTATCTTCCACCTGCTGTAAAATGCTTCTAGCAGCACCTCTCTGTCCCCCGCGCCCACCCCTCCTCCATAGTCCCGAGCAAGTCTCAGGTCATCTGTCTTGAAGTCCATTGCATCTTCCTGCTGTTGGTTGGTGATAACCATGTGCATGTTAGGCTGCCAACCCTCTCCACCTAGGAAAGTATCTGGAGAAGTTTCCTTCTGTCCACACAGCTCAGCAGGCATTTTCCTCCCTAAGTACCTGAGACTCAAATCTCACCAGGTTTCTTGACTAATGCTCCATTTGCTCTGCTTCAAGCAGATGCCAACAGCCTGTGGACTGTGTGCTGGCCAATCAGAAGGTTGGGAGGCTTGGGCACAGAGAGGAACACCTGTCAGACCTAGGAGGCTTCGAAAAGTGCATGGATAAGTCACTTTATCTCATGTATGTATCGGAAGGGCAGAGAGATGTAAAGAAAGTAGAGGGGGAGAGAGAGAAAAAGAGAAAGCTCCCAGTTACTGGTTTGCTCTGCAAATTCCTGCCATGGCCCCAGGCCAGAAGCTGAAGCTGGGAGCCAGGAACTCAGTCCAGGTCATGTGACAGCAGGAACCCAACCACCTAAGCCATCATTGCTGCCTCTTGGGGTCAGCATTAAGACAAAGCTGGTTGGGAACCAGAGTCTGAACTCTCACCCAGGCACTCTGCCTTGCGATACAGGCTTTCTAACATGAGACAGCTGTCCCATATTACCTTTGAATTCCACTTTCCATGAACTTTTTGAAGCCTACTCATAGGGTAGCTGCATATAATCATCTGCTTTGGCCTTGTGGGGTATAAAGAGGAATAGAAACGACCCTTACGTTTAAGAAGACAATTGTCTCAAAGGAAACAAAGCCAAGAAACCAAACTACAAACACCCTAAGGCAGGTGCCACCGGAAGCCAGTCACCACAGCTGAACTCTGCAGCTTAACCAGAGTTCAAAAATCTTTATCTCACCAGAAAGTTAGTATCGGTGGAGCCATACGTGTCTATTGCTAAGGCAGAATACCCTGCCCTGACTCAGTGGCCTGACCATCTTAATTCTATGGGTTGGTGATTTAGACTGTACTCAGCTTGGTGATTCTCCTGGTCCAAAGCAGGCTCTAGTATTGTGACTGGGCCTCCTCTTGTGTCTGCAGTCAGCTGGCAGATTGGCCAGAGTTTCATTCTGCTGTTCTTGGCTGGACTTTCTCATCGGTTTCAGGTCCATAGCTGGGACTACTGGGCCTGTTATTGGACCGTGTGTTTCCTCAAGCTCTTGCATAACAAGCCAGACTGTTCAAATAGTAGTCTCAGGGGCCCTGGAGAGAAAGAGAGAAAAAGCAAGCACACAATAGAGAAAAGACAGAGGATTGTCTATCTGCTGGTTCACCTCCCAAGCGCCTGCAACATCCATGGAGGCTAAAACCTGCCAAACCAGCAGCCTAGAACACAGCCCAAGTCTCCCTTGTGTGTAGCAGAGAGGCATGCGCTTGAGCTATCCACCTGCTGCCTTCCAGGGTTCACATAAGTCAGATAGAGCCAGAGTTTGAACCAGGCACTGTGATGTGGGATGCAGACAACCCAAGAAGGCTTCTTAACCAGGAAGGGAATGTCTATCCCTACAAAAGACTTCCAGAAGCCTGGCTTGAGCTGACACATTGTTCTTCCACTACAAAGACAGTCCCAAGGCCACACCACTCCCAAGGGATGGGAAGCTGCAAGTTCATCCTGCAATCGGTGTGACTAGAGGAATGGGTGGAGAACTGGGGGTCCTTCCTGACCCTAGGTTGGCACATAGCAAACTAGAGTCCCACAACAGGACATGAGGCTGCTGCACGTAGGTCTGGCCATGTGCCTGTCCCTCCTCACCCATTCAATACTGATGCATCTCATTCCTTGCCTAAGGTTCTTCCCCAGGATGGAGGTTCCTCTGAGGGCAAGACTATCTCCTATATCTACTTGGAGCACCCTCTGCTGTCCACAACACCTTCTGTCTTCTGGGATAATCCTTGGTCCAGTGTGGATGCACAGTGGATGTCTCTTACACAGACAGTAATGTGAAATGCCAACATAATGGAAAAAACAAACAAGCTTAGGGCTGGAGGTGGAGAAGCTCTCCCAGCAATGCTTTTACAAGGTGCCCCTGCAAGACATGCTGCAGCCCACCCTAAATGTAAGGGGTGTTAATATCATCATCTCTTGCCTTTCCTGCAATGAATGGCTTCTGCTGTGGCGACCTGGGGCCACCAAGGCTCCACTGTTTGTATTCACCTTAATGTGAGACCCGAAGCCAACAGGAAGGACTTACTGATTAAGCGTCAAAGATTGTGTGTTTTGTTCTCTCATTAGCTTCACTGGAAAATGAGTAGATCTTAATAGAGCTGTAATCTAGTCAAAGTCCTCCCAAAGTCATTTTATCTATCTCCTTCACCTGAAAAAGTCACATTCTCCCATAAACAAGAAGACTCTTCCCCATCCCCAAGTATCTACCCATGGAGATGAAGGAAGACAGTGATTCTTAACATTGCATTAACCAGTCTGGTCCCCAACGTGTAAGCATGATGGGAGAAATTATAGGAGGAAACTATAGGACACTTATCTATAAACACCTGTTGCAAAAACAAAAATAAATTCACAGCAGAAAGAAATCACCAATGCCATCATCTCATTACCAAGCCCCATTGTGTCTCCCAAATGTCAATTTGAAATCTTTCATGTCAAACTTGGAAACAACATTTTTCCTGACTTCCTCACTCTCTTGGCTTTATCACACTAGAGATGGAAGGAAACTTGATTTGCCCAAGAAGACAATGGTCTTATCTTCAACCCAGATCCTCACCCCTGGAAAGGAGGCCTCCTCCGGGAGAATTTTCATAGCACAGGGGAAAAAGCAGCGCAGGGGAAATAATGAGCAAGCAAAGGGAGTCTTGACTTGACACTGTGATAAATGAGGTGAAACTTTGCCAAGGAGCCAGAGTTGGTGCATTCACAAAGAAATAAAAAGACAGTTCCATTTTAATGGGAAATATAAAACAGTTATTGTGAAAAGTCGATTTTTCAAAAGTCAAAGAGATAAAGACTATAACAGAATAACTGGGAGACAAGAGAGAGAGATAATGTGATTGATAATCAGGCGTGGTAAGTGGCCTGCTCACAGCACCAGCAGCCCTGCGGGAGAGTGGTTCTAAGTCAGCTCTGTCTCATTATCATATGCGCCTCTGGACAGCTCCCTTCCAGCTCCAACTTGCTAACATGCCAGGCTCGTGCCAGCTGCGGAGAGCAAATTCAATCCAACTTTCTTCAAATCCCAAACTTCTCTCCAAAGTTCATAGAGCTTCCAGCCTCTAGACTCTCTCCAGGCTAGATAACAAAGAGCTTGAGTCCAGCTTAACACACCTGGCTTTGGGTGAGGTTTACTGTAGTGGACATAACCCCACACAGACTTCTCTTTACACTAACAAGAGCCACAACCTCCTCAAGATGGACTCTGGAAGATTCCTCATTAGCAGGATGGGTAGTCAGCAGGATCAATGGACACGCTTTCCCAAGGGTAAATGTGGACATATCCTAGGCACTGTAACACTCCCACTGAAGCAGCTGAGCAAGTGGGGTCTAATGATTATAATAAGACAAATTACCTCCGCTTATTAGCTGCTATTAACTATGTGGCTTTTGACAAGTTACTTTATCACTTTGAGCCCAAGTTGCCTCTCAAAGTTGAATGAGCAATAATACAAGGAGACTTCCAAAAGTTTATGCAATTTCGTGTTATCTTTGAATTCACTTTTGCCTGCACATTTTGAGGACCCTCATAAACCTCATAGATGAAATGAGATGGGACATACAACTGTTCAGCATAGGGGCTGACATGGGCATAAATCAATACGAATTGTCATAACGATGCTGTAGATATGATTTGGGAGTCTAATATCACAACCAAAAGGAAAGTGCCACATCTCTCTGGCTTCATTAAACTAAAGGTGACAAAGTCCTGTGGAAAAAGTCATTGTAAAGTACTCAAGTGCCATTGATCCTGGTATATTCCAGAGGACCTTGGTTACCTGTAGAGTCCCAGTTCTTAGCCCATTGGTTAAAGATGTAACAACCAAGGTACCAAGGGTGCAGTTGGCTTAGCCAAGACCAGTGAGTACAAGGGCATGACTTCTCTCTATCTTAAATCAGATGCTCTTGACTCTGCGAGTGCCAACACTGCCCAATTGGCATCTCCCAATTCAAAAGTCCTGAAGTCTGACTGCCCCCCCGCCGCCACAGGGTGAAGAGCTAAAGGACACATAACTTCTATTTGAGGACTGGAAGCCTTTGGGGGAGGGCTGCTCAGTTAGATGAAATGCTGGCCTCGTTGGGGTTAATGATGAGTATTTCATCCTATTCACATCCCTGCAGATTGGACTCCTGACAATTATGACTATAGCTACGAGGATGACACCCAGACAGAGAACATGGCTGCTACATCTGCTTACCCTGAGAATCCCGACTGGTACTATGAGGAGAACGGTGGGTTACCGCATCTGATTTAAAACCCACCCACCCCCAAAAAGAGGGCTTTGTACCTGGAATGGGCTTTACCATAGGCAAGGACCACCTCTTCCTTCTCTGACCAGCATAGTAAAATGGGTATCAAAGAATTTGTTTAGGCTAACTTTCTCTGCCCGTTGAATCACACTGCGAACAATGGGGGAATTCTTAGAGACCAGCTCTTGTAACCTAAAATGACAGATGAAGTGAGACCAAGAGAGAAGCTGACTTGGCCCGGGTAACATGGCAAGTTAGTGCTTCATCTTCCAGGTCTCCGAGCATAGCAGTCATGTGCAAAGTAATTGGCAGCACTTGGATCTCTGGTTAAGTCCAAATTATGCAGAAGAGTCGGGGTTAGCTGTGAACCTCTCACGGCAGCATCACCAATTTGGCTGAAATTTTCCTCTTCTTGTGCCTTTGCTGTTTTTATTATTATTATTATTATTTCCACTCTCAGAAAGCTTCCCACTACTGTGAGGGGGGATATGTCTGTGGGGGCGGGAAGGGAGGGGAGAGCAGGAAGCGTATACTCACACATGTGTGCCTCCACCATCCTTGTTTTTGTTTTTGTCATTTGTGAACCTGGGCAATGAAACAGAAAAGAAAATCAGCAGCTGGGTCCAAGAGAAGCCATGTGGTTAAACCAGGAGAAGGCACAGGAAGCACTTAGCAGTTAAATAAAAGCGATGGAACAGTGCAAAGTGGCCTGGAAGGCAGGGCCAAGATACAGGGCACCAGGGGAACATCAGAGGGACCTTCAAAACAAGAGCCAGGCCCAGGGATCCTAGCTCCTGAACCAAAGAACAATGTGTGTGAACAGAAGGATAAAGAATTCCCCAAGGGAAGATCCATTCAGACAACCATGAAAAGCCAAAGGCACAGATGAAATATGACAAAATCTAACTGAACAAGTAGTTGAAGAAAGATGCAGGCCACTGGGTCATTCCCTCCTCGCCATCAATTCTTCTGTCACCCTCTTGCCTTTGGTCTTCTCTCCTGATCTTCAGAAAGCTTGTGCTTCATTAGGGGTGGGTTTCTTTCCCCACTCCTGACCTGCGCCCCTGGGCACTGGAAGTAGGGGAGGTCTTCAGGTTTCTGAATGCCTTCAGCATCAGACGCAGACCCCGTGGCACTCCCAGCGAGATGGGGAGGAGAAAGACACTTACGAGGGAGAGGGGAGCCTCTCGATGAGAAAGGCCCCATCGGAAGCAGACCTAGGAAAAACGGTCACAATTCCTTCTCACCTCCCCTCTTGCTAACCTGAATCCCTCCCTCTGGCCACATGGCTGCACTTGTCCTTGCTCACTAAGGAAAGCCTAGGTTTTCCCCTCTGGCTTTGTCATCATCACTCTCTTGTATGGGGGGCAGGAGCCTGCAGTGAAACAAGCAAGCAGGGACTTCTCACCAGTGCCTTCTTCTCACCCCTGACTTCTGCCCCTGTGTCTTAGATCCGTGCCAGTCCAACCCCTGTGAGCACGGAGGGGACTGCATTGTCAGAGGGAACACCTTCAAGTGCAACTGCCTGGCCCCTTTCTTTGGGAACAGGTGTCAGAATGGTGAGTGTGTTTTCATCAGATTCATTCTCCCCTCTGGGTTTAAAAAAGGGAACAGTTTCTCCTCCAGCTCTCGGAGACAGGGAGGGACTCAGCAGTCCCACAGAAAGGGCTGTCACTGCCCAGGCTGTGCCATGTGTAATGGATCCTGGTGCAGGATTCCTGGCAACAGCTCACTGACCCTTCATCTGCATACTGTGTTCACTCTACATAAGACAAGATCAAGACCAAGAGCAGGCATGAATTAGAGTGTAAGTGCGATGTACTCCATACTCGTGGATTTTGTTTTCAAGATTTTTCTACTAACTACAACAGAGAAATATTTGTCCTTGGGTGGGAAAGCAAGAAAGACTTCAGGACACACAAGCACGGCCACATCAGAGAAGGGCGGCACAGAGAGGTCATGGGACTTGCTTGTGGGCACACAGCTACTTCAGAATAGAGCCAAAACTAGACTCTTGCTGCCCGGCTTGGAGCCCCATGTTTACTCCACCAGCTGTTCTCACTGTGTCTGCTTTTAGTGAGCTCTGTGGGTAATCGTGAGGCCACAGGCTAAGGCATAAGAAACAAAACACCCCTGTGTTCATTGTGTCATGTAGAGAACTTGGATTCTGTCCTCCCTGGCAAATATCAGCTAGGTTGGGGGAGACAAAGAGGGTCCTCCCTGCAGGGCTTTGTTGCTGATTTCTTGCCTCTTTGCCTTCTTCACTTAATTCTCCAACTTTCAATGCACCGCTTTCTTCAGTGACTGTATCAGATTTGCTGGGGACAGTGGATTTAACTGGAGTATCTGGCTTCACCCTCAGTTTCTCAAAAGAATGAAAAAGCTATCAATGAGATGTGACCCAGCTATCAAACACAGAGACTAAAATTGTGACTCATTTGCTAAGACACAAAAGTAAAGCATTTTATTAAGATATAAAATAAGGACTATGAGCACTAGATCACAAGAAGCCATCATTTATGATCCAATGTGAAGAGAAACCTTGTCTCTGTTAGCGTAGCGGCTCAGCACCTTGGACAGGATCACATGCACCCTGTGACCACCCCCCACCTGAAACATTACAGCATATGGGTATCCCTCCAGGCACAATGAGCCCCAAATGATATTCTGTGCTTTGCCCACCCACAGTGCAAAACAAATGCCAAAACAATCCCTGTGGGCGAGGAGAGTGTCTCGTGACCCAGAGCCCTCCTTATTTCCGCTGCATCTGTAAGCACCCTCACACAGGTCCAGACTGCTCCACAGGTAAGAGGGGAGGCTCCTTCATGGTCCAGATTAGACTCAGATGTCTGCCCCTGCTACGTGGAAGTTCAGAGGCAGCTCATGTTTCCATGGCCTTCAGTGTGGGTCCTTAAATCAGGATTTTTGCAGCTTTGTCATTCCTGGAGAGTCCAGTGGAAATTAACTCCTCTGTATCCCTTCCCACTCAGAAACAATCATCTCAAAAGTTGCTTCCCTGATCTGTTTCTGAGGTGAGCCATGTAAAGGAAATGATAGGAGTCAGTGCCATGAGTCGGATTTGTCTTCTATGCTTTCCCCAAACCAGTATTGGAAATGTTTTACAAATGAAGAGTGAAATTCATACAGGTTGGCTAAGCTTCTCATGGCCCCACAGACACCAAGGGCCTCAGCCACGTTCAGGGGCCTGGCCTCCCAATCCCAGTTGAGCCAATGCCTCTGGTCATTGCTTGCCTAGGGACCTGTCCACTAATGTGTTCTTTGCGTGGCTTCCTCCCACGTTGCTTCATCCATGTTTGCTTATTTCTTAAGATCCCTGGGTATATTTCCTATGGCGACCAGGGGGCTGTTTTTTCCCCTCTGTTCCATCCACATCTCCTCATCATGTCAGAGGTTGGTTCTCTCTCCATCTCAGGAGCTTTCTCTCCCTTCTCCCTGTGTTCACAGTGGTTGCTGCGTGCAGGCCAAACCCCTGCCAGAATGGAGGCACCTGCTCCCAGCACAAGCGGAGGACCCGGTTCCGCTGTGCCTGTCCTGACCAGTACTGGGGCAGATTCTGCGAAGTTGGTATGGCTCCCTGTTTTGGTGTTGTTGTTAAACTGGTTCAAGTCAGATTTCCCAAACTCTGCCATTAGTCTCTGCCTTGCAACCTAAGAGCACAGGCTGTGTCTTGCTCCATGTGAAGAAAGCAGTAACCTGGAGACGTAGTGAAGATAATTGGTCCCATTCAGGCATACCAGGGCTTCCCCCAATCTCTCACCTGCTCTTCTATGAGCCACAACTAAGACACTAAGTGTCCACTCCCTAACAACCATGTTTTTCACATTAAGCTGGATTGGGTGTGGAACACTTAACAATTTTGTTGTGAAGTCTAAGAGTGATAAATGTTCAGGCTCTGTCTTATCAACCCTGGTTATACACCAAGCCCTTTTTGGAAGCATCATGCCCATTGATCTCTGTTCTCACATCCCTGCCTATTGTCTTTGAGGTCCTGATGATTGCTACACAGGCGATGGCTATTCTTATCGAGGGCAGGTGAGCAGGACGGTCAACCAGCATCCATGCCTTTACTGGAACTCACACCTGCTCTTGCAGGAGAACTACAACATGTTTATGGAGGATGCGGAGATCCATGGGCTTGGAGAACACAACTTTTGTAGGTAAAAAATTACCTTGTTCCCCGGGCTCCATCTTGGTGACTTGCTTAAAAAGCAGATCATTGAAACTCATTAACGTTCTCTCTAGAAAGACTTTCCTTCTCAGGGTAGGCAAGGTTATACTGCAGTAACAAAAACTCCCAACTCTCAGGGGATCATTCAAATATTTCATTTGTTACTAATGCTATGTGGGGATTGGGAATGGTGATGATGGAGGATTCAGCTTCTGAAACAGAGAAAGGGCCCACCCAAGACAGGTAGAAAGACCAATGGGATGTCTGGAACCTGACAGTGCCACAAGAGTGTTCAAGCTATCCCCAGTAAGGATAATGCCCTCTTCCTCCCTGTGATGGCTCTAGTAGACTCTTTCTCTTCTGCTGCCTCCAGGCCACTCTGCTGCCTGCTTCCCATTGCCCTAGGTCTAACCAAGGTCAATTTCTTAAAGGATTTGTATATAAGGGGCAGGAGTCTCTAACATGGCTTTAAGCTGGCTCCATCAGCAAGAGAATTTTCCTTTCACAAAACACTAATTACCTTGCACTTTCATTCACTTTGAACCAGTCTCTGTGGGTAGCTAGTATTACATGCCCCACCCCCGACCCAGCTGCCCATTCATTTCTCCAAATGAAATTCAGAGGATCCAGCAGAGAGAGAGAGACCTCTCATCATGTTTGTGTGGCCATTTTAGTTCTCTGTCCCTGAAAGGTCTCCAACGGGAATCTTAGTAATTTTCCTAAACATAATTTGATGGTGTCCCACTGATCTGGCACAGAGTTTGGGAAACACTGCCTAGCCCTTGAGATTCTCTACAAGAAGTTAAGGCTTTGCAAAAAGCAGAAATAACCATTCACCTGTCTTCAGTTTTGTTAAGTTCCTGGTAGGTTCCAGTGGAACCTGATCCCATACTCTGGAACCATACTCCAATGCCCCACTCAAACTCCATGTCCAAGAGGGGGCGCTCTTTTCCCTAAATGCTCTTCTAAAGAAGTCCAGTAGGTTCGCCAAACCTTTGCCCTGTGCAACTTCAATATTTGTACCTTATTATTATTTTTTTCCTAAGAAACCCAGATGGAGACAAAAAGCCCTGGTGCTTCGTGAAAGTGAACAGTGTGAAGATCAAGTGGGAATACTGTGCTGTTTCAGCCTGCTCGGCCCCAGGTAAGCCTCAAGTTGTCCAGACACCGGGAGGCGGGACGCTTGAAAATGTTCATGCCTTCCTGCCTCCCCATTTTCCATGCACTCCCCACTCCTATCCACTGACACCCAGCCAGTGTGCTAGGCAGACACGTCCATCAGCATGATGATCAAACGTTCACTGCCCTCCGATCCCCAGCTTCTCAGGGTGCCCTGGGGTCTGAATTCTGGCCTCATGGTCTCACTGCCGGTCTTCACTGGCCCACTTCTGTGTTCATGTCTGGAATGTGTGTACTCACTCCAACCTAGAGAAGCCTCCCCTGCCCACCGCCAGCCATCTCATCTAGTCTCACACCCATGCCTTTGCTTTCCTGGCCGTGTCACCTACAATACTCTGCCCTATAGTTGCTCTTGTCCATTTCCAACCACTCTGAGAATCAATTCAAAATACCCCTCCTCCAGGAAGTCACCCCTCTTCTTCCAAGTGGAGTGCTCTCCCCTTCTCTCTCCTTGCAAAACTCAAGGAACAGAGTGACCCACCACCCATTCAACAATTCTTGCCTTCTCCTTTGTATCCCCATTATCTGTGCAACGTCTTGGCTTCCCAGTTCTGCTGCATCCTGCCCACCATACTGGAGAATTTTCCAAATACACGTGTGACCTCATGAACAGCCTAGTGATAGATTTGTGTATGTGCAAGTTCATAGGAACATGTGCGTGCATACATACCGATCCTGCTGGTCACACATTTTGAAAGAAGGAGAAGAAAGTCCATCTCCATCATGAACTCTATAGGCTTGCTCTCCGTTCATCACCATCGTCAGCTTAGGACCCTTAGCATCTAAGCTCAGAATAGCATGTGTGCCCAGGTCCCTCGGAGTGAGCAGCAATTCAGTGCAGGGTGACTGATCCTTCTTGTGTTCCGCAGCCGCAGAAAACCTTGAGGGGAGCCCTGCAGAGCCCCTGGTCCAGATTCAGGGGTTCGACACCTGCGGGAAGACCGAAGTGGCACAGGGGATGATCAAGAGGATCTACGGAGGCTTCAAGAGCACAGCCGGCAAGCACCCGTGGCAGGCGTCCCTGCAGACCACTGCACCTTTAACTGTCTCCATGCCTCAAGGCCACTTCTGCGGGGGGACGCTGATCCACCCCTGCTGGGTGCTCACTGCTGCCCACTGCACCGAGTAGGTGCTGTCCAGGGCAGGGAACAGGATGACACCAACGTAAGGGGTGCTTGCTCCTTTCCCTTGAGCAGAATCTTGGCAGCTCAAGCAAGCTTAGGCACCTGAGAGAGCTGCAGGGCAAAGGAGCAGCTCATTGACACCAGGTAGAAAGTAACTACCAAGTCTGTAATGCTTACTATGGGCCCTGTGTGTTTCATAGGGCCTTTAACCTGTAAAACTCGCTCTGTTTGACTCATGAGCTGCAGTATCTCCAGTGCCCACAGCAAGCCATGGGACGGAGCAGCTGTTGAGTGAACATCTGTTGAGGGCGAGAGTTTGCTATTATTTGCCTTTAATAAACCAGGACTCTGGGTCTTGAGGAGTTTTAGTGCTTTGCCCACAGTTGTGTGGAAAGGAAGGGGCTGATAGTGATGTGAACCCAATTTTAGCAGCCTCCCCATTCCCTACTGCGTGATACATCTACAGTGTGCCTCTCGCACCCCCTTGGAGGGGCAGGTATGTTTTGGGAAGCTGAAGCAGCAGCTCCCCGACCAAGGTTCCTAAGTTCACGGTCAGGGTTGTTTCTACAAAGCTTAGGTTTTGCAGGTGGCCCTAACGGTCTTCCAGGCCATTCTGCTCTTCAATGATTGCTTTGGAATTCTACCCAGTGTCTCCCAGTGGAAGTCAAACAAGCAAATCTCAGCTCCTACCAGTAGATTTTGGAAGATGTGAGGCAACATCAAGGGCAGTTCTTTTTTGCAAGGCCTCAGGAGAACGAAAGGCCTCCCCAAGAAGGATAGAAACGACAGCTAACGCATGGGAATTGCTTCCTTTCCTAAGGCATTTCGCTTACATGTCTCCTCGGGACCACACAGCAGGACCCCAGGGGTGGCCAGGGCTTAGAGATGAGGCTACAAAGGTTGCAGAAGGTCAAGGGTTTTGCTGAAGGTCACTCAGTCAGAACTTGGCTCCCAGCCTCTTCGGGCCTAAGACTATTATCTACTTATCTTTTTCTCTCTCTCTCTCTCTTTTTTCCTTTGCAGCATAAAAGAAAAACACCTCAAAGTGGTGCTAGGAGACCAGGACCTGAAGAAGACAGAATTCCATGAGCAGATCTTTGGGGTAGAGAAGATACTCAAATACAGCCGCTATAATGAGAGAGATGAGATTCCCCACAATGACATCGGTAGGTTTGCACCACTGTAAGCCTCCAGTAGGTATCCCTGTGGACAGAAGCTGTGATTTGGTTCTCTTACCTTTGTAGAAGATTCTCTTCATGGCTTTGATTTCTTATAGACACTGTAAGGCAGAAAATGCATTTTAGAACGCTTTAAAAATCTATGTATTTTTGGATCCAGTGCAATAGCCTCACAGCTAAATCCTTGCCTTGAATGCACCAGGATCCCATATGTGTGCCAGTTCTTGCCCTGGATGTTCCACTTCACATCCAGCTCCCTGCTTATGGCCTGGGAAAGCAGTCGAGGCTAGCCCAAAACTTTGGGACCCTGCACCTGCATGGAAGACCCAGAAGAAACTCCTGACTCCAGGCTTCAGATTGGCTCAGTTTCAGCTATAGTGGCCACTTGGAGAGTAAACCAGTGGTTGGAAAATCTATCTCTCTTCTCTGTACATCTGACTTTCCAATAAAATAAACAAATCTTTAAAAAAAAAAAACAATCTATGTATATTTTAGAGAGAGTTCCTGTTGACTGGTTTACTCCCCAAGTCCACAAGGATTAGGGTGGCTGAGTTTGTAATTCGATCCAAATCTCAACTACTTGAGCCAGCACTGCTGCCTTCCAGGGCGTGCACTAGCTGCAATCAGGAGCCAGAGCTGCTATCAAATCTAGGTACTTTAATAGGGGAAATGGATGTTGCAATGAGCATCTTCGCTGCCAGGCCAAACACCTGCTCCCAGATCTGTTTACTTCCGAAGAGCGCATTGAGTGCTGTGATAAGTAGGTCAAGTTCTTCGGTTGAGGCGTAGGAACATCACGTTGTGCAGTGGTTGACCTTGAATCCAAGTTCCCCTGCTTCCTAGCTGGACCCAGGTCATCTTTCAGAGCCTCAGTTCTCCCTTCTGTAAAATGAAGGTACAGATACACAACTCTCACTCTTATGTGCTAAGAGACGTCACAGGCATGTGGATGCCCATGGCATCTGCTGGGCATCCAGGTGCAGAGCCGATGACTTCAGCTACTGCTCAGTCATGTGCTCACCCCATGTCCCTTTCCTCTCTCTCTCCTTCACCAGCCCGTCTTTCCTTTAAAAATAGACTGGAAATTATTTCAAACTCAATTATTATATCTTGAAGCTCTTCTCAGGCTGAAATGTTATTTCTTTTAGTAGTCAGTTCTCCCTCACTGGAACCAAATACCTGGAGCAGGCTAACTTGATGAAGGAGAGAGGCTTATTTTGGCTTGTGGTTCAGGAGGTTCCTGGTCCATGGTTGGGTGTTGATGCTCCAGCCAGTGGAGTCCCAAGACAGCACAGGCCATCGCACAGCCAGGCACAGGGAATGCAGCTCTCTGTCTCATAAAGCCATCCTGATTCACAGGCTCTGCTCCTCAACACTGGAATCCAATCACTTCCTGAAGGTTCCACCACTAAGTGCTGTAATTGGCTTGTTTCCCCTGTTTTGGTACCATTGACCTAAGATATGGAACTTCTGCATTTGAAGGGATATTCAGACCACAACACTCCTCCTAGGTTGGGGTTTTAGAAATGAAGTGACTGAGAAATCAGTCTTGGGACCATGGGTGGTAGGGCTTTGCTTTGCTCATCTTCCAGGATATATTGAAGCTGATGAGGTGACATTCATTTTCTTCCTTCCTCCCCACCCAGCTTTGCTCAAGTTAAAGCCTGTGGACGGTCACTGTGCTCAGGAGTCTAAATACGTGAAGACTGTGTGCTTACCCGATGAGTCCTTTCCCTCTGGGACCGAGTGCCACATCTCAGGCTGGGGTGTAACGGAGACAGGTGAGTCTGGTTCTGCATGCTCCCCAAACTCAGACGAGCTGCGTCAACCAGAGCGGAAAGGGCTACACTCCACTGCCCCTTCTCAACCTGGAACACATGTTCTATTCCCAGTGGCGTAACAGGAGTGGACATCTGCTGGATTGCTCAAGCCCTAACCAAAGCTCACCCCCTGCAAGCAGCCCTCCCTGTCTTGGCCCTTGGCCACACCCATCGTCCCTGTGCTGGTGGCAACCTCCCTGTTTCCCTGGGTGGATTAGGAAGGACAGACCTGAGAGAACATGGATTTTGGAGTCAGATGAACTTGAATTAGGTTATTAGCTCTGTTGCCTGAACAGGTGGATTCTAACTTTATATGCACTGCCTAGATTTGGAAATCACACTCACAGGAGGTGACAGAATTCTATAGATAGTCACTGAGTCAGCCTGGAGAGGGAGGCTCGGGTCATACTCTTTTCTCTGTCTCCCACAGTGTGACAGCTAAGACACTCCTCAAAGTAGGCATTCTCTACAATGGTGGGAAATCAGGTTTTTGACTTGTCTCTGGGAATTGGTCTTAGCTGAAAAAATTAATCAAATTAAGGTGATGGGGACAGGGATGGGAAACATAAAGGGTTCGTGTGGAATGGAATGATTTGTATTTTCACTAGTCTGATGTTCATAGTTGTATTATGTTGCAGTTTTACAAGTTACTGCTATTGGGAAAATTGAGTAAAGGGCATAAGAGAAATTGTTCTTTCTTACAACTGCATGCAAATCTGTGGTTATCTTGAAACATTTTTAAAGGCAAAAGAAAATTAGCCAACAGGTTACTTTCCTCATAGAACTAAAAAGCTTCCATCCTATAATGCAAAGAAATGCAAAAGTATTTCAATTCTTTCTCAAACACTAAAAATCTCTTTTTCCTTCCTTCCAAATCTTACCCTTGATAATGAAATGCAAGAATCACTTTAAACAGGTATATGTTCATGAAGAAAATGGAATGTAATCTACAAAATTGCCCAATGATTTTGTAAAAGGAGATGGCTTGCTAACTGTTTTGAGTCGACTAGAAAGCTCTTTTTGAAGCTGTCTTCATTGTAGCTGATCTGAGTCTTCTGAACTCTTGTTCAAAATGGATTGATCAGCACAGTGATTTTTTTTTTTAGATGCAACTCTTACAAGACATCCAGGTCAGAACAAGTTAGATTCTCTTAACTGCCTTCTAAAACTCTGTTCAAAGTCATTGACATGGTTGATTAATTTCACTATCTTTAAGAAGGAAAGTGTCTTCTGCTTGAAGCAGGGAAAGTATTCCCAGGCATTTCATCCATCCATCATCCCTCCATCCACCCATCTATCCATTCACTAAGAATCTACAATATGCCAGCCTCTGCTCCGCATACAAAATGAATAATCAAGTCCCTTTCCTTACCTTCCTGGGCCTCGTGGTCTTGTCGGAGTTACAGAGCAGGCGACCGAGGACTCTGCCCCGCTGTGATTAGGGCAGCATTACAGGTCTACACTGGCATGGTGAAGCCTGAACAAAAGGCACTGTCAGTTTAGGAAGGTGATGCTTTTCTGCCCATTTCCTGGAAAAAATCCATCCTTTCTGAGCTGAGAGCTGGTGATCTTTGTAGCACTGCTGGATTCTAGGCAGATGGGTGTCACCCTGGTGCCCACAGGGTGGGCACTGCCCACAGCAGTGACTTCTCTCTGCCCCACAGGGGAAGGTTCCCGCCAGCTCCTGGATGCCAAAGTCAAACTGATCACGAACACCTTGTGCAACTCCCGCAGCCTCTACAACCACATGATTGACGACAGCATGATTTGTGCGGGAAACCTTCAGAAACCTGGAACTGACACCTGCCAGGTCAGAGTCTTCTTACAGTACTCAGAGAATGAGAGATTGACAGGACATTCAATACCTTGGGCACAGTAGCCCTTTGGAACACTGAGTAGGGAGTCAGGGTCAGAGAGCTTCCTGTCATAAGGCTGTGGCACAAGCAATTGGCAACCTGGATCCCCAACAGTATGGATGCCCCAGCATAACAACCAGTATCTTAGTGCCTGCCTTGTCCATTGTAATTCACACAACCCTCTGGTGAGGGGTTCATCATTCTCACTGCTTTACGGATGTTACAGAGGTTCTGCTAGCCTGCAGCAACCAAGTGCTTAGAGGTAGCGATGGAACCTCAGCAACCCAGCTCTGCAGGACACCACAGCCTTTGGACTCTGCTCCATGTTGAAATGTGGGAAGATGGTCTTGTTGGCCTTAGTGTTGGGCAGCAGCTCTGAAACATCCAAATGAATGTCCTAAGGACCATTGGCTGGAAGGAGAGAGATACAAGGCCTAGAGATGTCACAGTAGTATTAGTTGCTCAGGAGGATTTAAATGAGACAAAGAGACAGCTTCAGAGGTCACCCTAGCACATGAGGTGACTTTATGCCCACAGCCAGGCTAGTGCCCAAGCATCTCTCAGTCTAGACTTGCAGAAATCCCAACTTGCTGAGGCCTGTGGTGACTTGGGGCTGCTTCTAGGAGAGGGAGATGGGGGCAGCTGCATCCACAGATTGTAAGAGACCTTACACAGTGTCCAAGTGCACGCCCCCAAACCCCTCTCTGTTACAGTCACATCACATGAGACACATAGATCCTAGACTTCCAGAAACACATTGATTTATAACTCTCTGCTTGTTGTCCTAATACAGTACCCAGCCACCCTAGAAAATCCAATGTCGCCATATGTAAATCTGGGGTCTCTAATAGAGCACCTCTACAAAAGGACCCATAAGGATTTGCCTGCCTTGAGCCCACTTTGGGATAGAAAATGGAACCTGCTCTCTCCAGGGCATATGACTGCTACTGACCCCTGTCCTTTTTCCAGAGACCACAGATAGCCACATGCAAGGAGAAATGCAGGCTCACAGGCACAATGTGCCTTAAGCCCCAGATGATGACTCAGAAAGAGACTGCTCAAGAAAAGAAAGTTTAAGTACTTGGCTTGCAGGTTCTGGAAAGAGTCATGGGTTTGAAACCTAGTTCTGTCTCCTTCGTGTGGCCCTTATCAGTCACCGAAGTAATTCTGTAATCTCAGGTGCCTAATCTATAAGATGATGCTAACAGGTCCATAAAATCATAAGGTTCTGGTAAAGATGCAAAGAGAAAATTCATTTGAAAAGTACCTGTTAGGTGTATGCTTAAGGGCTGGTGGATGTCTGGGGGCCTGAGAGCTGTTAGAGAGCTGTTGTCATTTTCACTGTCCTTCTTACAAGCCTCACAACCACCCCAGCAGGCAGTTTACAATGCGAGAAACAGAGACCCATGCCAGCAGGTGCTAGAGCCTGGCTCAGTGCCCAAGAGATCTAACCTGTGGACTACAGGGAGTGTCTTGACTGTGCTGCTTCTAAACCCCATCCTCCTCCCCTGTGTGTCCCCTCCTGGCCCTGGAAGGGCTATGTTCAAACAAGACACTATAAGGAGCAAGTCCAAAACTCGCAACAGTTATACCCATAGGGGGTCTGTGCTGTGGTGCTGTAGGTTAAACCACTGCCTATTACACCAGCATCCCAGGCAGTTTTGTGTCTGTGCTGCCCTACTTCGATCTAGCTCCCTGCTAATGTATAGGGGAAGGCAATGGAAAATGGCCCCAGTGCTTGGGCTCCTGTCATTCTTGAGGGAGACCCAGATGGAGTTCCCGATTCCTTGTTTCAGCATAGCCCATCCCAGGCCATTGTGGCCATTGGGGGAATACAGCAGAGGGTAGAAGATCTCCTATTTCTCTCTCCCTCTGTTACTCTGTCATTCAAAGAAACAAAGTAAATATAAAAATAATCCCTGTGTGACTAAGATTCAGAGAGTTGGGTTTGCCCACAGCACCATAGCCCTGTCATTGGCTTCTGTGTCAAGCCTCATGGGCTCAGGGACAAAGGGTGGCACTCACTCAGGCAGTGAGCTTCATGACAAGGGAGCCTCATGGTATTGGAAGCCTGGGTAAGCTCGCTTTCTAGAGACAGCTGCTACAGATGGCAGGCAATCCCTCCCACCCACCCTGGCAACCTGCGGATGTGCACAAACATATTCTGGATCACGAGGCTGACTCCTGTCTCTTCCTTCCTTAGGGTGACTCTGGGGGCCCACTGACCTGTGAGAAGAATGGCACCTACTACATCTACGGCATAGTGAGCTGGGGCTTGGAATGTGGGAAGAAACCAGGGGTCTACACACAAGTTACCAAGTTCCTGAGTTGGATCAAATCCACCATCCAAAGGGAAACTGGCTTCTAAGGTGCCGATCTCTGAACCATGTCAGCCAAGGGGTGGAGGGCCCTCCTGGGAAGCCACAGGCACCCCCCAGAACCTCCACACAGTGAGTGTCCATGCTCTACAGAGACACCTGCTGCTCAGCCTGAACCAGCCTTTGCACCATTTCATCAGGTTCTCTCTGATCTCCCAAGGCTCAATGGAACCCACACAAGATACATTAGGTTTGCTTCTGTTCTAACAACTGTTCTTTCTAGAAAATCAGTGTTCTCAGTGGCTGCCTTGACCAATGTGGAACAACAGATTGCCCAGCTTCAGTACGAGACAACCTGGTCACTTCACTCCTCATCCCAGACACTCAAGGTACTCAATAGGACCAGCTAGGTCCTTGAGAAGGGACCAAAAAGACAACAGCATCCAGATAATTTCAGAGTTGTTGTTTTAATGAACACAGAGCTGGAGATGGGTGGGTGTGCCATTGTGATGGCACATCCACAAGGAGACGTCTAAAGTGTGGCTCCTCCCTCTTCCAACTAATCCCTTAAGAACTGGCACGGGCACTGCTTGGTCACAATAGCAGAGCCTTCTTCCTTTTCACATGCAGGATTTCGGTGGCGTCTGGGTTCACCTCCCCTCTGGGATCGTTTCCAGCCTCCATGGCCTCTGGCCCTCCCTGCAGAAATCAAACATGGGCCCAGACTTAACACACAGCTCCCATTCCTATCCCCCCAGCGGGTGCTAAGGTACCCTGGGGAGCACGGAGCTCATTCATCTTCCCACCCTCTCCCAAGGAAGAGACTCCTCAAAACAAGAACGAAAAAGCAGTAAAGCCAATCTCTCCTGTAGCTGTGGTGTCTTTTTAGAAAAAAAACTAGCGTGCAGAATGCAGAACTCTTGTAGCCAGCACGTCCCTGACCCTTTCCACTAATGTAGTGAGCAGGCAGCCAGCACAGCCTGGGCTGCCCTGGCCCGGGATTGATGTCGCCCCAGTAGGTTTGCTTCTGCAGAACTAATGGCCGTGACTTCAGAGAAAACCCCGCAGGAAGTTTAACCCACGTGTCATCTGCCTGGCCAGCTCAGACCCATGAAATCAGGCGCCTTGCTCCAGCTGCATCTGACACTTGAGAGAGGCTGATCTTTGGCCAAAAATAAACTTTGATAAGAAACAATGAAGTTTGTCTTTCCCCAGGGTCTGCCATGTGGGGCGGGGGAAGGGGAGGTTTATAGTTTGCTACTCACATAAGCCCCCTGGAGACCCAGGTTCCTTGCGTTGGCCAGTTCTGCAGCCCGTCGAGCCATTTCCACTTTGTAGGAGCCAGGAGGGGTCCAGCCAACACCTCTGGTCAGGTTCAAGTCTGATTTGTACTTGACCTTGGGGAAAGGAGGGAAGCGAGAATATATCACCAGGGTTTGGGGTGGTTTGGCCGCCGACTGGGTAGGGTTAGAAAGACCCAAAGTGAGGAACATATTGTCACTGAGGCTAAGAGGAGGGAACAGATCTCCATAATGCAAAACACGCCTGGCATGGAGGGTCCTGCGGGCCATGGGCTGGGCCATCCTGTTATTGTCCCTCAGTCTTCCCTTCCCAGGAGGGGAGCCAAGTTGGAGCTCCTGCCTGAATTCACTCTGTGGCCTATGGGGAGTCCCTTCCCTTCCGTAGCATTGGGTTTCTTCCCAGAGAAAGTACAGAGATGGGTTAGGTAACCATTATGACCCCTTGAGGACTCTCACATTAAACCAAAGGGGGTTCACTTCCCAGGTCTGCCACTTATCTGCTGGGTGATATTAAGGTAACTTCTCTGAACCTCAGGTGTCTCGTCTGTAAAATGGGGCTGTAAAATCTGTAACTGAGGTTATAGCAAAGCCTACAGGACAGGAGATTTGGCAAGCATTTGACACAAATCCTGATACCCCAGCAGTGATTTCAGAAATGGTGGTGACTGTTATTAGTCCTCCTGCTGCTGAAGAATTATGTGGCATAGATTTCGCCTCAGCCCAGCTCCCCAAAGAAGGTTCCACGGAACAACAAGAGTAGAGCCAGCTCTTTGGAAGAGGCACCAGGGAAAGGCCTCAGGGAGGGGAGGCAAGGCAAGGCTGCTCACATCGCTCTGTAGCTGGTGGGCCCTCTGCGCATGCTTCAGGCCCAGATGCTCTGGGTCACTTGTGGGCTGGGGCAGGGGCTGTCTGTAACGCACATCGCTGGCGAGGAGCTGGCTCCTCTTGGCCTGCAGAAAGCCTGGCTGGTCTGCACGGCTGTGGAACTGGAACCGACTCCGGGCGAAGTCCTTCTTGTATTCATTGTCACTCTGAATTCTGCCAGCGTAGAGGAAATGCTTCATCCTTGGGTCATCACGGACGCTGCGGTACCCAATTTGCAAGCCCCGGTCCCGCAAGAAGGCCTCTTTATACCGGAACTGGAAGTCAGAGGAGCAGAGAGGGATCACAAGAGCCCATGTCCTCCCTGCCCCTAAGCTAGTTTCCCTGGAGGAGGCATCTCCTGGCATCTCCTGCCAGGAAGCTCATCAGTGGATTAGAGGCATACCATCTAGATTCAGGTAGACCCAGGCGTGTGACTTCGGTCAGTTAACGGGTCTCTCTGAGCCTCAGGTTTCCTATGTGAGAGACGGGGTCACGAATCTCTACTCCATGGAACACGGGCAGGATCTCCCGAGACGGGGCTGGACCTCGTGCCCACCAAGTGGGAGCTGTTAGCACTGTGGCTGCTGTGGTTAATGTCCCATAGCTTTGAAGGCTGTAGTGCAATGCTCTTCAACCTAGTGAGGGATTTGCTTCATTTTGCTTTTGATTTTTAAATACCCAACGTACTAGAGAACAAGGTAGCCCTACTATGGGCACTCAATAACATCCCAAACTGGCCTTTATCTCACTCGACACAATGAGTAACCACATACTTGGATATCTCAGTGACTACCGATTAAAGGCCTGACTGTGTACAAGCCCTTGACTTTCTTACTCATCACACCAAAGTCTAGCTAGAAGCCACTCGGGGGTGACTGTGTGAAGGTGTGAGGACTGATTTTCTTGTTAATGGCACCACTCTCATCAGAACCCGTGGCTACCTTTTCTGAACACCGTGTGTGAACCAAACACCATGTACCATTTATCCTCATTCCAATCAGTTCCAGGAGACAGCTGATCAATGTCTACTGTATAAATGTAGAAATCCAAGATCATAGAATTTTAAAAAACTTCCCCAAGATGAAAATAGCCAAGTGGACAAGTCAGGATTTGAACCAAACCAGTCTAAGGGAAAAACTCTCAAATACCCAACTTACACTTTCCACACTCTTACACTGCAGATCAGCTGCAAGAAGTCCCTAAATTAAACATTGACAAACCAATCACATGGATATTGACTCCAAGGTGCTCACACATTGCTTTTAAGAGAGCCTCTCTTAAGACAGAAGAAGTAGGGCTATCATTCTCCCAATCCCAAATTGCTTGCAAAAAGCCAAGAAAATAGGGTCTTTTTTTCTTTCCTTCAAAATACATGTTCATTTCTGGGGCAGAGGGAGGAACAACTTCCACAGGTTCTGTGGTTTGCCTTTTCCACAAACCCCAAGTGAATCCTATCAGTGATAGAAGCAGACAGGGAGAGAGAGAGAGAGAGAGAGAGAGAGAGAGAGAGAGAGCGAGCACTCTTACATCACTGGCAATCTCCCTGGATGCCCGGGCCGTCTGGAACGGGATGGCATCCAGCCTGAAGTCATAGCCACCAGCTCGGATCTGCTCCCATGAGTTTCTGTAGACTTTCTGGATGAGGAAAAGAAAAACAGAGTGAGCAGGGACACTCCTGCTGCCCACATACTGCTTGTTCCTGCGTAGTCCTCTCTTCATGGAGTCCCAGGATGTTATAGCCCATGGCCCCATGTGCATCCCGAAGACTCCTCGGCTCTGAAATGGCTGGGTCTGGCCGAGAAGGGCTTTGTACTTGTGGGGCGCACAGTCTGGACATCTGGCTTGTTTGCTGCCTGCTGTGGGTAGCAGAGATCCCTGCCTCATCCCTTCCTGTCTTGGCTCTCACCTGCAGTATTCCAGGCGTGCAGCTCCCAGGTGCCACACTCAAAGTTTCAGAACCCAGTTTCTTCCTAGCTGTGGAGAGTGCTGCCCCTCAGGGCTTGACAGCCCTGCATGTGTTAGCTGCACTGACTTCCTGGGGGCCCCTTGGCCTGGCTTTGATGCCATGTCCCACATCGTCACTGTGAGGCACGCTGCATCTCACACACGCCCCTGGAGCCTGCACGGAGGGAAGCGCCTTCACCTGAATTAGATTTATTGTCAAGAACCTGACCGAGTACCTGACCCATGTGTTTCATATCTTCCTCTTTCATTTTTTCCCTTTTCAAGTTGTTCCCACACCCCCTCTGGGAGTCTGTAATCATATCCTCTTAGTCCTCAGGTAGGCCCACATCACCGAGAGAGGCGTCACAATCTTCTGTAGCTCATTTTTTTTTTTCAAGATAAGGGAATGGCTCCATGAAAGGAGTCCTCTGGCGATCCCAGTGGAAGGCTCTCCTTTATTCAAGCGCAGAGAAGGGAGCCAGCAGGGGAGGCACATCACCAGAAGATGACAAAGTGACAGCCCCAGACCGCGGCGGTCGCTCGCTCGTTCCATGAGCTACAGCGGGTCAGGAGGCCCTTAAGAACTTTACTTTTGTCACCTGGCAATGGAGGTCAAGGCTGGCGCTCTGTTCCACACAGGTTTGGGGGGATGAAGCCAAGGAGGAGTGGAAGATGAAAAGCACAGCGGCTCACCCCATCCCACACTGGGCCTGGAACTAGAGGGGCCCACCGAGAGCCTGGAGCATGCAGGCTGGAACTTGCTTCTTTCTGCCACGGTCCTCCATCACCTTTGCCTTTGCCTATGGTTCCAACATCCAAGCCCGTCGACCCAAACTCCAAATCCCTACAGTATCTGACACCTTGCAAGTGCAGAACCCATGCCTGCGGAGTGACCACCTAGTGGATAAATCCCAGAGTCAGAATGATTGTGCTTCCTGAGTCACTGTTGAGTTTCGCAGCTAAGACTGAAGGCTGCAGAAAGATGATGTTCAGGTGAAGACAAACCAGCAATCCCTTCAGCCTCACTTTCCATGTGGGTGGCCCTACAAATATTAGCGTAGTAAATGGAGTCAAAACCCTCTCTGCTCTCTGTAAGGAACACACGGGCCTTGCTAAGAAGAAAGCCCACAGGAAATCTGAGTTCAGTTAATGACAGCAAGCTTCGCCACACCCGACGCCAACATCACTCTGCATTGGCGTCTGAGGACCCTAACTATCCCACCTCTCATGATCCACCCAGAGCATGTAGCCCAGATTGGGGTTCTCCCCAAGGTGCTGGGTCCCCTTCTCCCACGACTTCTCCCTGTACACTATTTGCTTGATTGTGATCACTTCCTCCCCGAGTTTTTGTATTCTGTTGAGGTTTCTGCCTTGCCACTGGGAGCCTTTAGATTCCATAGGCTCTTTGATTCGGAACCCTGGGTGTTCCTCTTCTTTATCACAGTGGGCACAGTTTTGTCCTCATCCTCACACATTAGAGTCATTTGATTTTGAGTTATTTCGGCTGCCTTACACATCTCAATGGCTTTCTTTGCCCAGGAAGGTCACTTTGCCTCCACATCTTCCTCACAGAGCACTTGATCCAATTGTGCGTATTCTACACGCCCCCGAAGAAGTACTCTTCAAAAGGGGTTCACAAGTTACCCGCGTGCCCCGGCAGCTAATTTCAGCTCTGGGACTCTACAAACTGGCATCCCTTGTGTGAATGAAGACATGCTTGTGACCAACCCCCAGGTGCCTGTCCTTAAGTCTGGCTCCCAACAGACTGCCTGGCTGCACCCAGTTTCCACTGGCCTGGGCCTCCAATAGATGCCCCCATGGAGGCCTTGCCTTCCCCCATCCTTGGAGCATTAATGAGGTGGATGCTTTGTGCCAGCTCGCACAAGGCAGGGAGGCCCTGCTTCCCCAGATGGAGGTCAGCCCACCAGAACTGCTGTTCTAAAATTATCCCTTGCGCGTCCCTCCAAAACATCAAATGGTCATAATAACTCATATTTACAAAGCACCATTGCATTCACTGCGTGGGATCCTACAGGGCTTTACAAATGCAACAAACTAATACACACGCTAACTAGAAGGCGCCTCTTGCCAACCCCTGCGAGGCAGCCACCTCCAGAGTGAATGGTAGCAGCTGTTGATCTGCACGGAGCCCCAGGACACAATGGCCAGGCCAGAGAGGGAAGAATGGCCAGGCTCTGGGAGGCCCCACACTGCCCCAGGCCGACACACTCAGCCTGTGTTATTCTGATCTGACGGAGCCTTTTGATTCTGCCGCCTCTCTACCTGTTATCCGGGGATCACAGCTTTGCTGGCTGAGCGGCCGCCTATTCTATTACAACTGGGGGCCTCCATCCCCTGCTAACAAGAAGCTTGGGCTTAGGAGGCAGCGTCTTGGTTATGCACGCAAAGGGCACACGTCGGGGAACACTGAAGGGTTGGAGAATACAGGGCCTCGCACAAAAGAGCCAGCTGCAGTTGCACAGGGTAGACCAGATGACAGCATCTTTGCAAACCACAGGGTAAGACAACAGTATCTCTTCTCTGTTGAGTGGCTAAGGAGGGGGAGTCTGGGGAAATATCTGGAGCAGGTGCCAGGGACCACCTCCAACAGTTACCCAGCACATGACTGAGGTCTTAGGTGCTTAAGCCCAGATTCTTACTGCTAGCAGAAACCTTGGTCAATCTCAACCTCATTCCTCTTTTACAAATGAAGATTCCAACGCCCACTGAGGAAGGTGCTACAAGTCACACAGTTTGTCCACTCTCAACCTAGTGTGCACTCTGCTGCAAGTCCTCCTTCCTAGGACCTGGAAAGAAAATTCACTTTGGACACAGATCATTTTTAGGCACACACATGACCCACCAGTTCACTTACGTCACTCAGGTGCAGCGCATTGAGGCGGGCACGGGCAAAATCCGGGTGGTCAGGAACCAGGGTGTATCTGTGCAAGGATTCGGCATCCCCTGACCTGTACAGACGCTGGAAGGGAGATGGGAGAGTGGCAGTCACTGAACCCCAGGGGACACACAGCTCCATCCCTCCCCAACCCTCTGAGGAGAAGGGCATCCATGTGGCCGGGGTGAGGCCAACATCCTAGACGTGTGACTGTTTCAGAGTCTCTCTGTGACTGAGGATCAGAGCTGTGGTTTTATTTTGTTTTTAATTTGCAATGAGACATAGCTTCGATGTCTCTGCTGAGCATTAGTCTTAACTGTGAAAAAAAATAATACACACAGCAAGTAAGACCTTTTGATTGCCAACTACATTGACTCGTGTTCAAGAACCTGAGCATTTCATGGTCCACCCTGTCCCAGGAAGACAGAATTTTGAAATTCAAGCTTTATTCAGGTTGCTACTTTGAGAACAGCTATTAAAGGGTTGCAAATAATTTTTTTTTGGCAGAGGACATTCTATGATAATACAATCTGTTCCCAAATTCTATTTGGGCATTTGTGAATGCAAACCAGTCACCTGCAACAGAATTTGAGCTCTCTGAGGATGGGGCTGCTTTGTCACTGTGGATGAAGAATTGAATCCCGTGACAACTTCAGGAAAGAAAGATTTGACTTCCTATATCTCAAGATGAACACAGGCAGGAGGAAATGAGGCTAAGCTATACAGAGAGTAAAAGGGGGAAGAAGTTTTGAATGTAGCTTTGCCAGCTGGGTTACAGTGATATCTTATTTCTATCGTTACTTATCAACCAGTAAGAGGGATCTGATCCACAGTCTATTTTTATTGATCAAGATCAAACCATAATCAAGGCATTGCTTGGGCACTTACTATATTCTTGGTACCTGCCTGAGTATTCTGTGCTTTTCTTTACGGAACCCTCACTGAACTTGCCTAATCTGATGGAAGGGCCACCACTCTCACACTTCTCCCCATGTTCCCTGTACCATTCAAGTAATGGAGGTGAGAAAAGATGAAACAAGTGGGTCCACAGTGTCTAGGCAGTAGGCAAGGGTATGCATGCACATCTTCCTAGAGCCTGGATCCTTGAGCTCTGCCTTGCCCAGTGAGCAGCACGCAGTACCCTGTGCAGGCCTAGGATGTGTGATGAGAAAGCACCTACCTCATTGCAGTGCATGTAGCTGTTTTTGGCATGAACCAAGTCTGGGGAATCAACCACCGTGGTGAACTTAATACTATCTGGTTTTTTACGGTATTTGGTCTGTAAGAGGAAGACAGAGATTCCCATGACACAAAACAGCAGGCATGTCTCCAGGTGCAGCTTCAGCCCACCTCCTGAGCGCCAAAGGTGCCAACGGCATGAATGAAAAATAAGTCCCACTTCTGGGCAGGCACCTAATAATCCAGAGGAGGGAGAGATGTGAGCTCCTCTCTGACCCAGCACACTCTACAGACATTGACTCTTAAAGGAAGAGGCTAGCAAATGCTACGGGATTTTGTAAAGGGGAGAGAGATCCAATGACCCCTGCTTGGATCCTGTCCAAAGAGTTCCTGTGACTAAGAATCTGAAGAAAGTCGTGCTACCCTCACGTCCAAGGTAATGCAGCTGTCCTGTGCAACTTCTACCACCATCTGAAATGAGATGGCTCCTGAACACTGTGAGTGATTCTTCCTCCTCTCCAGAAAAACAACCATACATACCTTATTGACCAAGAACCTTCTCCTACATCAATGCCTTCCCTTCCTTACCAGTGAATTCCCTGAGCGGCAAGTCCCATTTCGTCTTAGAATTTGTCAACAAGTAGTCCCAGAAAACCACATGGATCACAGCCACCCCAGAGCTGTGCTCTCTCTGGGTCTCCACTCCATAAACAGGTTCCCTCTTCCCAAGGAAAAGCTGGGCTACCCTGGTTGGGCCTGGCAGGAGCAGATGGGTGGTACCTCACTGATGAGTTCTGCAGCCTTCTTTGCACCTTCTATTTGTGGGGATCTCAGCGCCAGCCATCCTGTTCCCTTCATGTTCATCAGGTCTGACTTGTAGCGCCACTGCAGGAAGAAAATCAGGGGCATCAATCAGGACAGTGCCTGAAACGATTAGAGCATTTCTAGAGATCCTTGATGGATGCTAGTGTCTGTAATGGCGCTTCATCACAAAGACTCAACGTCTTCATTGGGAGTGTATGCTGCATACCAGCAAGTCAGTTCCAATGTGTGCATTCTGTCAAGGAATTAGATCACAGATCATGTCCATGATACAAGAAAGTCCTGCCAGGATACAGGCAAGATTCAAGCCACCTGCCCGGAGCCAAGCATCCACCAGGATTATTTACCCCTTCCCACCAGTGAGGCAAATTGACCCCTGCTAGACAGACACAGTCTCCACGCTGCCCAGGAACGAAGGGGGTCCTGAACACCAGATCAGATCTGCTGTGGCCCAGAGCAAATCCCTTTGCCAAAATGAAACTCAGGTTCCCTGGGATAACTGAAGATCCTAACAACAGCGCTCTTTTCACAAAAACACCTGAGACAAGATTCAGGGACCACGACTCTTCAAATTAGCTTGTTGTTCCTTTGGCAGTGGTAGGAGAGGGGACATGGGACAGTGACTGCAGGACTGACCACACAACCACCTCAAAGAGCGAGGGGACCCTTTTAGCTGATGCCTGCCTCAGTTTACTTGCTCTCCCAGTTTCTCCTTATGATTTGCTTGCACAGCAAACAAACGGGCTAAGCCTTGGCTGCTTCTTTCCGTTTAAAGGCTCAGAAGATGAAGACCACAGAGCCCTTGGCAGGAGATAACAATGACTGGCACTTTAAGGCAACACCAGGTCTGATTATCAGCCCCATGCAAGGTGAAATCACACTGCCCTTGCCCGGCCGTTACCCCATGCCCTACGAGGAAACGGCTGCCTGGCTGCTTCTCTGTTCTTTCTAGAAACTCTAAAAGGTAGAAGAAACCTCTCCAAGGAAATCGAAACTTTGGATCTAAACGAAGTTGATGGCATTTCTCTAATTTAGATATAAGCTCTGCCGTAACGCAAAATATCACTCCAGATATCAGCCTCTGCGCGTTTTTAGCTCTCTTTCATTTCAGCATTCGCAGCGTCCCTCACAGCTGGCCTCAAAGAGGGTCCGTTTCTGATCTACTGTCTGCCGGTTAATGCCCCTGTGCAAATTCCACTCCGCTTTCCGACTGGTGAAGGGAGACATCACTCAGGCTCGGGAGCAGGCTTCAAAACCCCGTGTCAGTCAGATTGCTTTTCATACCGCGATCTTTCAGTCTACACCGGCAAAGCTTTTGCCTTCGACTCTGATAAAGAACAGAGAAAATTGGATAAATTTCTAAGTTGGAGAGAATAATCCTACAGGGCCTCTTCACAGCCAGGCCTTGCTCCTTTCATAAGCGAGATGAAGTGGGGAGCGCTCTTTCAACTTGCCTTTTGTTGAGCTGAACAGTACGATCGCAGGTAAGTCAGAAAGCAAGATGCAGGTTCCCCAAAGATCTGACTGCGCCTCAGATTCTCTCATAAATGGATTGTCTATTGATATCTCAGCTCCCAGCCCCGCTTTGACTATTCACACAGACCCTAAAAACAACACACCTGCCCTCGGCTTCCGGATGAAAGCAAGGGAGAGGGGAGGCGAGTCAAGACGAATCAGCTACCCATAGCTGGTCGGGAAGGATCATTCTAAGATTAGGAAGGACCTTGCACATGCACAGGTGAAGGCTGCCACCCCCGATGGCAGCCATACTCTTCTCCTGACAGCACTAGGTTCACACCTGGGGTGCCCTGGCACCCCCGTTTCTGGGGCGCCATGCTGCAAATGCCTAAGCCCCAGCCTTCAGTCCCTGAGTTCTCACTGCTGTAAGAACACTGTAAACAACAGCACATAGGACATGTCGGAGGGAAGGGACGCGTGTGCCAGCTTAATAAGAAGCATACAATCCCTTGAGTGGGACAGGACTTGCTCTGGACTCATCAGCTCACTCAGGGCTCCCCAGACCTGCAAAGACAGAGTTCTTCCTCTCATCCACTGACCATCTGGGGAGGAGTTCAAACGAGGGCTCCGATTCTCAGGAGACCTGGGAGCTGTCACCTCACACTGGACACTGTACAGAGGATAGACTCGGGAGCCAGAGCACCTCCTGTGTTCATAATCCATCCACATGGGGATGCCAGAGAGTCCCAGCCAGAGAGCAGAGACCAGAGCTGGGAGCCCCACTTCCAGCCCTTGCCAGCTGTGTGCTCTAGAGCAACCCATTTTCCTAGCAGAATGTGGCCATGCACAAGTGACTTAGACTAGTGGTGCCACACTTTCACATCTGTCAACACAGAATGATGTGAGTACCTACTGATATATTAAATGGAATCATTTGTGCAAGCTTACTGACACCAATGCCCAGATAAGTATCCTGTGATTTTAGCTGTGATGAAGTTGGTGTTTCTGATGGGGAAACTGAAGCCCACTGGATTTCCGCCCAAGGTCACACAAATGCAAAAGGTGGGGACAGAGTGGTCCCCAGGATAGGCCAGGAGTATGCTTTGCGGGGTTGCAGCCCCTGCAAGAGGTGCACAGCTGAGTGCTGGACCCAAGCTGGCTTCGGGCATGGTGAGGGCAACTGTAGCCTTGGAGAGTTCAGCCTTCAGGGGTAAGGGTCTCTTGGCCCTCTCTGGCATGACCTAACCCAAAGATTTCTTTCTGGTCTAGATGGGTGAAGACAGGAAAAGCAACTGCAGCTGGGGCCTGATCAGTGGAGTGATGGCTCAGTAGAGGAAAACTCTAGGCAGTTTCTGTTTCTGGGTCACCATAATCAAATCTGGTGACATTGAGTTTCTGTCAGAATCAGCTGGATATTTGGGGACATACTCTTCATAGTCCTTGGAATCCAGCCTCCACCCCCAAATTAAATAAATTTGTAGTTTAAAAATAATACACACAGAAGGCATAATAAGGCCATTAAAGCTGAAACAATAATGGTTTAGCCATCAAAAATTGAATACATATCCTGTTGTGACAATGTCAGTACAAGAATGCCATCTTCCATTTCATGGGAGAAACTCTCTTTTATAGTTTGTATGCCTCCTATTTCTTAATTGTTAAAATCTCCTTTCTTTTCCAAATGAGCAGAGGCACACATGGTTGCTTGAGGTTAGTGTTGGGTTTTCTCTTTTTCCTCAATTAGTAACATGAAGATCCGGCAGGATGTTGACGCTGGCATCTAGAAAAACAGTTTCCTGTAAAGTCCGAAAAATCTGAACTCGTGTACCCACCTGACCTCTACGCTTTTCTAAAGGTGAAGTGATGGCTTCCACAGCCAGCCAGCTGGGCTGCATACCCACCCTTCTGCCTCTAGCTCAGCCTCCCTCTCCTCTCCCCAAGATGGAGACAGGCCACTGGCCCTGGGGTCCTTGTGGGATAACAGAGAGCCAGGCCTTGAGCCTTTCTTGTGGGTCCCTGGAATGCTCAGCAGCAAGTGGAAGGGCTGTATGAAGGGAAAACTGAGCAGGTGCTTCAGTAACCAAATCCCCTTTGCGGAGCCCAGATAAACCCACGCAGGCCACATTCTACTGAGAGAGTCATTTCCAACAAAGAGTGATGAAAAATTAGTGTCGCTAAGTTAGTGAAATAAGCACATGATAGATAATTATAGGCTTATAGCACCTCATTTGTTGCCTGATATAACTAAAAGAAGTGTAGGCAGCCAGAGTTGGGTGTTCGGGTGCCTGGAGCATACGAAGGCAACTAGTATTCACCAAGCATTTCTACGGCCCCAGGTCACACGCCGAGTGCTTTCTATAGAACCACTCTCAGTTAGGAACTTGATTTTCAGCTGGGAGGGAGTAATTTTGCCCCTTTCCCGGCATATTTGGCAATCCGGGGGTGCATGTTTTGGCTGCCACATTGGAAGGCACTCTGAGAGTGTAACAACAGAGACCAGAGATGTTGCTCATTATCTTGCAGTGCATAGGACAAGCCCCAACAGCAAACAATTCTTCCACCTACAAGTCAAAGGTGCTGAAGTTGGGGAACCTGCTGCAGATGTTAGGGTTAAAGTGACAGCTGTGGGCCACTCTCTAAATAAGAGCATCTTCCTACAGGAGTTGCCATAGAGCTAGCCCTGCCATTCTGTCCTCCCAGCTATTTGCTATAATCACATTGTCATTGTTACCAGGTCCCGTGTCATCCTTGCTGTGTTCAAGCCCTGGAGGGGGAGGTGACTTGTCACCTTGTTCTCACAGCCAGTGGTAGAGGAGCTGCGGATAAAACCTCCAGGATCTGACCCCAGCACCTTGCAACGCCACTACATGGTGCCCTGGTCTGGGAAAGGACCTCCCTTTTCTACTCCTGGACTAAGTGGCAAGATGTCTCTTCTCTGGGCTTTATTCATGACAGCAGGATGAGTTCTGGAGCCAGCCCTGCTTTGGGACTTTCCACATTCCCTGAAATAGAAATTGCAACTGTTCCTGCCCCCTCCCATCCCACCAGAACACTGCAGCTAGGATAAAACAATGGGAACTGGTCCGTGGGTGTCAGCCACGGTTCCAGTATTCTTATTCATACCATCACTTGTATACGGCCTACACCCTGATTCTTCACTTGCCCGCACTCTCTGACGGGAACTCTTAGGATGCCTCCCTCACTTAGTGGTTTTACTCTACACTCATTTATACCACAGCAGCACCTGCTCAGGCCCTTGGCCTTTGAACTTGCTTTTGTGCTTGCCTAGGGTGTTCTGTCCTCCTCTGTGATCTTTGAACCTCAGCTCAAATGTCCTATTTTCAATGACAGTTACCCTGGTGGCTTATTTCAATTTGCACAGATACGTGAGCGCACACACACACACACACACACACACACACTCCTTCCCACTTCTCTGTCCTATCTGTCTCTGTCTCTGTACCATGTTGATCACACTCTGACAGCCACACACTTCGTGGCCATGCTTTATCTCTCTCCCAGCTAACAGAAGTCCGTGGGCATGTAACTTGGGTGAATCTTTCTGTTGACAACTGTACTTCCAGGGCAAGGAACAGCGCCTGGTGACAAGCAAGTGCTCAGAAAGCACTGAGTGATTGAATGAATCATCCCCACTGGGAGGATACAGACTAAACAAGGTGGGTAGGAGGGGGCAGACTCATCTGGCCTGGGTCCCCCGAGGGCCCTTACCTCACTCTGCAGGGCATGGGCTCTCTTGGCCCAGGCCATCTTTAGATCCTCAGGCAGTGCTGTGAATTCATGGCACTGTATGCGGTAGTCGTGGTCACTGGCCAGGGCCTGGGCCTTCCGGGCGTGGACCAAATGCATCATGTCCATGGGGAGGTGGCACTGGGCTTGGCTGCTGGTCGCCTCTCTTCTGTACTGGAGCTCGCTCTGCAGCTGGCCCATCCGCCGGCAGTGCTGCAGCCGGGGGTCTTCATGGACATTCTGGATTCCAATGAACTTTCCCCGCTCCTTCACAAAATCGTGTCTGTAGAGGAACTGTTACGGAGGAACCTCTGCTCAGGGGCTGGCCTCTGGCCTGTTCCAATGCCCTCTGTGCATTTTCAGTGCAAACCCTTGAAAGATCACCTACTTCGCTAATAGGTGGTGAGCATATGGGAAACCACAGTGAGGTGGCCCATGAGCACACCTTCCTCTGTGGGTGGTGGTGGTGGGGTGAACAATTAAAACACTGCTCCATTCTTCCCACCTCATTAAAATCCCAGCTTCAGAACCCACATAGAGGCCCCACTCCCCTTATGTGTCCTATGGCCAAAAGCGATTTATCAAAAAGGGTAAAAGAGAAACGTGTGCTTTGTCTGTTCACACTTGGCAAAACATTAAACCCCAAAGACAAGATCCATGTATTTGAAGTCCACGTTTTCTGTGATTTGTTTGTGGGAAAGAGAAAGTCACCTTCATATCCCAAAGCTATGGATGCTATCAACAGAACCGCTGAGATGCAGCCGGCAAGTCCTAACACCAACACAGGGAACTGCAGAGCGCTGGGAGGGAGGAGCGCTACATTTGTCTTGCAATTTTTCACTTTCTAGTTCTGGGTAGAGCTAGCAGCACAGGCCCTTTGTGCACTACCAGGAGACTGTTGCCCAGACATTGATCGCTATTAGAAATAAGTTGCCATTTCCTTTCTGCTGGAGACCTTTGCCTGAGTTCAGCCTCTGATGCGCATGGCGTCTTGCCTCCCTTCTGCCTGGCAAAGGTCTCGTTCACATCTAATGTATTCTGCAAGTGACATCCTGTCTCACATGGTTACAGACTCACTTTCATCCAGGAGAATCAGCCACAGATATTGTTTTACATGAAGCTAACAGAAATTAGGCAAGATGGAAGGTCATCTCATTCCACTCACATCGCTGACTATGTCTCCAGAGGCCCGGGCAGCCTGGAAGGGGAGCGCCTGCGTTGTCAACTTGTAGCCTTGAGCACGAAGATTGTGCCAAGACTCCTTGTATTTCACCTAAAGAGGAAACATGTGTAGATCTTCCTTTAAAAATAAAGCAACACACGAATCAACATGCAAAGGCTTATCCTGTCATGGGCAGCCAGACATGGAGCAAATCTCATGGGCACCCACCCGTAGCAGGCTCCCTGGGACACAGAAGCACTCAGCACCTGGTGAACGGGCACATTTAACATGGCCATGTGAAAACATGCATTTTCAAAGGCCTCTGTAAAGGCCAGCTGGAGGTCACTGTTCATTCCCTTCATGGAAACGCACATGTGTGCATCTGGAGCACACTTGAACTTAAGCAATGAGGAAGGCTTACGTCACTCAGGTTGGCTGCATTGGCCTTTGCCCGGATCAACTCGGGCAAGCCCAGGGTCATCGTGTACTGGTGTCTCATGTCTTCTCCAGCAGCTTTATAGAGGCGCTGGGGCCAAAAACAAAGATAAGGAGGTCAGCACTGTGCATCCCCGCCACCATACCCCTTCCAGAAGCCCCTCTTTGGCAGTGAGGGAACCACATTAGGAAAAGGCTATTTGCTGCATCACCAATAGCACCTTCAGCCTGATGAAGATGTTTCTTTGAATAAAGACAGTCATTCATAAGTCAACTTGATTGATGGAACAGGAAAAAGAATTGCCATCTACTTGGCTAAGAGAAGAAGAAACAGAAATAGAAGATTCTACACCCGCATCATACTCTTTTGCCTTTGAGGACATAGCACAAAGGCAATACTAGGAGAGCTGGGAGTGGCTCTGCCTGGTGAAAGGGGGTTCCCTCCCTGAACTCCAATCTGCACTCTTTACTGGACCCAGAGACCCTTTCCATGGTGTCTTCCCCTGAAAAGCACCAGCTCTCGCGAGGAGACGCAGGTGTGCAGCTGCTGACTTCTCCAAGACACCCCAGAGGGCATGGTTATCCCGTGGCACCTGACTTTCAAAGTGAGTAGGAAAGGTGGAATAGAAATTAAGCAGTGTCACTAAACCAGATCATCGGTTCTGTTTCTTTGAACTGCCTTAGCCCTGGCTGCTGCTTCTTCCCTCCCAACTTGGGTAAGGATGGGAACTAACAAAATAAGTGGGAAAATCTGAACTGACATCTGAAAGAGTAGATGGGAAATGCTAAAGAGTCAAGATGATTGATTCTGCACGTGTCAGTCTTGCCTATTCAAATCTATCAGGCAGCCATTTGGCGGGGTGAGCATTTGGTTCAGCAGTGAAGGTGCCAGTTGGAACATCTGCGTCCCCCCCCCGTCAAAGCTCCCACCTCCAGTCCTGGCTCCTCTACTTCTAGCTTTCTGCTAATGCATCCTGGGAGAAAGCAGGCGAAGACCTGAGTGTTTGGGTCCCTGCCTACCCACAGGGGAGGCCGTGATTGGGTTCTGGACGCCTGGCTTTGGCCCGACCCAGCCTCAGCCACTGCAGACATTTGGGTGGTGAACCAGCAGTTGGGAAAATCTCTCTTTCTCTGCCCTTCAAATAAAAAGAAACTGAAAAACAAAACAGGTAGTTCTACTAAGAAGTAGAACGAATAATCTTGGGATAGCTTTGTGGAATGGGAATTCTTCCTTTGTGTCTTCCCTCTGCTAGAGACTACTAAAATGTGAATTGGGTAAAGGGTGAGTGAGGAAAAAAAAAATCTAGACATCTGACTCACACCATCCTTTGTAACTGCTGTGGACAGCCACAACTTAGGGGAAGGGCTGTCCTATAATGTGAAATCATCTAGGGCAGGCATTTGGCATAGTGTTTAAGGCACTGTTTGGGACCCCAGTACCCCCATATCAGAATGTCTGGGCTCAAATTTCATAGGTGTTCCCAATTCCAGCTCCTAGGACTCATGCAAGGAGCATGTTAAGTGGATTCAGAGGTTCGTGGGCTGCTGCTGTGGCTGGCCGGGGCCTCAGCCCCCCACTTTCCTCTGGAATGGGCTCAGGTTCCAGGTGATGCCCCCTGTCTTTTCCATACCTCCATACAAGTCCCCAACTGCTCTCCCGACCCTAGCCACAAAACACTCATGCAAGTTTTGCACAACTCCTTGGTTTTTAAAAAGCCTCTCCAAAGCCATCAGTAGACGTTACCTCATTTGTGATCTGGTTGGTGAATTTTGCATGCAGAAGGTCGGGAGTGTCTGTCACGGCTGTGTGTTTGAACGACCAGGGATGCTGACGGTATTTACTCTGAAGAAAAGCAGGTGATTGTATCAGGCACACGCCAGAGGAAGAACTATGTGTCACGTCCTAGCTGTGAAGCCTCACTTTGCGAAGGTTCTTGGGGGACCCTCGAAATCCAGTCAGCCACCTGCTTTTGGGACCTCAGAGCTCCCTGGGCTGATGGAGCAGGAGGAAGGTAGGCCCATGGTGGAATGAGATGCTCATGGGGGAAAGGGAAACTGGGCCTTTACTGTGAACATGAACTTGGAGGTTACTAGCCTTGACAGTACATGCACATGAACACACATACACGGACATGCCTGCACCCCACCCTATAAGACTAGGAACACAGCGGCAATGGGGACTGGGCCACTGCATGTTTTATACTCTATACTGGGTCCTGCTACACCACACTGGGCAGAACTTGGGGTTTGCGAAAGTCTTCACAGAGCAGATGTTGTCTCAGCATGCCTAGCAAGTCCATCTGATGACTCTGGCAGGACACTGAACACTCCCAGCCACCCCAGGGCCTCCCATCAGAAGTCCTGTGACCCTCACACAGTAAAATGATTGCTGAGTGACATGTTCCAGAGCACTTGGAACTCTAGGATGTCCTTTTGTTCTCTAAGATATTATCTCCAACCATTTCACTTATAGCTGCCAGTGAGGCACAGCTTAGAACTGCGCATGCTCACCAGATAAGCAATAACAAACAGGGGAAGTAGAATTTATCCACTCAATTAGTTGAGATGCAGAGGTTCCGAGAGGGTAAGTCATCAGTTTGAGATCACAGAGCAAAGGAGTGCTGTCCTGGAACTTCACTTTCTCCTTGAGGCTCCAATGGCCACTCTCAGAAGGAGCAGAAATTGTGTACATCTGATGAGCCAATGAATGATTCTGAAGGGTCAATACAGGTCCGATATATCTGTTTTAACTGTAGTCTACATTAACTGGAGAATCCAGGGAGCAAATGACCATGCTGGGCAACTGCCCTAGAGGTTAAGATTCCTGTTAAGCTGCTCAAGGACATGGTCAACATGTCTGGCCAGCCACCTGCCCCTCTGCTTCCTGCTAATGCAGACCCTAACAGGTCGTGGTGATGGCTCCAGGAACTGGGTTGCTGATATATAAGACCTGGACTGAGTTTCCAACCCTTAGCGTCTGATCTGACTAGTCCTACCCGATGCTGGCATCTGGGGAGTGAAGCATCCAATGGGTTATTTTTTCTCTCTCTCTCTCACTTGCAACTAAACAATTTTTCCATTAAAAAAAAAAGGAGGAGGAAAAGAAGCCAGGTCAGACTTCAGTTTAGGCCAAGAGTGGCCCCTGCTAACAACAGGTGAACACACCCAGCTGATTTTCGCAGAAAGAAAGAAGCTGGGTGTGGAGGAACAGCCCCTCTCTTTCAGGGGAACACACAGGACCCCCTGTGTTCACAAAGAGTCCCCAGGTACCTCACTGATGAGCTCTGATGCTTTCTTCCTGCCTTCAATCTCCACTGTGCCAGGAACGACACAGGCCACGCCCCGCATGAAGTTCAGGTCCGACCGGTACAGATTCTGCAAAGAGGAAAGCAAGCAAATCAGGAGGAAAAAGCAAAACCAGAGACCTGCAGGGAGTGTGGGAAGCAGAGCCCCAGCCACACCGGTCTCCCCAGATGATGCTGAGCTTCTAGGCAGATGCCCACCAGCCAAGGTGGAGCCGCAGGAAGGAAGAAAAGAATTCTGCAGTCCCTTGTCTCAGAGTGGTTATCACAGAGAGGCTAGGTGGGTTTTTACTTTGATGTGGGTTATCAAAAATAAATGCTGGACTGGAGTGTGGTTTTAAACAGCCCTACTGGTCTTTGTGAGCAGAACCCAAGAGCCACAGGGCAGCACTCAGCAACCATGGGGTGAATCTGAAACCATCTGGCAAAGGTCTGTCTGCAGTCATGAGAAGGGGGCATGTGTGTGTCCCCTGAGTGATCTGGGGTTGACAGTTGAAACAGTCCCCAGATCCACTGCCCTCCTGCCACCCTGAGTGCGTTGCCTTCCAGCACCAACACAACCATAGGTCAGGCATGCCAGGACCCAGCTCCAACAACAGCAGGACTGTGGTGAGTTGAGCATGGCAGCTCCCTTGCTCCTGCCGCTGCTTCCAGGGCTTGTTGCTGAGTAAATGCTGTACTCAGCATTGGCATGAAGTTGGCACAGATCTGAGTACTGCTGGGCTCGCGGGCACCGCCAGACCAGGAGGGAGGGCCATTGTCCTGCCTGGGCCTGTTGCCTGCAAATCTCATTGCACATGAAATCTAGCAAGTTGGGACATGGGACATCTGATCCAATAGGATGCTGCAACCTCTCTGGAGGCGTGGTCTGCGGCTCTTGGGCAGTGAGGACATCCTCTGGGGCTGTCCCTGACTTCCTGGCCTGCCTGCTCAGAACCAGGCATCAGGACTGAAATGCATCATCCTGGTACCATAGCACCTCCTTGAGCGGACCCACGAGAAATGCTTGGACCTGGATTTCCCACCTCACCCACAATACCCTCTTCTCTTTGATATGGGTCAGTTCTGAAGGGTTCTCAGCAGCCTCTCCAAAATCTCAGCTTTAGGGGCTAGCATGGTGTTACAACATATTAGGCCGCTGCCTGCACCAATGTCAGGGTCTCCTATCAGAGCTGTCCCCAGACCCAACCACCTGCATCCATGATTGCTCTGCTTCCCATCCAGCTCCCTGCTAAGGTAGCTTGGGCCAAGCAACAGAAGACGGCCAAATCCTTAGGTCCCTGCCATCCAAGTGAGACACCCAGATAAGCTTCCTGGCTCCTGGCTTTGGTCTGATTTAACCCAAGCTATTGTAGTCACTTGGGGAGTGAACCAGAGGATATAAAACATCTTCTTGCTTGTCCTGAGACAGGAAAAGAGAGAGAGAGAGATCAGGGCTGTTCAGAAGACGGTGACACAGGGATGGATGAGGCCCCAAGATGGATCTCCAACTAGCTGGATCTGCTCCATGGGCAAATCCTCTGTGTGCAAGCCATGAACTCAAGTTATTCAGTCCCAGTACCCTCACTTCTTAAGTGCAATTGTGAGAACTTCAGCGAGTTGTTGGCCTTCTTTGTGCCTTATGGTAATTTCTCCATAAAATGAGAATAAAGGTGCCAACAGAGGGAGATCGATGAGATAATATGGAAACTCAGCCTGGAAGTCAGCAGAGTGCCAACACACAGAAGCCATGCGAGAAGATACGTCAATCACGCTCAAGGGGGACGTGCGGAACTCTCCAGCTGCATGTGCAAAGCATATGCAGGTTGAGATCGCCTTGCCTTGGGGTATGGAGCAGGGCCTGAGCAGGGCTCCGAGGCAGGGCAGTGGGTCCCCGTTACCTCACTCTGCAGTCTGTGAGCCTGCTTGGCGCAGCTTAGCCTCAAGTCTTCTGCCAGGGAGGTATACTGGGGCAGTGGATGTCTGTAGTCCTGGTCGCTGGCCAGGGTCTGTGCCTTCTTGGCATGCACCAGGGTAACCATGTCCAGTGGCAGATGAAACTGTGCCTTGGAGTTCTCAAAGCCTTTCTTGTAATTTACCTGGTGGGGCAGACACATCAACAGCAGCTGTTTTAAAGTCACCACTGGCTAGGTGAACATCAGGGAGAGCTACTCAGTGCATTTGTTGGGATCTGCCTGGGATGATCCTGGCAGTGTGGGTGCTCCCTTCTTTCTGGCAACCTAACAGATGCATCCTGTCGCAGGTCCTGACACTCCTCACCCTTGCTCAGTTCCCAGGAGTCATTGGTCTTGAGGAAGAAGCCCTATGGTTGGGGTTACCCAGAAGTTCAAGGAATCAGTGCAATGACAATGATCCCCTTACTCAAGTGCTTGTCTCTTTCCATTTCCAGGGGCAAGCAGATGCACAGCTAACTAGTGCTCTATCCACCCTCTTTTCCTCATCATCTGCCAAGTTCAAGCACCAGTGCTTCTTCCTCAGGAACTCAAGAAGAGCCTCCTCCCAGCCTTGGATGACTGCCTCGTGAAGCAGTGTATAAGACACGTGGAGACAGATACCCCCAAATTCTGCCACATTCTGAGAGAGGCAGGGGGAGGTCATTCCAGACTAGCAGTTCCACCGTCGTCTCTGGAGGAGCTGTTGAAAGGTACCTGAAGTTCCAAGACATTTGGTTCTCCCTAACGGCCTCTTCTGCAGTCTCTGCCGCCCTGTCCGCTGTCCCCTCCTGCCCTCACCCTCAGCAAAACAACAATGCACAAACCAATCCCAGACTCCCAGGACAGAAAGGGGAGGAAATGATACGAATGGGGAAAGTAGGGCAGAGGATGTATGAAATGACAGAGGGAGAATGGGCTGGCTCCGTGTCCTGGCTCTGCCCCTTTCTAACTGACCTCGGGCAGCCACTCAGCCATCCAGCGTCTCCATCTCCTTTTCAGGGTGGAGTTCCCAGAGTATTGGACAAGGGACCAATACTGTGCATGTGGAAGTTTTTATTTTTCTGTAATACACTGAGCACAAATTTCATTGCTGGCATTAGCAAATTCATCCATGTTCACCAGCAAATGAAAGGTCATAATCGGCAACCACAGTGCGGAGGCAAACTCCGATAACTGTGGATCAGGCAGGTGCCACGGGTCCTAAAGCCAGAAGCTGGAGAAGGAGGTGGCTGAGTGATGGGTGAGCGCACATCCGCTCCAGCGGGAACTGTCAATCACCACATTCAACTTGGGAACTCAGTCCGACTACTGGCCAGAAGTCTCACACTTTCATATAAAAGTTTCCATGTTTAAAGCTTTGCAATTAATCCACTCTATAAGCCAAATCCAGCTCACATTCTAGCACTGGTCAAAATCAAAGATGCCCCAGCTTAGAAGGAAATTAAAGCATCAACTGGTCCCACCTCATTTTAGAGAGGAGTAAACGAAAATCCAGAGGTGATTCAGCAATGCCATCAAGCAAGACAGTGGTCAAATCAGTGCCCACTTCCAGAAGTACAAATGACATTAGCTGGCAGCAGTGGTGGCGTGCGCATCCATGGGTGAGGCCCACGTGCCCACAGCCTTTTCTCCCACTTACATCGCTCTGCAGAGAGGTCGCATGTACTGAATGTGCAAGGCTGAGATCATCTTCCAAGCTCCGGGAGCCAAGCATCTGTCCTTTCATTTTCTCAAATGCCTCTTTGTATTTGTACTAAAGGGAAAGAGAGCGAGAGAGAGTCACAGCTCGGGGGACAAGGGACACGGAATGGAAGAGGTGGGTATTGGGCGACAATGTTTTGTTCTTTTGACAGTAACCGGGGGAGTTAAAAGAAACCGCGCGGGAGTCGGCAAAGGGTCTATTCTTTCATATGCAAGACTCCCAATGACTAAAGGGCTCAGCGATGAAATGGCAGGACGCTGCAGCACGTGGGCGGCCCATGGCAGAGGAAGGTGGGTGCATTGTTAGCAGTCTCTTCACATGGACTCGCTTTCTGCAATCTCTTGGTAGAGGGTGCATTTTATCTGCCCAGGGTCCATGTGTACTGTGTCCAGCATTTGGCTTTGTACCCCAGGCCAGGCAATTTTTTTTGTTGTTGTTGGAAGATTCGTTCTTTCTCACCGGTCACTATTTGATTGCGCTAACCCAGTTGCTTTGGAGAGGAGAGGATATTAACCACAGGCAAAGAAGGCAGAGGTTAGGAGCAAAAGGAGTGAAAACCGATTAGTAGTGCTCAACACCAGTGCAGTCCTGAAGGCTCACATCGCTGATGATTTTGCCGGAAGCCTTTGCTGCCTGGAACGGAAGGGCATCCAGCCTCAGCTTGTAGCCACCATCTCGAAGTTTGCTCCAGGACTCCTTATAACGCGTCTGTCAGGAATATACAAATAAGCCCAGATAAGGACCTCGCCGTGACCCTGTGATTTCCAAACCCTCAGTTTGTCATAAGGGGGTAAGCTCTGTTTTGTGGTTGGGTTTTCTCCCTGTACCCTACTTGAGGTTAGAGACTACGCAGGAAAAAATTAAACAGGATGATCATCAAAGATCTGCCTCTTGCCTCACACATGTGCTCAAAGCGGGTAAAGCTGCAAATGGGACAAGGTTACAAATGCCAGGGCTCTGGAGTCAGACGCAGAATTTCCTAAGAAGCAAGTGGACTGAAGGAAGAAAGAGATTGTTTGGACACAGTTCTTCATATGTAAGAAGTCAGAAGTTTCCTTCAGAGATCAGAAACAGTGTGTGGGGTACTGAGTGAGGGAAAGGCTTTGAGCTGACCCTCGCCTTGCTACATTTGCTGGATCTATTCAGCCCACCTGAGATGCTCCCACATCCCAGCTCATCAGTGCCGATGCTGTTTGTTCTAAGCCAGACACTTTCCTAGTCCCATTCTTTCCAAAGAGCCTGACCCCTCTTGCAGGACCAGCTACATAATCCACAGAGTTTAGTGTACAGGAGAATGTAGGCCTCTTGCTAAAAAAAAACAAATCATTAAGTTTCAAGACAAGAAGGAAGAGCATAAAGGCAGCACTGGGTCTTTTTGGACACAAGGCACCGTGGGCAGTGCCCAGGAAGCAAGTCATGACCCTCTTGTCAGTAACATCAGCGCCCCTTGCATCAGCCTCACCTCACTAATATTCATGGCATTCAACTTGGCCAACAGCACTTCCGGGAGATCAGCAGTCGGCGTGTAACGATGCTTGATGTTTTCTCCCTGTTCCCTATACAACCTCTGTGGACAGAGAGAGGATTTGCATGAAACCCAGAGCCTCCCTGATACAGGCATCCTAGACGCCCCCCACCCAAGCGCCACAACTGCCATGTCATCAGAGACACGACTGCAGTGCCCTGTCCCCACTAAGACTTCACAGCTAGCAGAGGCCCAGTTCAGATTATGACATGCTGCAGTTTCCCATTAGTGAGTGCTGTACTCCTGGCATGCCACGGAGATGGATGTCAAGCAGGACAATGAGGTCTCTCCAGTCCCTCATTACTTGGAAGCACCAGACGTGGGAGGCAGTGGAGGAGGTGTTCTTACACAGGTGAGGCTTGTACCATCCCTGCTGGAACACTCTGCCCTCCTCCTGGTTCAAGGACCCTGGCCCCAGTGGGTGCTAGGTAGTCTCGGGACCTGATCACCCAGAAATCTGATTTGGGCTCCTGATATCCTAATAGTTGGCAGTGACACACAGAGTTGGCATCAGTCATTACAGAAAGTTTCTAACCCTGGCTTTTCTAAACCCGAATCTTAGCAGACGCGTCCAAGTTTCTACGTATCACAGCAGTGCCCCCTAGAGTTGGTTAGGATTAAGGAGGAAGCAAGCATTTTTTTCCTTCACACGAAAGTTCTGGCTTGACCCTCTGTATTTTTCAAAATGCTATTTGATTCTGATGAGCTGATTATCAAGAAATTATAAGATTCTAAATGGAGAAGCACGCCAATCACCCTGTCACACACATCCCGACAGGCACTGAGGTCAGTTCAGAATGCCTGCTGCAGATAGCCAAGTCAGAGTAATTGGCTCCGTCAGAAAGCAAAGGAGAAGACTCTGAAACCCCTCCTCACACCGTTTGCCAATTCACCTTGTGGAAAACTGAATGACTTTCCAATATTGAAAGCCAGGTCTGGCCTTTACAAAGATCTGTGGGCTCCTTTCAGGGCAATCAGCCAAAAAGAGGGAATCCATGTCCTAACGTGAATTTCTAAAGGGTCCCCATCACTTAGCTTCATCTCCAGCCCCGGGACCAGGGAGCAAAGGGTTGGACCTTGGCCTCCCATCCAAAAGGGAGCGTGAACAATGGGCTGGATATTGATCGTTAGTTGTTCATCGTGTACATACACATCAGAGGCAGGTCAGCCAGCAACACTTCCAGAGCTTGGGCCGCCAAGAGCCCTTAAACCTGACCTCGGTTTTCCAATGACCAAGCATTTCACCCAAGTCCACAGTCCTGAAAGCAACCCTTTCAAACAAAAGGAGAGGGGGAGACGGCCTCAGGCCTCATCAGGGATGCAAGAGTGAGACATGCAAATGGGGAGGCGGGAGCGGCATCCTGGGGCAGTGGGGTGCGGAGCCCCACTTGGCATCCGAAGTGTAGGAACGCCCCGTGGGCACGGTAATGAGGAAGCACTCCCACTAAGGGGGCCTCTGCAAAGGACAAGGAGCTCCTTCATCCTTAGGACAACAGAAGGAGCAAGCCCAAGGACCCCTGTGCTTCAATCGCCGTGTTGAAAGAACAGCCCACTCTCAGAGTCATAATGTATATACATTATCACTTACATCCACAGCCTGGGTATAACTAATTCTGGCCTGGACCATCTCCGGAGTGTCTTTAATACTGGTAAACTTCAAAGCATCTGGATGCTGACGGTACAGCTTCTGTTGAGCAGAAAAAGATCAAAGCTGTGAATTTTGTGCTGCTCTTTCATGCCATTTGAAAGAGAAAATCATAGGTTGCTTGAGATTAGAGTGAATTTGTGAACATAATTATTATTCTACTTCCTCCATCTTTCTATCCTAGGTGCCTTCAGGTTAATATTTGTTTCAATTTAAGAATAACCTCATGTCAATTAACATTAAAGTATTTCCACCTGGTGCAAAGACAACATCTCAAAATTAGGTTACACTGGTAAAATACTGTAGGATACACACTTAGGAAGGATTCTCTTTAGAGGCTTCAAATGCTATGTCACAGTTGTTTACATATCTTAGTTTGGCTCCTCTGAGCAAGAAAGAGCATTCGTAGTTATATTTTTCCATTGAGGCTGTTTTCCCCACAAAAGGGCTCAGCAGATACCACCATCGAAACCCTTCCATTGAACAGACCCCAGCCAACTGCTTCAGAGCCAGACTCAGTTAACATATGCAGGAAGTCTTAAAATGTTACAATCACGCACAAAAAAAGGAGTGCTTTCATTAGAAGCCATCATACAGTGTGAAGAAATGAAACAGACAAAAAAAATCACAATGGCCTTAAATGTTGGTATACGCATGGGCACTGTGGGTTGTGGAGCATTCTGAAAACCTTAAATTAATTGATTTTGCCAAAAAACATAGTTTTGTTTGAGAGGCAGAGAAACAGATGGGAGGGGGGGGGGGGGAAGGCTCCAATTTTGCTGGTTCCCTCCCCAAATGCTTGCAAAGCTTCCTAGTTGGTGCCAAAGCCAGGAGGCAGGAACCCAGAGGCAGGAACTTGATGCACATTGCCCATGTGGACAGTAGGAAACAATGTTATAAGCATCACTTCTGTGTCCCAGCATCTGCACTGGCAGGAAAGAACCCACACTGTCTGACACGGGATGCAGGCATCTCCACCTGCTCCTAGCTACTAAGCCAAATGGCCATGTCTCCTTTCTCTTTTTAATCAAAGTCTATTTTCTGGGGATTGAAATCATATGTTTTTTTTTTCCAAAAGGAAATAATTGTTTCATAATCATTCCCTCACAGGTCTTACTGGATTTTTATATATGAGACTGTCTTAGGATGGCTAAATATCCAAGAAAAGCTGGCTTCCCATCTGTCTTTGGAAAAAGTTTTTCTGAACATGCTCATTCTTTTCAGTGTTGTCTTTGGCTGCTTTGCAGTCATGACAGAGACCACATGACCTGCAAGGCAGAAAATCCGTGCCTTCTAACCCTTTACGGGACAGCTTTGCTGATTCTGGCCTTATGCAACAGGTATGGGTGTGTCAACTTTGGTGGCTCTGTCACAGTGTCTGCCATTGTGTCTGAAAGCTAAGAAGGCAGCTCTCAACATTGACCTGAAAATGTGCCAGCCTGAAATGAGACAGCTGGGAGAAACTGCTGGAGGGTGTCTTATCAGACTCAAAAGTCTAAGGACTTGCCTGAGACATCAAAATAAGCAACTTCTTTGAAAAACTTGGCAAAACTAAGTGGCAAATGAAGACCAATGTGTGATAAGTGGGTCCCCAAAGATCTCATGGCAGCCAGAGACAGATCAAAAAGAAATCAACCTGAAGTCTAACGTGTGCATATAACAGTCCTGACTCTTTTTTTTTGTAAGCGTCCAATAGTGGCCCAATAACTAGGAGTTTGGGATTATGAATCTTCAAACCTAAATGTCTGTTCTGTAAAGTTTTCATGTTCATCTTCTATGCGCTCCTCTCCATAACCAGACTGAATAATTCACTGAAGTATTGCCCTTGCTGTGTTCTCAGGGTCTTTGTTGACTCAGGTGTTAACCAAGGTTCCCCAAAATGAGGCCAATCAGACAAAAGTCCCTGAGGATGCTGGCTCTATTATCAAGTGATCAGTTGGCCCCCTCAATGGACAGATGCATTTGAGAAGCCAAACCAGGGGTCTTGTGTCTTAAGCACGGCATTCCATCAGAAAGTATTCACAAATCAAGATCCCAGGAGGCTCATGCCCAAAGCAAAAATCTTGCAAGGTTATGGCTGTCATTGTCACCTCCACATCCAGAAAAGTCCAGAGAGAGGCTGCTGCACTGAAGGCAGCTGAAAGGAACTAAAAAAAGAAGAAGAAAAGACTCCCTGGGCTTCCAAGAAAGTCCCTCCACAGATACGGAGAGACTTGGCTATGATTGCTTGATGGCGTTCAGCTCAGCTCAAGTACGAGCCAGGACAATTCCCCCAAGGGATGCTGGGCAGAGAATGTGTCGGTTGCCCCAACTTGAAGCTATCCATGTCGTGGGCAGAGGTCAGCGATGCTGCCAAACAGCCTGTAAGACACGAAGAGCCTTCACAACACAGCATGGTGACACTGTCCCACCTGGCAGACCGAGACAAGCCCTCATCCAGACTTTATAAACAGCTGTTTGATGGCACCACCCTAAAAAAAATGCCACAAACTGGCTCTTTTTTTTACCCCCTTTAAGCAACAATGCCTTAGAGTGGCTACAAGTTGGCAGGAGTAAGATTTAAATAGAAACGAGACATCTCTCCCACAAGATAGAGCTATGTCACATGCCATTGTCACGTGAATATCAAAAACTGTTTACACTGAGGAAGAAAATGTGTCACAAAGAAGCTTCCTGGGTGCCTTAAATGCATCTTTTCATCATCTCTCCTGTGTTGCTTCATTAAAAAAGGTAAGTTGGTGGGGAGCAATTGAGCCCTGTTTGATTGTCATTATTATTCATAATATCATTTGTCACCCACTTTGTTTTTGCCAGGGCTCAATGGGCCCCTACTGGTGTGTGTTTGGTATGTGGTTTCCCTCTAATTACCAGCCCTAGTCTGGGTTTTGAGGCCTTTCATGTGGCTTTCCCTTTTTCTTTGCCTTTTGAGTGGAAATTATTTTAATTTTATACAGAAACACCGCACGCCGAATGCAGCCAGGCCCGCTGCACGCTGTCAGGAAATCTCACCTCGCTAATGAGTTCTCCTGCCTTCTTCGCCTGCTCCACATTTAATGACCCGGTGGCGACCCAGCCCGTGCCTTTCATCCACTTCACATCTGCCCTGTATTGGTTCTGACAAAGAAGGAAGGAAAAAAAAAAAAGAAGAAGAAAGAAAGGCAGGCCATTGTTGGCACAGAGACATTTAAAGGGCTATTAGCCGCTCCCAGCTCCCAACGTAGCACTGGTGCCAGCTGAGTCAAATTAGATGCCTCTTTTGTCTTATCTGATTCTGCACTGTCACAGGTAGGGCTCTGATGTGTAAATTAATTTCCCCTTTAACTGGAGCCTTCCCTGTGGTTGGCGGCGTTTAGGCCCCACCCAATGCTAGGGAAGGAGGAGCCGAGAGGATGGGGGGCTATGTCTCCCTGTCTCCCTATTTTCCTGAACTATCGGTTTGCTTCTTGAAAATGACATGTGAGGGAGAAGCAGATGAGAAACCACAACAGGGCTCAGGTGGCAGTTCTCGGAGGGAATTTCTCAAGGCCTTACCTGCCATGCCACAAGTAGTTTCAGTGGACCACCATTTAGATAGATATGTTAAGGCTAGCATGCTTCATCATGCAAGAGTTCTACTGGGAAGTGTGTCTACCTACACACAAACACATATGCACACTTGTGTGTAACAGACTGACCAGCCTGAGAGCTCACTTACACTTTTGTGCAAGAGTTAGCTGAAGAAGGAGGAAAGGGGCAGAACTGTTGGTTAGCCACTGAGCTCATTCCAAAACTGACTGCTAGGGTTGGAATGTGTGATAAGCAACAGCTAAGGAAGTCACAATCCATTCTTCCTCCGGCAAGAAAAAGAAACCTGGGCCACACGCAGACCCCAGCTCCAGAAGGGCAGAAGGAACTGTGCCACTTTCTGCTTGTTGGTATGGAATTGAACAAACGCCAAGGAAACCAAAGTGTGCACACTTAGGGATGCAGAGGCTGGTTTCCCATCTGAAGCTGTGTGAGGAGACACTTGCACCAGCAGGTGCACATGCACACACACGCCGACGCAGCTTACGTCACTCTGCAGGCCGTAAGCCTTCTTGGCCCATTCCACTTTCATGTCTGTGGGCAGAGAGGTGAAGTGATGTGACGCCGTCCTGTAGCCGATGTCTGTGGCTAAAGCCTGAGCCTGGCGGGCATGCGCGAGGTGGATCATGTCCAGTGAGATGTGGCACTGACACTTGGAGTCCTCGAACCCCTTCCTGTACTCCAGGTCACTCTGCAGCTTGGACATGTGCAGCGAGTGGCTCATCTGCGAATCCCCCTGGGCAGTCTTGGCTCCAATGAGCTTGCCCTTGGACCTCTCATAATCCTCCCTGTACTTGACCTAAGCGAGAAGAACAGAGCAGGGATACGTGAGACCCTGCTACAGGAACTGCACTGATCCCAACTACAAAGCCATCTACAAGCTCTTCTTAGAATCAACCATCAACATTGATTTCCTTTGAATATCTTATATATGTTTTTCCATGAAAGCTACCTTAAAATCCTCCCCTCTCCCTTTGTTTTGGTAATTCTGAGAATATTATAAAGTCATCGTGAAGTGAAAAAGGCACAGACTATGCCAAGTGTGATTGCTGTTGGAGACAGGAACTCCCTGTCAAGAACAGCTGCATACATGTAGGTGTTCAGAAGGCTGAGGAGCAGGAGGGAGCATCCTGCTTAGAATAAACAACAACAACAACAACAACAACAACACTAGGGACCCTAGGCCAAGAGCGAAAGGATAAATGCACTAACAGCTGTTACCTGACACCAGCATGTGGCATCACGTTCAAAAATGATCATGACTATGGCCGTTAGGACAGACACACAGGCTCAGCCCACACCTCTGCCGACCACAAACACATCAGGTACAGCCCTGTTTCACGAGTATGTACTCTGAGCCAGGTACAGGATGAACCTCCCCCCCCCCCAAGGGCATCTGCAGGTCAGAGCTGCTTCACACGCAGCTGACCAGGAGCTTGGGCGCTTGCATCACGATTTGGCTCTATGGATTTTAAATGAAGGAAGCAGAATTTAACCTACATTCTGGTCCTCAACAGACACAATTCACTTCCTCCTCCTCATTTTACAAGGACCCATGTAATAACAAATTCGCTGTGATTTGACAGGCTCAGCGACCAGCCCCATGGAACAATGCTGGTACACAGTGGAGCTGAGATCGGCGTCCAGGCCTGTCTGACTCCAGAACCTGCCCTCCTAAGCCTGGACAAGCCACAGCATCTTTAGAAAGATGTGGAATGTCTCTGGGCATTGGTTTATTGCTGAAAAGAGTAACTTGGATGATCTTTTGCTACTGTTGCTATTCACAGCTACTGCTTACTGAAAATGAATGTGCAGAAGGGAATTCGTTCCAGGTACCAGCATGACTCACCTCACTGCAAGGTGACTGCTATATCCCCACTTTACAGATAAGAGCACTGAGGTACAGAGAGCTGAATTACCCAGCCCCTTTGAAACCCTCCTGGATGGACATGAGCAGGCTCCTGGATCTCTTGTTTAAACTAGGGGTGGACTCACCTCACTGGCCAAGTCCCTCTTGGCCTTGGCTGTCAAGAAGGCCAAAGAGTCAAGACGCAGCTCAAATCCTTTTGCTTTCTGGTTCTCCCAGCTGCTCTTGTACAGTTTCTAAAAGGAGATTTGGGAGACAAGAGATGATGCCCATGGAACAGCGTGTCTCTGGGCCTTCCTAGGGAGGACATTTCCAGGGAGGACAGCAATGACCACAGACCCCAGATACAGCCAGGCAGACTATCCCGTTCCTGCGTGATGACCTACTGGCACACAGGGTTTCAATGAGAAACAAATGAACCTGTTGAAGCTGGGAATACACCAGGAGTTCTCACGAGGGTCCCATACACAAGCCAAGGGTGGCACAGCTTGGCAACGTTTTCAGAAAGCCTGTTCCCCACATCTATTCACACTCCTGCAGCCACAGGCTGTGCCCCTGTCTCACCCCTACATCACCCCTGCCCTGTCCCCACGGCCCCCAGCCAACCTGACCTTTCTCTGGACTCCTCCTCGTCCCTCTCCTGTCACTACCCCAAATTCCACGAACTTTTCTTCTGGAAGGTTAGCCTTGCCTTCTGTACCTGAACAAACTCAAGCTTCCACTTCTCCTCACAGTTCTCCCCACCTCTGGCTTGGATCAGACCCTCAAAGACTTGGGAGCTGAGCAGCGAGGGCCAAGAAAGGCCCTTCCTGGATGACTCAGTGGGAAGAAGTTCAGTGTAGGGGTACACTCACAGACTAGCAGTCACTGCACTCATACCCTTGAGCTTCATGCAATGAGCAAGGACAGGATTCTGCAGTCTCTTGTACAAGCACGTGGACAGAATCCTCACTGGCCAAGTCCCTCTCAGCTCACTGAAGCCTTACCACAGCCCAGTGAGAGACTCATATTAGCTTCATTTTGCTAATGGGACAACTGAGAGAAGACTGTCTGCTTGAGATTACACACCCAGTAAAGTGGTACTCACAAGGAACACAGCCAGACAGCAAAGAAGTAATGCCTGAGCCTTGCTCCCTTCTGCCATGCCTGTTATGAACCTTCAACTCTGACCCCTGGAAGAGCCACTACTTCTTAGCCCGTGATCCTTTCACTGGCTCAAGTCCTCCACCAGTTCATTGCAAAAGAAGGTGATTCTCCTTACCCTAAAACACTGAGCAGAACCAGATCTGGGGCATGAGCTGTTTTTTTCAGAATGACCGTATATTTGTAACCTCAGTTGACACGAACACCAACAATTGGCTGATGGGTTGGGGGACCAAGTGGCTTTACACACAGGTGCCCATCCCCTCTGGCTGTACCTCACTGAGTTGGGCAGCATTGGCTCGGGCCCGTAGAAAGAGAGGCTCATCTTTGCTGATGGTGTACTGATGGACAGACTGCTCATTCCCTGCCTTGTAGGCCACCTGTTGGAAGACAGCACCGAGTCAGAAGCAGGTGGAGGTTGGTCACAGTTACAGCCATCACGGTGTCTTCACGTCTGTCTGCTTGGCACTTCCTGACTTGCACAGGAAGCTCATACAAAACTCGCCAGAACAGACACAGTGATCAGAATGCCAGCATAGGTGAACATCTCCCTGGGAATCTCAATACTCTCCCTCTTTCTCTTCCTTCTCTGCAACTTGAGTTTGCAAACAGGGGTTTGCTGTGACTCTCATGCTGATAGGATTTGTTCTGGCAGGTGTACCCACACCTTTAGGAAGGAATGCTAGGAAGGTGCTGGCCGTAGTGTAGCCACTTTGGCACCTGCTCATTGTTGAATACCAGTCTGTAATCAATTCTGGGCCTCACTGGTGTGCCTCCCAGAGTTGGGCTTAAGTGGGTATGACCTGCACAGATGGCACAGATATCGTCCTCTGAGATAATTCTCCACTAGCTGCAGAGGTCTCAATGAGATACAGAGAACGAAGCAAAGGGAGGAACTAGGGAGTATGGGTCTCCCATCCATGTAATAACCAGCTCAGCCCTGCCTCCACCGCTGACAACGAGGGAAGAAGTGCAGTGGGTGAAGCAAGGAGATCCAGTGTGCAATTTGCAGAACAGCCTGGGAGGCTGCAGGAAGCTGGCTGCAGTCCATTCAGAGGGCTGGCTCTCTGGTTCAGGCAGCACCTGCTGCTGTCCCCAGAGGTTCCCAGGCCCATGACACAGCAACTCGAGGGGGAAGGGCAGCTCAGGACTCACCCCACTCTGCAGTTCTTGGCTCTTCTTGGCGTGCTCCATCTGTGAGCTGTCGGTCACACTGGTGAACTTTAGTTCATCAACCCTCTGCCGATAGTTTTTCTGTTCCCAAAGAAAGGAGATGTTACAACATTGGACTTGGGCTACTGTCTACCATCACACACACACATTATTTGTACTGTGTACACAGACATCAAGCTTCTGGCATAGAGAGATTGGTACCCTTCCATTCACACCAGCCATAGTGTTTCTATGACTACTCAGGTTGTAGCAGCACTAAGGAAGGAGAAACACCACAAGCCACCAAGAGTGGTCAGGTGGATTTTCATCTTCATAATTTTCCATTCCTGGATGATTGTGGTCTTGTCTTCCCAGCATCCTCCTCTCACAGTCACAAACCATTTGGTTCATTTTTCAGATGTGCTGATTCTGGCCTTCTCCTCCCCTGACTCCACTATGGGGACTTCTTGTCCTTCTTGAAGATTAGTTCCTCTAGCTTTTCCACCAGAGCTGCCAAAGTGGAAGGGAGATTTGGCCACTGAGGATGACTTGTTGAAGCAAAGGCTTTGTGTTGGTGGGGGAAACTAGAGATGCACTCACAGTCCGATTCTGCCCAGACTCCCAGGGCCACAAGCAGGCACACTACCCTGTCATTGTTAGAAACTTCCAGGCAACCCAGACTCCAAACAGGTCAAATCCCAGGTATGCTAGACAGCCACAAATCCATTTCCTATAGTGCATGGGAACAATATAAAAATGGTAAAAATCTTCCTGGCCCTTCAGGAATTTAAAAATCAGTCAACTCTGTAGGAAATGAGCTAAAAATCAACATTCCTGAGTTGAAGGACCGATCAGATGATTTTCCTTTCAGGATAGATGAGACTATGGTCCCAGCACCTGGATTTTAGTTGGTCTGTAAGAAACCAGTTCATAAAAAGCCTAAAGAGATTCTTTCCCTCCTACCTTCCTTAGGTATTTATTTTAACCATAATGATCTTTATTTAAGAGAAGAGTAAGTGAAATAAGACAATAAGATGTAAGATCAAATTACCCAACATGCTTTAGAGAGGAATACTGCCTAGCAGTCAAGGCTGGGGCACTGAAACAAAGACACTGAGTACGGATCCCAGCTCTGTTATACTTTGCTTAAACCTCGTGTTCCTCCTGTGAAGTGCGACTATTAGTAGAATAATATTCCCACTTCACAGGAATACTATGGACCATATATGGATGGCACGCTCAAAGTGAACAATAAATCACTCAACAATTGGTGAAATGTGTCTCCTATAGGCAACAAATAGATGTGTTTTTTGTTGTTGTTAGTTTCATCTCTTCAAAACACTTTCTTCTGATCAAATTCTTCAATGACTCATAAATCATACAGTAACATCATTTTCTTCAGTGAGGTTCTTGATTTTATTTTTCATTTCTTCAGTGACACATTAGTCATTCAGTAGCACATTATTTAACTTCATGGTGTTGTTAATTTTTTTTCTTCCTGCTGTTTATTCTGTTTTGTGGCTTTTCATTTAAGGGGATGTACAGTAACTGTGTAATGGAGACTATCATCTAGCAGCATGTTGTTTAACTTCATGGTATTATAAATTTCTATTTTTCCTTTTGTTGTTAATTTTGTACTGTGGCTTTTCATATAAGGGGATGTAAAGTAACTGTGTAATGGAGACTGACATTTCCAGATGTGAGGATATAATGCAGTATGCATCTCTACTTCCAGACAAAGATGGACTCCCAATGAAACTGTTTACTATATCTTGACAATAGGATGCTGGACTCTCTGCCATTGTCCATGTCGTCAATGACGGACATATGACTGTGTATAAAGAACCATACTATAGTAATGATATAGGGGAACTCAGTGAGGGGGGGAGGGAATTGGCGAGGGGATAAGGGAAATCCCAGGGCCTATGGAACTATATCATAAAATGATAATAATTTTTAAAAATAAATTAACCATCCACTTAAAAAAATCACCCAACAATTAAATAACATCATCAGTCCACAAACAGCCGCTATTATTATCACTATGGATATCATAGCTAAGATCCCCAAGATGTAGGCCTGCTCTACCTAGTTGGCTCTGAAACAAGAATCCCCCTTGAAGATCCCAAAGTTCCTGAGTCACTTTTCCAAATGAAATGGCCTCCAAAAGCCTTCCTCTGTCTGCCACCAAAGCCAGCTATCCATGGCATACAGGGCAGCATGGGCTCAGAGCTGACTGTGAGGGGCTCAGCAAGGTCAAATGGCCCTGCCCAAAGCCTTCAGTGAGAGTAAATTGCAGACACAGTGAGAATGAGAAAGAGAGGCTTCTTAAGGAATCACACAGTCCTCACGCAAGAAACACATGGTCTGTGTGTGTTGCTTGTGACAAGCTTTCTAAACTAAGTAAACTGTATTGAGCTGCTGCATCTGAAAGCAAATGAGTTGGCTTCTTTAAAAAAAACTCTCCGGGACGTTTAAGGGTGTGGTAAGCTAGTTCAGGGAGTGCTTTGAGTGCAGAGTGAGGGGGTCTTTCCCTTTGAAAAACACACAAAATAATCCTAGGGGGAGGACAGAGGAATTGCCCCAGCTTGGGTTACCTCGCTGACCAGCTGTCCAGCCTTCTTGGCCTGTTCCAAACTGAGACTCCCCTCAGTCAGCCAGGCGACTCCCTTCATCCATGCCAGGTCAGCCTTGTATTGCAACTGCAAGAGAAAAGGTCACCAAGTTCTCCTCCATCACAGGGGCCCACACAGGACAAAGCCAATGGGACAGTGATGAAAATCTTGATCCTACTTTTATCACCTAGAACAGCTCCCTATCCCTTTATGGCCAGACTTGTGGTGTTGAGGGAAGCCACTGTGCCCACCTCGCAATGCCAATCACATGGTTTGTGTTCAAGCCAGGGAACTTCTTCACCAACCTGTTACATTTCCAAGATTCCCTTACCATGTTTAACATTTGCTTTCCTTTTGTTCCTGCTCCTTAACAACCTACCTTAGCTGTCATGTTAATTCTGTTCCAACCTTCCATCCTCTAATCTCCTTTGCCTTAACTATAGTTTCACCTCCTCATCTCTCCTTCCCAGGCCCAGACCATTCTTAGCAATTCTTCCTGGCTCTTTAAGTTAGAGAGCCACATGTATATTCAAGAGTGTATCCAATGGAAGGAGACACAGAGAGAGAACTGCAGCTGAGAGCTCACCTCGCTCTGCAGCCCGTAGGCCTTCTTGGCCCACTGAGTCTTCATGTCTTCAGGCAGTACGGTGTACTTGTGCAGTTTCTTCCTGTAGTCAAGGTCACTGGCAAGGGCTTGGGCCTTCTTGGCATGGCTGATGTTCACCATATCCATGGGCAGTTGGAAGTGGGTCTTACTTTATTCAAAGCCTTTCTTGTATTCAACCTTGAATTCACAAAAACAAGGCCTGTAAGTCAAAGCCTGTGCCTGCAAGAGTGATATGAAAACACAGAATAGACTCCCAAGACTTCCTGGGAAGTTGGCAGTTTGGCCAATGCCATCCATTTTGGGGAGGTGTGACATAGGGAAGCTGAGGTCATACTACTTTGTGTCTGAAAGGACTGTCTCCTGTCAATCAGCAATCTTTTTCCTCAGCTACTTTAGGAAGTGAATATTCTAATCATGGTTACTAGAGAGCTTTAAGATGGATAACAACACATCTTGCACCGCACAGCCAGATGAGACCAAGTTCAAATCTCAATTACCATTTACCACCTGGGAGACTTCTGGAAAGTTCCTTCAGCTACCTCAGGGCTCATTTTCCTTGGGAGGACTGTTGTGCTTTATAATTGAAACATATTTAATACAGGGATGGTCATATCACAAATGCTTGACAAGTGTGAGCAGTGAAGATGACAAGGGTGGTGACCGATGGTGATGAGAGTGACAGCAGTGCTGGTGCAAATGACAGTGGTGAGGATGGTGAGGATGGTGCAGATGGTGGCAATGATGGGGAGAGTCATGATGGGGTTGTGCCAGGCAACCAGAGCGTTAGGGTTCAGTTTTCAAGCCCTCTACCAACTCCAGGAGACCCACATTCACTGTTCATGGAAACACACAATGGAACAAGACACCCACAGCCGATGAAGCTTCATGAATTATAAGTTATTCCCAAAGCCCTCCTCCCCTGGGTCTCTTACACCATCTTGCCCACTGTAGTTGCCAGGTGAGCACCTTTGAAGTGAGTAACTGTGCCCAAACACCTTGTACTTCGATAGCAGATGCCATCACCCTGAGTCCACATTCCTTACCTACTTAAAAGGCAGTCTGCATTTGTGAAATAAAAAACCTAGACAAACTTCTTATGCAAGCCAGGAAAGAGAAGGAGTTGCAGGCAGAAGTCAATAAAAAAAAAAAAAGGAACTGTCCCAGGTGATCTAGGCAACAGAAAAAATTAAAGCAACACAACTCTAAGAGGGTTGGGGATGAAGGAGAGTTTACCTCACTGCTCATCTTGGCCACCTGCAGGGAGTGCAGAAGCCTGGAGTCTGCGGTTCCCATGGCTCTGCCTTTTGTTTTTTCATACTCTTCTTTGTATTTAATCTTGAGAGAAAGAAGAAAGTCTATGGTGAGAGGAAGAAGCACTTTGGCAAAGAAGGGACTTTGGTTTTAACAAGTGCAAAGGCAACAATCCCAGAAATACGTCTCCCGGTAATTCATGAATCCAGACGAAGATTAAAGAGTTGTGATGTTTACAATAGCAACTGTCATTATTTTTTGGTCAGGGAGACCACTGACATTTCATTGGAACTATTTGCTATGTGTTGCCAAGCTAATGAGGAAAAAAACCTACGTTGCTAGCCAGCTCCCCGGAGGCTTTGGCGGCCAGCAGAGGCATGGCATCCAGCTTCATCTCAAATCCCTTGCCCTTGGTCTTCGCCCAGCCTTCTTTGTACTTAACCTGACAAACAAAACCACAGGTGAGCAGGAGTCGAGTTGCTATCCATGTTTCTGCCAAAAGTTAAACAGGATATTTTTTTTTCAAAAGCAAAGTTGACTTCTGATTGGATTACAAGAGGGCTCTTGACTGTCATTATCAAAATGGCAACAGTGATTAGTGACATCAGCTGCTCTCTGTCCTGCTGCAGAGAGCCACACAGGGCAGAACTAATGCAACGGAGCCAAGAGAAGGTCCCCGTGCTCCTTCGGGTTCTGCCGTTTCCCCATCAGGAGACTTGGTGCAATGATCTCTTTGGGCCTCATTTTATCATTTGTAAAAGGAATGCCACTTATTATGAGAATAAACGGGGTTTCCTATATGAATTCAAGCATAAAAATGGATCCTAAACTAGTAAAGTGTAACAGAGATGGAAAGTATTGCTACTGTCATAGTAGTCACAGCGACTGCTTATGGTCTCTTTCCTAAATGCTTTCTGCTCATTGACTGCACATCACCACATTAGGCCTATGAGGATCAGAAAAATCTGAAAGCTCCCTGAGGATCACACAGGCAAAGAAACAACAATGTCCACATCTAAACCCAGGGCCAACTCACACCAAAGCCCATGCTGTAAACTGCATCCCCACAACGCCTAATGGTGGTATAATTCTATACGCACAGTGTCCACTTCGGTATGAAAGAAGCATTCACAAATGTTAGCTTTTTCTTCTTGTGCGTCTCGAATTCCATCTAGAATGAGGCCTCACCACAGCCCATTAAGTGACTCCAGGAGAAATCTGATGGTTGACTGTTCTAGGAGCCATGTTGTGGCTTGGTAGGTTGTGATGCCTGCATCCCATATTGGAGCAGCTATTCAAGTTCCAGCTACTCTACTTCTCATCTTGCTCCCTCCTAATGCACCTGGGAAGGCATGGGATGATGACCCACATAGTTGGCTCCCATCATCCCCGTGGGAGACCAGGATGAAATTCTGGGCTCCTAATTTCTGCCTGGTCCAGGCTTTGCCATCATAGCGATTTGGTGGCTGGAGGATGTCTCTCTCTCTCTCTCTGCCTTTCAAACACATAAAACACATCATTGTTTAAATTGGTCTTTTTAAATTTCTTCTATGGCAAGTCACCAGTTTTAGACAGTAATACCAAGATGATGCTGATGATGTGTGTACGTGTGTTCACACATACATGCTGTATACCTGCTCATATAATGAAAATCCGATTGCTTTGTTGAATTCATTCCTGGTTATGTATCAGGAGACCAAAAAATTCACAATGATGCCATGGTGGATGCATTTGGCCAGTCTCCTCAGGAACAGGCTCTCTTCCCTACTTTGGGCTCACCCAGGTATCTTTGCTTTCACGCCTGCAAGAATCCTCACCACAGGTTCCCCCATGTTGCTTGCTTACCTCACTAAAGAGTTCAGCATTGGCTTTGGCCTTCACCAACTGAGGCACATCCTGTGGCAAAGTGTAATTCAACTTATTTTTCTCGTAGTCTGCACGGTAATTCACCTGTTGGATTTAAAATAGATTTGCAGGGTTTTCTATGAACAGGAGAACTTTGGGATAAATGTGCTATTTCCCAATTTTTACCCTTGTCTTGTAGCTGAGCAGGAATTTCTCAAATACCATTTTATGAGGCAACTGTGATGTTCTCAATGTCTTAAATCAACAGAGTGAAAATGCCACAGGAAAAGTAACACACCCCACAGGCACACTCAACACAGTTTTCCAGAGTTCTTTGGGATGACACACCATCTCCACTTATAAGCATGTAAAAGTGGGAAACTTGTGTTTGAACTTGCTGCAGTACTGAATGCCTTGCTGAGCTTGGGCTAATAACTAGTCATGAATAATTCTCAAACACATACATATACTGGGGTGGCGGGAGGGGGAGTCACCTTGGATTATACACAGAGAAAAGACCCAACCTGAGTCTTGATGGAAACGGAAAGCTGCAGTCCCACCTCCCAATCCCATCCGAAACTCACACCCTGGTGATGCTAAGAATGACTGTCAGTCTTTCAAGGTACCCTATTAATACTGCTTAAACAGGTCTCTTTTTTAACTTTTAGATAGTCATACTGAAATGTTTATATATCAAATTATGTACGATGTGGAAATTTTTTGAAATGATTGAGAGAGGGGAAACGGCATATCGAGGAAGCAAGACTAGCCACAAGCTGACAGCAGGTAAAGCTGGGATAGACAGGTGAACGCACTTACATGGCGGTATTCTCTCTACTTTCCAATGTAGAAGTACTTCAAATAAGAAGTTTCAAGGTGGGGGAGAGTCATTTCCTGGATGTAATAGGACACAGGTCATGGGCCTACATTATGGCACAACAAGCTGAGCCACCACCTGGACTATAGGCATCCCACTGGGAGACCATTCAAATCCCAGCTGTTCTGCTTGCAATCCAGCTCCCTGCTAATGTACCTAAGAAAGCAGTGGAAGATGGCCGGAGTGCTGTGGCCCCTGCACGCATGTGGGAGACTCTGGTGAAGTTTCTGGCTCCTGGCTTTAGCCTAGCCCAGCGCTAGCTATTCTAGCCATTTGAGGAACAAACCAGCAGATGGAGGACCTCTTTCTTTCTCTCCTTGTTTCTGCATCTCTGCCTTTTAATTAATTAAATAAATGTCAGCAATAATAAAAACCAAATCCTTGGAGTCAGGTACTCAGGTAACTTGCAATGATTAGGCAAGGGCAGGCCACTTACGTGACTCAGTTGCTGAGCATTGATTTTGGCTTGAACAATCTGCGGAGTATTGGTCACAGAGCTGTACTTCAACTTGTCAATGCTTTGCCTGTAGTTAACCTAGGCAAAAACAGGCATAAGAAAATATCACTAGCTCTTTCCCCAAAGATTTTCTTAGCTTCCTTCCCCTGTGCCCATCAGACTGATGATTCTCAAATTAATTAAAAAAGGACCCAAAATTGCAATTGAATACAAAAAGATATGGCAAGCCTACAGACAGAAAAACAGCACATTGAGGAACGAATGATTTAAGCAAGCAGCTCATGAAAGAGGTCAGCCAACTGCGCAGTAAATATGAGAAAAGATGCTCAACCACATGATTATCAGAGAAATGTCCAGCAGAATCATAGCAAGATACCTTTCCACACCTGCTAAAGAGCAGAAAGTTGTAATTTCTGACAATAGTAAGAGCTGACCATGGTAAGGAGCTATGGAAACTCTCACAAAGCTTCTAGCAGACCAGACAGCCACAACAATTTTCCAAATCAGAATGATAGAGCCCTAGGGCCTGGCGCGATAGCCTAGTGGCTAAAGTCCTCACCTTGCACATGTTGGGATCCCATATGCGCACCAGTTCTAATCCCGGCTCCCTGTTTAAGGCCTGGGAAAGCAGTCGAGAACGAGCCAAAGCCTTGGGACCCTGCACCCATGTGGGAGACCCAGAAGAAACTCCTGGCTCCTGATTTCAGATTGGCTCAGTTCTGGCCACTGTGGCCACTTGGGGAGTGAATCAACGGACAGAAGATCTTCTCTGTCTCTCTTCCTCTCTGAATATCTGACTTTCCAATAAAAATAAATAAATCTTATTAAAAAAATGATAGTTTTGGCACATACACAGCATGTCCCAAGAGTTCTATCTTGAGGATCATTCCCAATGAAAATGTGTGAACAAGAACATTTTACAGTAACTCAAGCTATGTATTTATACTTCATATATTTTTATGTGCAATGCACCAAGAAATGATGTTTAAAAATAAGAAAATTTCCAAGACCATCCTTGTTTCTTAGTGGCGATGGCAAAGGAACATTAGTGGCCCCTTGGAGGGACATTCCTAACACGTCTGCACCCTGTACCCCAGCCCTGTCCTAGCCCTCACATCACCTTGCCAGCGTCCCTAAGGAAACAGCCCTCTACTCAACACTTGAATGGAGACTGTGACTTCAGAGAGGGAGGAGATGGGTACCACATTTCAGCCTGATGGGTTGCTGCTTTGCCATTTCAAGGTATCTAGGGCGAGTGGATTTTCTCTTGTTAAGACACAAAACTGCCCTTCGGAAGGTTGCCCATGAGAACATGTTCATCCAAATTTGTCTTATTTTCCTCCAAATACGAGTGAGTGACCAAGACTCATGGCAGAGGGTGCGGGAACTTGTGCAAAGAACTAAAGGACTATATTTGAGGCTTGAGGGTAGATAATAAAGTATTAGGAGATGAGCAGGGCTGAATGAGAGCCCCAGGAACCTATCCCAACAGAACTACAGTGAAAGAGAGTGATTGTAACTGACACATGACCTGTTTTGTCACTTAAACAAGGTTGGCCTGAAAGGCAGAAGTAGCAGCATACTGATCCCTTATCCTGCTCTTTCCCATCACCCATTGTTTGTCCATCCATTCCACTGGCAAACAGTCCTGAGCGTCTGCTCTGTGCTTAGAAGCAAAAGGAACACTGCTGCCCACACAGATATCTCAGATGTGGCCTCGCTCCCAGGACCCCTAAACAGACTCTTCCCTCTGGACAAATGCCAGGTGAGGCTGACTAGCCAGCTGTGTTCCTGTGTGGCTTACAGCAGCCATAGCACCATCCAGACCCCCCACTCACACTTCTGGTTTCACATCTATTTACTCCTAGAAGCCGACAACCCCACTCAAGATCCCACACAATTTGGCAACTCCTTTAGGCCTGGTTGGAACTTCACACCTTTTGCTGTATCTCCACTTCCTACTGCCTCCCCTGCCTGGACTTCCACCCATGGCTTCTCCCCATGTTCCGCTGGGTGGCTCTGCCTGCCACAGGAGCTCACATCTCAGTTACCACTGCACTTTCTGACCATTTCCTGTCTCTTCACTAGGCCTGGCATATTTGCCCTTCCATCTGCCTGCTCCTACTTCCAATCACTGCCTCCCCACCATGACAGCCCATCTTAAGGCATCAGTTTATGTCTCAGCTGCTCCATTTCCAGTCCAGCTTCCTGCTTACAGCCTGGGAAAGCACTGGTGGAGTCTTTCGAACTATGCACCCACATGGGAAATTCAGATGAAGTTTCTGGCTCCTGGCTTTGGCCTGGCTCAGTTGAGCTGTCGCAGTCATTTGGGGATTGTACCAGTGGATGAAAGATCTCACACTCTCTCTATATATATAATTCTTTCAAACAAAAAATGAATAAATCCTTAAAAATATCAGTGACCCAAGTGAAACAGTGCTTAGAGCCACTTCAGCTTCATTGACTGCCAATCATATACTCCACGTTTTCCTTGGGTCCTTGCCTGTCCTGACATCAACTAACAACCCACCATGTGCCAGGTGCTGTTTCAGTCACTCAGTTCACCTCCCCAACCACCCTCTGCCTTACAAACCGAGGCTTGGAGCCCTGGAGTATGATACTCAAGTAAATATCAGAGCTGAGATTTGAACCCCAGATGTCTGCCTCCAAAGCCAGCTGTCAGCCTAGACACTAGGGACCAGAGTTATGAAAGGCAGCATGCTTAGGCTAAGAGTTGACAATTTAGATACGAACAAGGGATACTTCATAGCTACAGACAGCACCATTTACACAAAAAATGACTTACACATTAACTTCTAGAACAGCACCTAGGAACTACAGAGGGTTCCTGACATTGAACCACAGGGTGCTCTGTTGAATCTGGGGATAAAGGACAGGTACTGCTCACAAGTTTTTAGTTAATGGTGAAAGAGAGGTTTATGCATGCCCTGAGTTTTGGCCAGGAGGTCTGTAGAGAAAACTAAGAAATATAAAGTCATTTCAATGTCAGCTATTAATGAGATTATAGTATAGTGGCTTCTTAACACATTAATTCAGAGGAGAAAATTATCATCTCATAATAGAGTCTATTACAATTCAGAATTATGCATGATAAAATGTGACAAAACCTCTATTTTTAAATGGCATATTCCTTCCCAATAGTTCTGCATTAAGTATGTTGCAGAATACAATTACTTTTCTCTGCAGGACATAATTAACAAACTCCATTAGATTAATCACATCTTTGCAACAGGACAAATGCTTGGCCTTCAATTCCATCTACGTTCTGAAGGTTTCTTTGCTGAAAATAGAGTCTCATTTTAATTCTGTTAGTGTTGGTATTGCCATCGAAAGGGAATATTCTCTAATTAAGAATCCCAGCTTGTTTATTTAATTTCACAGTTATTTCACCATCTTTAAGGCTACCAACCAGAGAAAAAGCAAATGTTCTTGTAAATGAGTTTCCTAAACTTCTTTAACTGTAAGGTCCCTACGTTAGAGGTCAGAAACTCAAACTGATGCCAGAGGCAGGAAGGAACTTAAAGGAGAGTATTCAGTAAGGAGGAACAGCCACTCAGTCCCAGTCAACTGCTGCCATGGAGGAGCTAGGGCCACGTGTCCCACGGGTTCTAAGAAAAGATGGAAGTACTAGATGTTAGGTGAGCTCTCAACTTTCGTACATTAGCTTAATTAAAAAAAAAAAAAACAAACTTCAACATTCTATAAATGTGGTTCTTGGGCTGCCAGTTTGGTACCTGTCTTTAAACTCCAATAATATTTCCAATCTTATCAAGCATTAATCCTGTATCAGCTTTTAAAAACCAGGTAGGCTGGCTATATTTCAGAGGAGGCATGGTCTGATCCAAAGTCTTACATAGACAGAATAGCCAGTCATAGGAGTACAGCACTGTAGGGCTCTATCCCATTTGGATGGTGCTATTTAGTAGGCACGGTTTTTAGAAGTCTATTATAAAAGCACACACTCAAATGTTAATGAGGTACTCTTGATCTGAAACTTAATCAAGCAATGTATGCAGTCAAAAAAAGAAAGGAAATAGCTTTGGCTGTGTCCAAGTTTAACTTTGGGCTTCACTAAGGTAAAATGAAAGAGTTAAACCAACCAAAGTTCCTGGGAAAAGAAGCAAAATATAGGCCCTCATACTCCTCTGCTTCCCATCCCATGCACAAGTTCAACCTTGAAACGCCCCTTTCATCCACCACACTATCATTCACCACTGATTGTGCTTCAGTATCCTGGACACTACAACAGACACTAGAGACGTCGACCGAACCCTACTGCTTCTGAGCCAGAGAGAAGCCAGACTTAGCTGCCACCAGCAGTGCCCAAGTCAACGGCTAGGGTTGTGCAGATCCTGAAGGAGTTGAAGGAAAGGGGCACTGGGCATTCAATAAGTAAAGGTTGGATTGCTTGTTGATCTATTGGTTGATAGGACATGAACTTCATTGACAAAGAACCTTGATACCAACTTACTTCTATACTAAGTAGTGTTTAATGCAGTAGATGACTTTCATCTTTTTCTCTACATCTTTGCTATATGTTTTCTACATTTCCTACAATAAGCTACAATAAAATCCTTAACAAAATCACTCCTATAAAAATTAAGGAATACACACGCCTTCCTATGCAATCCTGAGGAAAAAATAAGCCAGCATTCCCTCTTTCTCTACCTCCTCTACTTTGCTTCCTTCAGTCCTTAGCGTACTACCTTCCAAAGTATTTTTTTTAAAGAAGCCATCAACACAAAGGAAAATTATGTGTCCAGCATACACAGTCCACCAAATTTTGAGAAAATCTGGCTCAGGCTATCATCAAGAGAAAAATAGAGCTGTCCCTATCTCACTTGATATTGAAAACCTGTTTCCAACCATGCATAAAAGAATTGCCCTTTCTCAACCCCTGTAACTTCCTACAGGCTACTACATCCTGTGTCCTCTGTCTTGCAGCCTAAGAATCACTCTCTCGGAAGGAAGTCCAGGGAAGAGCCTGGAAAGGGCGGGAAGAGAACTTACGTCCTTCAGGGGGACCAGTTTCATGGTTGTCTGGTAGGAAGGCGTCAGAGTGGCGGGGTAATTGTAGTCGACAATATCGTGTTTATAGTCAGCCTTGTAGGCGATCTGAAACACACAAGACAGAAAGGAAAAATCAGTTTCTGCTTTCTTTTGACCTTGTTTGAATGTCACAGGAAATATTTTCCAAAATAACCAGAAGCAAAGCAATTTGGTTTCATCATCTCCAAGAAAAATCATGCTCACACGTCTGCCTTTAATTAATTAGAGTTCTCCTTAATTAAGTCAAAATTAGTTAACTTCTGTCTGTGGCACATTTATTTTATCTTTTTTATTAATTACAGAATCCCTTGTTGTTTTTATTTTTTTAAAAAAAGAGGAACCTCTGCACAATGAAAGAGTTATTGAGTAATGCCCCCCCCAAAAAAGCAAAGAAAACTCAAGAGTCTGACATATTTAAATTGTTTTCTAAAGATCTGAACATTCTTCTTTAGTAAGAATATCTAATGTTTGTGTTTTCATAATGTAATCAGTTTCCTTTAAGTGTTCTTTATCTCCAAGATTCACAGCCTGCTGTCTGCAAACCTATAAACTAGATTGACAAAGCCAACGTGAGATGAATACGTTACATGCTATAGGGTACACAGAGGCCTGATCTGTTCCACTATCCTATGACCTTGCAGGCATTTACAAACACAAAGGCGAAATAAATGGATGAACAAACAAATCAGCCAGCTTTGGAAATCTTGGGAACTTCAAATGAGATTCATGCCCATCCATTTATCTTTTTCTCTCAGATGTGGGAAGCTTCGTGCACACTAGATCAGTTAGAAAAAAATCTAAGTACTCCTCATAGCACACCAAGCGAAGATAAAGGAAATTTTTCAGGTCTCTAACCTAATTTAGTTGTATCCATTTATTCTTACAAATTCCCATGTGTCAATCTTTACTCTTTCGAACACAGGGGTCTTTAAGGGCAAAATGAGAAAGAATTGGCTGCATTCCTTATGCCCACCCCTTCGACGCCAGAGGCCCTTGCACTCAAGCACTCACGTTGCTGGCTAGACTGCCAACTTTCACAGCGTGCAGGGTGCGTCTGTCCATGCCAACCCCTTCATAGCGGCCTCTCATGTGGGTCTGGTAGTCTTCTTTGTATTTATTCTACATGGAAACAGAAAATTTTCAATAAGCCATTCTCTTCCCAACTACTCAAAGACAAACTCCTTGTTTTAATGCAGCATTCCAAAGCGTAAATAGAACCTAGATAAGTAATTGGTGCTTCACTAAACAAAGACAAGACAAACTTATTTTTTGAAAATCTCTTCATCTTAAATTTCAAGCAAATATAAGAAGTTGGAGTAAGACAGGCAGACAGCGTGCAAAAAGAAGAAGAAAAATGTGGGATCTGACGGGAATAGATCGCACAAGACAGATTTGATTTTTGTTTGTCTCGACATTTTGAGCTTCACATTTACCAGATTTTTCCAATGTGAAAACTCACAGTGAATGCCGCAACAGAAAAGCACTGATGGTTCAGGCTCTGCATGTCTAACTCCATGGGTGCAATGCTACAAACCCATGCATGCTACTGTCTCTGCTTCTGAACACTGTGGTCCCCCTGGATCTTCAGGTTCCACATCCAACCATGGAGCAACTAGGTTAAAAAAAACAAGCAGCTACTACACCTGAATCAAATGTGTACAGGCTGCTTTCTGGTCACTACTGCCTAAACAAGATAGTATAAGGAAAGCATCACTTACACAGTGTGAACACTGTGTTAGGCATTACAAATAACCAAGAGATGATATTAAGCATTCTTGGAGGCTGTGCTTAGATTCTGCGAAAATACCATTTTGTCGAAGAGACTGGGGCACTTGCACATTTGGGGTCCTCAGAGGCTGGGATTACTAGAGCCAATCCGTTCACACACCAAGGAATGGTCGTGCACGAAGAATAAAACCTGAGATTTGCTAATTTATGTGATGGGAAAAATAGTCCCTAGGACACTGCATAAAGTGATGTTTATATCCCACCACCAATTCAAGAGAGACTAGACTGAAATAATGACAAGAAGTTGTAAACAGAAAAGTTTGGTAACTGACTAATAATGATAAAATCATCAGTCCTGAATTTCCAGACAGAAAGTATTTAGCAGAGTTCCATTCCTATGTATCAGTTGATTTTCATAAGCATTCCGTGATGGAGCAAGAATTGATAACATCCCCCTTTTACAGATGGGCAAAAGGCTCCAAAAGTTCCACAACTTGCCTAAAGTTGACCACTACAAAGTCCCTTGCAATTGTAAGTTCTATTGTTACGTGCAGCTAGCTAAATAGAAGTAAAATCACAGAATTTAGTGTAGGTCCTTGATATTTTCATAAATGAATCTTCAGACCTCCTCTGAGAATTTTCAAATTTGAAAATGTCACTCTGGTACATATCTGCCCACCTGTAAAACAAGGACATCACACCTGGTTCCCCAGGCAACCCGAGGCTTGAGCCACATGAAGAGCGAACTTCACACGCTCAGCCAGGCTCTCTCAGCAGCATTTCTCAACAGGAGCAGACTCAGTGCTACACACTAGGGATGCAGGAGCACAAACACAACAGGGCTCACCCAGAGCTGGCCAAGTCAAGGGCAAGGAGGGAGGAGCAGGTGGGGTCTGTGACAGAGTTTGAACACTGCGGGGAGCGATCTTGACAGGCCATCCTCACCAACACTCTGTGCCCTGAAGACCATGCATCTCTCGGACACACGGACACATTCAGTCTCCTAAAGAGACTTACAGCCAAGGCTCACGGAAGTACCCAAACCGATGGTCTGGCACTGCCAACTCACATCACTGGTGAATTTTGAGATCCTGCTCACGTTCCTGAATTGAGGTGTTTCGCAATAGTTCACACTGTGACCTTTACTACTTTCCAGATCCTTCTTATATTCCACCTTGGAAACACAACAGAACCAAACTCAAAGTCACTCTTTCTTAGGAAACTTTCAACCCAAGATTTTGAAATACCAGGCATATGATACCGTACGGCAACAGTATGCATTTTCTTTTATAAAAACAAATCATAGGTGCTGGGGATTCCCCCCACCCCTCCCATACCCCTCCCCCCATGGTGGATTCCCCAGCGCCTATAAAACTGTACTACATAATACAATGTAAGCAACAATAAAAAATAAATAAATAAATAAATAAATAAATAAATAAATAAAAACAAATCATAAGTAAAACATTCATTTCATTCTGAAAACCACAGATGTATAATGCCTCTTAAAAACAAATGCTACAATATTTGAAACAACTTTTAAAAAGGAAAAAATTTGTGTTAGAAATCAGTGTCACTCTTGGGGTAAATGTTTTGAGGGGTCATAGAAGTGTCTAGACTTCTGCTCTTCAAACTGGGTGCTAGGCCCATGAATGTGTCCCTAGGCAGAAACCCTTTACACCGCGTGCTCAGGGTGATGCACGGCTCTGAATGTACATTCCACCAGAACCTAACCTAAGAAGACACTTTACAAAGGATTATAATAACTGAGACCACTTGGATGCAGAATGTCTACCGATTGAAGAGGGCAGACTCTCTGGGCTCCCCCTGGATAACTCGGTAGAAGAGGTAAGGCTATTAAATAGAGTCTAAGTTATGCCAGGTCACTGTAGAAGGCAGGTAAGGCTAATCACCATTCATGGAAGCAGAGCTGGTGTGACTTACTGGATAAAACAGCAGACGGAATGAAAGAAAAGGTTCCCTTTTAGCTTCTTTCTGAAGAAAATGCAACTTAATTTGTTTTACAAAACTGTATGATGGAAACATGCCTTTCAAAGCACATGTGTGAGATGCACTATGGTGCTCAACATACAGCATAGAGGGAAAACAACATATAAAACTGCTTTGCAATTTGATTCGAATTCTGTAAGTATGTTTTTATATTGCTGTATTCAATTTTAGCACAGTCATACAGGAAAAGGGCCAACATGGTGATAGTGTTACACCTGGTGGCCAAACAGCACCTCCAACGTCTGGTTCCAGTTCTGACCCTGACAGCCTCTGAACTAGAAACACACTAGACTTTTCTGAGCCTATGACAAAAGGGGTGGCCTAAGATAAAAAATTTCCTACCAAAATGATGCAGGTGTTCCAGTAACACATTCATTTATAGATATAAGCTGGGGACAAGATTTTGAACTCGGGATGTAATTTGTGGACCTCTGACCTAGAGTGTCAGAATCAACTGCAACACATGGTTAAAAAATGCAGATCCCGAGGCCACAGAACTCCTCTAGTGCTTCCTGCTGGACCTGGGAACACGTCAGTTCCTGTTTCCTGAGCAGTCCAGAGTCAGAGGACCTGGAGTTGACCAACTGCTTTGGGCAAAAGGCTGGCCATGCGGAAGTCAGTGCAGACGCGGGTTTGAGGCTATCTGCAGGGGTTTCTGAGTTGCAGGTAAGCTGTTAATAAGAGTTCTTTCAGAACTCTTGTCATTCCCAACTGGACCAGCACCCGCAGAGTCCAAGTAAGTAATGCAAATGAGAGAAGCCTCTGCGAGGAAACCAGGAAAGGCTACAAAGGGATTTCTTCCCTTGCCAGTCAGTCCTCACTAGTGAAAAGGAAAACAAACAAAACCAAGCACCCAATCCCAGGGACATCAAACAGAACCCTGCCCCTCTGGCCGCTAAGGAAGCGGGGCTCGCATAGACACGTGGCTTCTAGGAACGTGGACTGCAACCCAGAGGAGAGGGTGTCTGGATTTGAAACACTCTGATCTTGAACTTCTCTGACATTTTAGGGCTCTCCAGTTTGTGCAAGCACACCTCATCTCTTCATTCCATTTCCCACCAACCTTCTGAAGTGCCCTTGGGCTGTTCTAACAGTTGGAGCATCCAGTGTTCTTCCTGGCAACTAGCAATCCGTTGCCTGACACACTCAACAGCCCTGTGACAACTGGGGAAGACAAGTCTGAACCCAACAAAGCTGTCACGTGTTTCATTCAAGGCTCTTTGCTCGTGGCATGTCACTGCACATTCATTCTTTGGAAGCTAACCGCCCGTGGGCAATTGATGACATGTGACACCTTTTACCATAGGGGCCCCTTGTTTGCTGCCTGCCCCGAAGTGAAGGTTAGGACACACACGTGTGATTCCTACGGCCATACGCACCTCGCTCACCAACTTGTTCACACTCTGAGCCCGTCTGAGAGCCAGGTTGTCCTGCGCTGGCAGAGAGTGGTAGTGCGCTGCTCCTTTCATCTTCTGGAAGTGCTGCCTGTATTTTATCTGGAAGAAAAGACAGAAGGAGATCTAACCAGTGTTGTTTCCACACTCTGCGAGAGAAACCATCCAGAAGTACCCCAGACTTAATGTCTGCACTGGGTTTATAGACATTTTTGAATAAGTCTATATCAATAACTTGGACCTCTTTGTACTGGGAACTTCCTGACCCTTTTCACACTTGATCATTTTTCACTGGGGGAAAAAAAAAAAACTGATTTTGAAATGATCAGAGCAAACAGTGTTAAGTCCGAGCCCATCCTGCTCAGAGCTTCTGTGTCTCTTCTCATCCCCTTAGTAATGAGTAACTGAGTCATGTGTGAGTTCTGGGCTCAGGGCAAGCTTGGTACCATTCTGGTAACTAATAACTGAACAGCAGTGGAACACAGAGGAAGGACCAGACAGGTGAAAGGAATGCTAAGTTCTAATGATTAGAGAACCAAGTCCAAGTTGTTCAACTCTGCAGTGAGCATGTCACATTACAGGCTAATTATACACTATCAAGGACTGCTGGCTGCCTAACATTTGGCAAATAAAAACCACTTTATCCCGGGTTCCACCCTCAGGCACACATTTTAATTAGCTGTTTCCCTAAAACCCTCAATTTCTAAGTGCATTCTCTGGTGAGCACTCTTCCAAACCTGAGCTTATCGGGTTGGGCAAGCCTTGACATTGGTCTCAAACAACCTTCAAATATGAGTCAGAGCTGTGTGTCTGTGTCAGAATTTTTTGGAAGCACTTATGGGACCAAAGAATCAGATATCAGTAGTCGGGGCAGGAAGTGAGGGCCGAGTGATCGCTCTATGTTGATTCAGTTCTAATAAATCTTTACATGGGGCTCAGTAGGCACCGCTGTACAAGTCTCTTCCCCACCCCCACCTCTATACCTCTGTGGGTTGCCACCACAAGATACTTACATCACTAACGAGTTCATTTGCCTTCTTGGCGTTCTGATAAGCTGGGGTGATCATGGCTGGGAAGCTGCCTTTTCCCCTGTGCCCGTCATAGTCCTCCAGGGAACCCTGCTGAGTCAATCCAAACCTTCCATCAGTAACACTCCCCATCTTTTCCCATCCACGTTGGCCATTCCAGTGGTGTCCATGTGCTGGTGAAGACAGACCTGGAGCCCAGCCCACTTATTGGTACCCAGCACACAGTCAGCAGTAAGGGAGAATCCACATCTCTATTCCACTGGGGTGATGACCAGTCTCCCCAGCCAAGCATTTATGGAATATTCATTTCTTAACTGACCCCAGGGAAGTCCTCACTTAAGCCCCAAGGGAGACCTATGCAGAAAGGAGGCCATGGCACCCTCCTCAGTACTGTCCTGCCCGGTAATGAAACCATTAACCAGAGAAGGGGGAACTACAATACTGTTTGCAATTTTGTGGGAAAACCTCCCAACTGTCATAAGATTATCTGAAATAGCACCAATGGTGGATTTCAGACTAAGAATTGTATAATCTCAGGGTTTTTTTTTTCTTTTAGTTCCCCTCATCATCTACCCACCCCCACAAAGGGAAACTTCGTTCATGAAACTCATCATGTGACCAAGTACCCCTTCCCGGGCTGTTGGGTATACTATATGTCTCTCATCCCAAAACAAGCACCAGGCAGGATTAGCCACTTCTGCCTCTGTTCTCACTGTTCTCACATGGCACACACATCTGGAAGAGACCTTACAATGCCCCCTTGGGTTCCTGCCTCTGTCTCTCCATGGCCTCAACAAAGGTAGGGCCTGTCTTCCCCAGAGCCAGGCTGGGATTCCGTCACACACAGCTTTCTATGTAAAACAGCCAGGCCCAGTGAGAACATCTGGCTCCCACTCTGCCAAGAATGCAAACTCTTTAGCCTGGGTGCTCCTTTGTACCTGACTGCCAGAATGACCTCGGCCAGGTGTAGTGAGTTCAAAACAGATACATTTTTTAAAAAGCTCTCAAATTCTTGTGTAATTTGCTCTACGGACTAGCCCATTTTATAATTTTCTGTGGTTTTATTTCAACACACACATTCACATAGGTGTGTGTTTATACATCATGCACGGTAAGCTTTTTTCATAAGATACTTAATCCTATAGAAGGACTTTTTGCTTGGATACAAAGCAGAAGTTGCTTCCATGGCACGGTCACTGCAATGAGCATTCATTTGTTACAAAGAGGCATGGACCTCTTGGCATCTAAGTCACTACAGATATTTACAGTTTATCTGTCTGCCTGCCTGGTTCTCTGTATTTGTTCCTGTCAGGTCTGAAAATTCACTCAAGATGTTCTAATCATCAAGAATCAAATCTAAGACAACAGTACATGAGCCTACGCTTTATCTACGTGAACAGGCACACCTAGGTACATAGGTGAAGTTATGTGTGTTATAACTAATGGTGGCTTGCACTGCCCAAACACAAAAGAGAACATGTCTGTATAAGTTCTTTACTTGAAACGGGGAGGGGAAGGCTTAGAATCTCTTTTCTCAATGAACAAAATTGACTCCTGAATCATTGCTCCATTTCTACTTTCTGGCTTGGAAAAATCCACCTTCCACCAATAGGGCAAAGAAAAGCCAGAATCCAGCTGTTTCCTTAAGCTGTGTCCCAGGCCACAAGGCTAGGGTCATGCAAAAGGGTAGGTTTCCAGGAAGTTATTTCATCACATACCTGACCATACTGGTCTCCACGTTCCTCTGCGCTCTCAGCTCCAGTAGCTGTTCCGGCCACACCCCTCATTTCTCTCTGATACTGTTGTTGGTACCTCACCTGTTTACAGGGAAAGGCCAAAGCTGCAGAATTTCACCCTCCACACACAGATGCCAAAAAAGTAAAACTGAATGTCTTATAAAATGCTGATTTTCTGCATGAGTGTGTCTTGGACATCAAAGTGTCAGGTCATTGTCATGGAAAACCCATGAAGGAAAGCCACTTCCTGGCTCCAAAGCACACACAAAAGGAGACCAGAAGCTCGATTCCCCAGGTGAGGTTAACTTCCTGCTTCCTCCCTGGCATAACACTGGTATAGACACTTACAACACTGGCCAGCTCATTGGCTCTTTTGGCTATCTGGTAGGCTGGGGTGATCATCGCAGGAAAGCTGCCTTTCCCGCTTGGCTGCTCGTAGTCCTCTGTGTATGTCACCTGCAGAATGAAAAAGAAAAGGCAAGATCATGGCCCACAATCCCTCCACGATCAGATCCTCTTAATGAGACCCTGACAGCCTACCCTTTCACAGCTTTACTTCATGGAAGGGCAAATATTCCAAGAGCCATGCAAGTCCTGTTATCCTTTCTATTCCCAGCATCTGGCACAGGGAGACAATTCTGGAATTCAGCATACACTTGTGTTATACCATTGTGGACCAGCTGTGGCTCTAGACCAGAACCTAAGCCTCTTTCTTGCCCTTGAGTCTTATCATTGAAGTCTGGCAGAAAAAAGAGGCATTTCAACCCTAGGCATAGGTCAAATCAAGTAAAAACTGCTGACTAAGCTGATGTGGATTGGGGCTTCCACCTTCCATTCAGAACAACATGAGGCTCTTGTTCTTACTATGCTAAGGAGCACTGGGGCTTTGAAAAGCCAAGGAATAGAAACTGCTCAAAAATCAGGCTCTCTGATTTGCAGTGGCAAAAGAAATGGTTAATGGGATGCATCTGGTTGGATACTAATCTGATCTGTTTTTTTCACAAGGTCTACACCAGCTGACGTACAAGCCTTAGAAATAATTCTTAGGAAGTTGGCACCCATACAGCACTGGGGTGCCTCCTGCATACTTTCTTCTTGCTTCTCCAGGAAAAAAAAATAGTGGGGGGAGGGAAGAGATCTTAAAGCCACTCCGACTCATTCATACATCACCCTGGAGCTGTCCTCCTGCCTTGGCCCGTAGCAGCTCTGGGGTATCTGCCACCGTGCTGAACCTTGAGATGCGCTCATCGTGGCCTCTCTTATATTCCACCTGTTAATGAAATAGCACACGGTCAAGGTCACAGGTGCTTCACAGCAGCTGGGAGGACCTCTCCTTGCAGCTCTCCTGAAGCCATACTCTCAGGATACTTTCATCACAAACCTGGGCAAGTCTAATATAATAGCAAAATAGCAAAAGCACCTGTGCTCATGTGCTTAGTCTTAGAGAACACAGGCACCACTAAGCATTAACAAAGAGTAATTCACTTAATTTTGGAGCAGCTGTATTTTTCAGAACTTAGGTTTTCCTCGCTTTACGAATGAAATGTCTTTCTCAACCTCTTTGTTTTTATTTGTCCATCGCACACATGTAGTAGAAAGAGGCAGGAGTCCAAATTCTAGCATGGAGGCTCCAAAATTTGATCTCTCAACTAAAAAAACCCAAAAAACAAAAAACTACTATACCATTTCTCAAGTGGATCTACTCTGCAGCCAATAAAAACCGGTGTCTCGGGCCCAACACGGTGACCAAATGGCTAAAGTCTTTGCCTTGAATGTGTTGGGATCCCGTATGAGTGCTGGTACTAATCCCAGCAGCCCTGCTTCCCGTCCAGCTCCCTGCCTGTGGCCTGGGAAGGTGGTAGAGGATGACCCAAAGCCTTGGGACCATGCATCTGCATGGGAGACCTGGAGGAGGTTCCAGGCTCCTGGCTTTGGATTGGCTCAGCTCTGGCCATTGTGGCCAGTTGGGGAGTAAATCATTGGATGGAAGATGTTCCTCCTCTCTGTGTATCTGACTTTGCAATAAAAATAAATAAATCTTTATAAAAAAAACTAAAAAGGTGTCTTGAATGCTAAAACAACCCTAAAATATAATCTGGTCCAGTCTTTGGGTGAGGTACACGATCTTCTCTCCATTTTAGAAATGTGGTCCAATCAAGGTAAAGGAAATAAATGGTGGAAAATAAACAAAAGCCATTTAATCCCTAATGCAACAATATCAATATCTACTCCCCAAGGAATTCTCCCATGTTTCTTTTTGAATCACAGGAGTTCATTAATCACAAAATGAGCATAATCCACTGCAAACAGCACCCAGACACTCACTTGGCTTGCCAACTGGTTGGCTTTCTTGGCCCTTTGATAAGCAGGCGTGATCATGGCTGGAAAGCTCCCCTTGCCTCTTTGTTGCTCATAGTCTTCCACATATTCCTGTTGGCCAAAACCAGTGACCACATGAGAACCAATGGGATATTGGGTGGAAGGCAACAAAACCTGATGGAACTGGAGTTGTAAGGTCCTTGGAAAATATTTTAGTCACTTGTAAGAAATGTGAAAATGGTATGAACTGGCAATTTGAATAACATCATCAACATTGAAGAGCTCAGATTCCCCAGGCCAAAAGGTTTCCCATTCAATGCTTGTGTCAGGTGGCAGGAACCTACATAAACACTCTTGACCCAACAGCACATGTGAAAACTCAGCAATGAACACACAGGAGACATGGCTGTAACTCACTCACTAGGGATACTTCTACAGCTCTGGTGGTGACATGTCTGCTCTTTTTTGCTCCTCACATTTCAGTGACTCTGATGATTTGTTTCTGGATGAGCTGTAGCTTCTGTTGCTTTTTTTTTTTCTAAAGGAGAAGTCCCAAAGACTACCAAGCTTTCCCAAAGGCGATTCTCTAAAGTGGAGGTGTGCGGTGAGGACCAGCAGGCATGATGTGCCTATGGTGAAGTGTCTCTGTAATCCACGCTGGAATTGCCTTCTTTATCACTATAGTCCAAATGTGTTCCACAAATTTTATGTGGTAGAAACATGATCTCCAAAGCGTTTGCCTCAAGGTATCTGAGGGAGTAGGACCTTTAGGAGGGTTTTGAGGGTTCTGCCTCACAGATTTGTGGGTTATCTGTTACAAAGCCAAGCCCTCTCTGGCATGCTTGCTGTGTTGGGTCACGTTGTAATGAAGCAAAAAGCTCCTCAGCAGAGGCCAAGAAGATGCCAGCACCAGGATCTCGGCTTTCTCCCCTTGCAGAACCACGAGCTGGACTGGCCACTATTCGTTATTAGTGACTTGGTCTTGAGGTTTTGCTGCAGCCACAGCTGCAGGAACAGACAAATACCTACACAAGAGTCCTGTTTAGGTCTGGAGGCCCAAGCTTATTGGGGCTGGTTCTTTCTGGAGAGACTGAATGAGAATCTCTTTCTGTGCCGGTTCCAGCTCCCACAGCAGCCTACACTCCTTGGTTCCCAGCCTTTCATGGCTCTGACCTCTACTCCTGTCATCACATCACCTCAGGTCTTCCCCACTAGGACCCTATGAACATGTTCGGGCCACCCTGGTCCTCCAGGATCTACCCTCCACAGCCTCACTGACAAAGGAACATGACAGACACAGAAGGTCTATGGGTCAGAACACAGGAATCTTTGGGGAGGAGTGGCACCATTCTGTCTGTCATACTCTTAAAAATAAAGGAACATTGCAATCAACTGCTAAAGCAACTCCCAGGACACTTACCTCCCCTAGAGACTTCCGAGCCTCAACCATCCGCACAATTTCAGGATCTGGCAGAGCTCCTGGGCACCAGGCATCTTCCTCCCCGTATCTAGCCCAATAGGCTGGCTGGAAAGGAAGCACACAGACACATGCAAACATATGCACATCTGGTTGGCAAGACACTCCTTCCCCAACATGCCTAGACACACTTCCACACACTGTCAAAATAAGATGGCTTCAATACACAATAAACTCCTTTGAAAAATCAATAAGCTCCTTCAGGTATATGGTAAGTCTCAACTAGCTAGAATGTGTGCGTTCTTAGACTATAACACAGCCTATGAGCCTCGGCCACTGAACATTCTGAAGTTCACCTAGAGTCATGGAAAATGTCAAATGCAACTTCACCTTTTTTTTTTTTGTTTATTCGACCAAGACTGGACAGAGGAGCCACTGTGGAAGCCACTCAGAGATTCAGCAGCATTTCTCAGACAGACAAGCTTCAAAAACCCAGCACCTATGTGTGCCTGACAGCTGACAACTGCAAAAGCAAAACTGAAAGAACGATAGAGTTCCGCTTCTAAGATAATTACAGCCTATCTTGGGAGACAGAACTAACATGGGGAACAAATGGAAATCAGAAAGCATTTAAGGGTTCAACGCTCCGTGCAGAAAACAAATACAACAGGAGGTTTTCAAAAACAGTCTGTGTGAGCTAGGTCCACTTTTGAGCAGGAAGATAGACTTAGAGCTGGGCATCCAGTCATTCAGAGGCAAAAGGAGAAAGAATGGCATCCACCCCAGAAGGACAGCTCCATGAAGCAGGGAGTTCCATGCCTGGTTCACTGGTGTCTAGCATGTAACACACCCAGTGGGTATCTGCTGAATAATTCTAGTAGTGTACACACAGCTGTTGACCTAGAAGCCTCATTTCTCATTATCAATTCTACAGAAACATTTAATGCAAAAGAACTGATAGACAAGGATGTTTGTTGCTGTCCTGGCCATTGGTAGGACTGCATGGTGCACTCATTCTTTCTGATGCACCCACAGGGCATCCACCCATCACAGTTTAAGGACACTGACACAAGAACAGCTCCAAGATTCCACTGAGCGAGAGGCTCAGACTGCAAAGCAATGCATGCTGTCTCATGAAGAAATAAAGGTATGGATGCTTCAGGAGAAACACACACACACACAGCTTCAATTAGAAGTAATGGCTTTGGGGATGTTTTCAGTTAACTTTATAGATGAGAAAACTTAACAGGAGTGATTAAATAACTCATTCAAAGTCTCCAATAATTATGTTCGAACCCCATAACTAGGAAGATAGTTTGGAAGGAGAGATGATTGACAGATCGATAGATAGATAATTTATAGAAAGATTGGCTTATAAATGAAATGAGAATAGAACAGTCCGAAAGGATATGCAGTCTAATAATGGTTGGTGTTTCTACTGAGGGGACTAGGATAGGAGGAGGTATATAGTGGGTTAGTTTCAGTGCATTCTCTCTTACAGAAAGAAAAATGCTACTCCTCTGTGTAATTCACAGTAAATGGTGAAGAATTTTGAAGTGATGAAGTTGTCAACAGACAGTCACAGTGGGAAGAGTAAGTCTGAGTCATCCAGGAGTCCATGTGTGGGCATGATGAGCACACAGGTGTCAGAAAGGCAAACCTGGAAGAGAGACTGTTGGGAGAGCACCTCACACAGGCCCGGATGGGAATGACACAGGGGGAGGATGGAGACGGGACCAGGAAGAGAGAGCAAAAGGCTGCCTTGCTTTCGAGCCTCCCTGTGTCTGAAGCCCGTGATTGAGAGACAGAAGACAATGAACTTAGCCTGGACCACAATTAAGATAACACAAGGACATGCTGATGGAGGACTTACATAGGCTGCTGGATTACAACTGGCTAAACAAAAAATAACACCTGAGTTTCCCTGAGGAATAATACCAACAATAATGCATTTACTTTGTATAGAATGGTGTTCTTCTCTATTTTTCCAAACCCACTAATCACTCTTGTCTCACCTCATTCACAAGTGGTTGCCTGTGAGGTGCACCTGCCTCACCGTTGGATTTCATGTCCCAGCGAAAACCAGATTTAAACTGCTCATTATCTTCTGGGTCATCAATCTGCACAATGAAGATGTTGCCATAAAAGTTTCCACCAGGAAAGAAAATAAATAAATAAATAGAGCACAGTTAAAATCTGCAGGTTTTCCTAAATGTCCATTGCAAAGCATCCTAAGTGCACCATGATGCATACTCTACTGTCAGTTCATCTACAGCCTCGTTTGATCCATCAGCCCAGCCACAGACACAAGGAGCACCTGGTGTAGAGCACAGAGATTGAAGAACCGAGTCCTGTTTACCTGAACTCATCACACATGTCTGCCTGAGCTCACCGAGGTTGGAGCAATCCAGAAAACAGTGTGTATTCCCATCGTGGTTCTTAACTTCAATCGACCAGTGAGCTTGCTAAAGTGATGGCTCTCCAATTTCTTGGAAATAATCACCTCGGCTTTATAAGTTTGTGATTAACATTTTTGTCTGTCATATACCTTGAGTTAATTTTCATGCATGAATACAAGTTCATTTTTGCAAACAAATATCTAGTCGTGCCAGTACAAATTACTTTAAGATCCTTGCTAAGTTGATTTGCAGTGGTTGACTTTGTCATAAAATTGACCACATACATGCACCTCTATTTCTGAATGTTGTCTTCCAGCTCACTGGTTTGTCCATTCCTGTGTCAGTCCTACATTGGGTTATTTCCTTCTGCCTGAAGTATGGTAACCAGAGTATTTCAATTTTGTCCTTCAAGATTTCTTTAGCTATTCCAGAACCTTTGTGTTTCCACATCAATTTTACAATCAATGTGTCAATTTCTGCTTAAAAACAGGATTTTTTTATTCGAATTTCACTGAGCGTAAAGATCAGTTTGAGAACTGCCACCGCAACATCTTCAGGACCTAGGCCAAAGCACTGACTTCTTAAAGAGAATATATGAAAAGACTAACTTCCAGGGGCTAAAAACTTTGTTCAAACCAATAAATCATCATTTATTAGGTCTGAGATGAGACCCAGAAAACTGTTACTTCTACAAGTTGAAGTTTAAATCATTAATTTTACAGAATAAGAAAAGAAGCTCAGAGAAAAGTTAAACCTTGACTATGGCACTTTCGGTCACTGCTTTTCAGCTGTCAAACCCTGCTACCCAACTGCACAAACATCTGGTCATTAGAAGACATCATTAAGGCTTGTCATCCTCTGGGTACATACAGAAAGGGGCCAATGTCTACAGCCATACTATGCTGAACATTCCCAATCTTGTCTGATCTCAGAAGCTAAGCAGAGTCAGGCCAGGTTAACACTTGGATGGGAGAAAGGGACCAAAGTTAACCAGTGGATGAAAAATCTTCCTTTCTGTCTCTCCTCTCTATAAATCTGACTTTGCAATAAAAAATAAAATATTTTTAAAAAACGAAAATGCTGCAGAAGGTGTTCATGAAGAACAGGGCAGACAGCATAAAGAACTTGGACAAGGGTGTGGCACTCAACTAAGAATTAAAATCAGCATTCAGAATGAAGTCCTAAAACAATGAGCCATTTCTAGAGTTGAGGGTTCTTTGTGAATCCTCAGAACTCAACGAAGCATGGGCAACCCCAGGAGCCTCTGTCTCCTTGTCCATGAAATGGGACCGTAATAACATGCAGTGAATGTAAATGCTATGCAAACACGTGGGATAAAGATGGTAAGAAGTTCACAACTGTGCAAGGCACTTAGTGAACTGTGACATCTGGGCAACAGGTGCAGAGAGCCAAGGGTAAGGTTCCAGGCTCTGTCCACTGTGCATTTTCTTGAGGACTGAGGACAGCAGCGGGGACAAGGTGGGGTAACATTAGGGAGGAAATCATGGGTGAGGACAGATGACTAGAGAGTCCTCCAGCTCTGGGTAATACTCTAAATTTAGAAAGTCACTAACGCTTCATTCCACTGAGCAACTATTTGCGTGGGGCACGGGCAAGGCGAGCTCAGTGAATCATCATGTTAACAGGTACGAGTTCCATCAGTAGCTAGATGGATAGTTTCTCAAAAGAGGCTGGATTCATCAACATGGCTTCCTTGTCTAGTCCCTCATCCCAGCTCTTCAAGTCCCAAACCCAACTGAATTTCCAAATCAAAATATCCTTGACCTAGTTCTACCCCAGTAATCTGAAATAACTGTTGAATTCAGAGACTCGAGAGAGTGAATCCAGAGATTTTTTAAATTTCTCTCACAAAATGTAAAAGATTTTTACAGGAAAAAGATTTTTTAAAGGTCCTTGTACCATATTCCACCTAGAAAATCTTTATTTTATGTATCTAGTATCTAGCATATGCAGGGCCTATCATATAAGCTATCGCTAAGTCATCCACTGCTTGTCAGACCCAAAGAATACACCAGGATCGAGAAACACAAATATCCAAACTAGATTATCCAAGACTCGAACACTGCAGTGGACAAAGAGAACATTTGTTATTGAAATGCACTGAGCAAGGGTGTGTAGAGGAACTGAGCAAATTCACATACAGACAGAGACACTTAAAAACCTGACAGGTGCCTTCACCCAGGGATCTTCTTTAAAGGCTATTTTAAAATGGAAAATGAAGCAACTTACCCCACCCACGGCCTCTGGAAACTTCCTCGCATTTAGACTTAATGGAGTGTAGTAGACACTTGTGAAAGTGTTATTCTTGGGGTTATGGCTACCAAAAAATAGATTTAAATCAAAATTAGAAACACACTTTATCCAAGACAAGCGAGGGATTACTCTTGAAGGCGCAGTCATTTTTATAAAAGCCATAAATACAAAACTTAACGATTAATTTCATTTTCAAAACAATGAGAATTCCAGAAGAAAAAAAGGCACAAACCAATACATTAAATATACATAAAGACCGCAGGTGGTTGCTTGAAACGCATTTGAAGAAACAGGAAAGGGTTTTCAAATAACTTAAAAGACTTTGAAGTCTTATATGCATATTCATAGAAATGCATTGTTGTGGATAACATTTGATGATATTTTCATAAGGTTTTAATGGACAGGTTTCATTTTAAGAAGTTTGGTGTATTTTGTGTGTGTATGGCATAGTGAAAAAAATCTCTCGGGTCCCTTCAATAAGTGAATGTAAGTGGGTCTGGGAAGAAGCTTCTCGGAGTCAACCCCAGAGGACGTGATAATCGGCAATTTGCTGAAAAACAAACAAAACTCCAGCAGCAGTGTGGGGGCGGGGGGGTTCGAGCACTTACGCGTGGCAGTACGGCTTTTTCTGGTGACTCACAAAGTTATTAACAGAGAGCATCATCTTGCAGACCTCACAGTGAAAACACGCTTTGTGCCAAATCTAGAAATCACACAGAGACGATGGAGCTATTACTTTCCGCCCACCCCCTGATTCAGAATGCACACATGTTGTAGGGTACAAATAAAACAAAATAAAAATCCCTGAGCTCTAAGGAGAAAATCGTTCTCTAAAAAAGTAATCATCACACATAGCTATGACAAGTTAAATGAACGGATAACTTTCTATGAGACAACTTGGAAGACACTAAAATCTAATGTTAATGGTGGGAAAATACATCTTTTTCTTGTGGTTTGAAAAACTTGGGGAACAACAACAAAAAAAAAAACGAGTCTACGTGGGACAAGAGAAATTTTTTGCATTTTTTTGTTTACTCCCAAAGGTCACACAGGGTGTACTGACCTGATCAATACAGCTGATCTTCTCTGCGGGATAAACTCCATAACCGCACCTGGAGCAAGCCTGCACGTTCATCTTCAAATCCGAAGACGGGAGACCAAGCGAAGCAACAGGCGAGAAATCCCAAGAGGCGCCTCCACTGGTGGTTCAGATCTTCCAAATCCTGACAAAATCCCCGTTAAGTTCCAGTGGGCACCTTGATCGCTCACAATCCAACTTCTACTTCCCTTTGCTGGCCGTCTGTTTAGGAGTCGGTGGCTGGACGGTTTTTAAAGCGGCCACTTACTCCACGGGCTATTTTGGCCACTGCTTGAGCACGCATGCGTCAGGGAGAGAAGGTGGAGGTATTTCTAGCTGACACGCTTCTCTAAATAGAAAAGTGAACTCACAACGGCATCATGTTTATGTGGATCACCCAGCCTGCAGGGTGACCAGCCAACAATGTAGTGTTTTCACACCAGCTGTGATCATGTCCCAAGAAAAGAGCTTCAGGAAGATGCACACCCTCATCCGACAATCGCATTACCGAGTCTTGCCTCACGTGTCCTATGATTAAACTTGACAACCCAGCTCCCCGGCGCAGGGAATAATTTTAGGAAAATAGAATCAATTCACTCTCCACTGGAAGGGCAAAAACCAGGTTTGGGTGTTGGTTTTATCCACTTGAAAGGTTTACAACAGTGAAACTAAAACCTCAATTGACACATCAACAGGTGCTTAACTTCTAGTACAATGCAAACATAAAAACAGCCAATAACTCCTGGGACTTAAGCTTCCTTATTTTACCCTGGCTTCGTGAAGCTCCTCCTGGCCTTCAGTCACTACCTGCACATCGCCTTATTGCCTCCAAGACGGAACTCATCACCAGCCCTGGCCCACCACCTGCTATTCCTTTAGTCTGCTCTGTCAGCTTCATGGCAGTAATCGCCACCTGACATATGAAATATGGTTGTGTTTTTAGTATTATGCCTCTCCCATCAGGATTCTTGATTCTGGTTATTTCTGCATTCCCAGTAACCACAGGGAACCCTGGCCCTTAAAAAAGTACTCACTGAAGTAATGAAATACGTTTACAGTTCACAGCGGAATGCCCACCAAGGCTGGGCACGACATCCTGGGACACATAGGACTTGGCCAAGGGGATGTGCACACAGCCTCACCCCACTTCCCAGCCAGCAGCTCTCAACAGTACTCAGCATTGCCCTCTATTCAGAATTTTCCAGAGAAATCAGGCCTTGGCATTTACACTTTAAGTTCCCTGTTACAGAAAGTTCCACTGTAGTAAAAAAAACAACTAAAGTAGGCCTGGGGTGGAATTGGACCAGGGGGTTTCCCTTCTGTGACCTTTGAACCCAGTGGTCTGAGAGGAGGCTGGGTGTCCCTGGAGAGGGTGGAGGATGGCTTTGGGAAGAAAGCCAAGAGGATGGAAGATGCTGTAAGACAATGGAGAAGCAGACCAGGAGACTAGGGGGAGGGTGGAGTCTTTGCACGTGGCACAGACCACACACTCCCTCTCCAAAACATGAGCCAAACAAACAAGCCCACCAATCTGCACCAGACTGCCCACGCCGCTCTGGGGAGAGGCAGGAAGGCCCAGCCTCCAGGGAGAAAGCCCTCCCTCCTCATCTCCAGGCTTCCCTTACAGAAAAGGCCATGGCTCCCTGACAGTGCACAACACAGGAGGCCGTGCTGGTGGCTGAAGTTCTTGGATCCCTCATACCCACAGAGGAAGGAGAGCAGGCTGAATTTCTGGCTCATTGGCTTTAAGCTGGCTCAGACCTGGCTACTGCAGGCATCTGCGGAGAGAGCCAGCGTAGAAGACTCTCCCTTTCTTCCTCTCTTTTCGGGGGTCCCCATGATGACGCAAGACAGACACAGCTCAGCGGGACAGCTGCAGTGGTCTGAATGTGTCCTGAGCTCTTGTCCAGTACAGCAGCGGGGGCAGGTGAGGCCCGGTACGAGGTGGACTGGATGCTGTCATTGAGAAACTGAGTCAGTTCTCAGGTGGTGGGCAGTCATCGGAGCAAGTGTGGAGCCCTCTCACTTGTTGCGCCCTGCCTCTCCCACACTTGCACCTTCTGCCCTGGATGGTGCAGAGAGAAGGCCTGCATCAGATATCAGGGTCACGGCCTCGGACTTCTCAGTCTCCAGAACTGGGAGCTCAGGAAATTCACAGCCATTGTCAATCATCCAAGTTCAGGAGTTCTGTTAGAGCAGCCAGCCCGAGACGGTGGACACCCCTCCCACGTTCAGCCTGGCTCCTCCTCATCCTCGGCCCTCCAGAACGGAGCCCGTGAGGCCACAATACTCCTCCAGCTGTAGGGATCCAGTAGACAATGTCAGTCAGTCTTAGCCTGAGTTCCTAAAATCAGAATCTGGGACTAAATACATGCAAAGCCTTTATTAAGAAATGCAACTGAGGAACAGGGGTAAGGAGTGCAGAAAAGTAGGCAAGGCGATGTCTCGGTAACATGGCTATTTTTTTTAAAAAAAATGCATTTATTTTTACTGGAAAGTCAGATTTACTGAGAGAGGAGAGACAGAGAGAAAGATCTTCAATGTGCTGGTTCACTTCCCAAGTGGCCATAATGGCTGGAGATGAACCCGGAGCCTCCTCCAGTTTTCCACACAAGTGCAGGATCTCAAGGCTTTGGGCTGTCCTCCACTGCTTTCCCAGGACACAATCATAAAGCTGGAAAGGGAAGTGGAGCAGCCGGAACACTGAATGGTATCCATATAGAATCCCAGAGCATGCAAGGTGAGGACTTCCACCACTAGGCTGCCACACTGGACCCTGTGTGGCTATTAAGGTGTCCACCACCTGGTAGGAAGTGCATGGGGTCACTTGATCTCCATCATCCAACATCATGGAATAAGAATATCTTCAGAAAGTAAGCGGGAAGAATTTGTCTATGACCCCTGTCTCCCATTGGTGAAGGATTTGGGTGTTAATTCTCCCCTACCTCTCTTCGCATCTCATGTCTCAGTATCAACAGAAAATCTCCCAGAACAAAAGCCAAAGACACAACCGGCCATGCCCATGTGAAGACGCCCAGAGCCCACAGTACCAAGCCTGCCCCAGTACAAGAGAAGGGGCAGGCACCTGCTCAATCAACAGAGTCCAGGACTCAGGAATGGTGATGATCCCGGAGAGCGTTGTTGGGTCTCGCTCTGGATGCTTCTGCCATGCCACCCACAGGGGGGATGGGGTGCTGCTTGAAGTTCTGACTCAGGGAGCACATGTTCAACGTTTTAGCCTTTTGTTCCCATAAAGGCCTACTGCATTTGGAATGTGGGCCGTTTCCTGTCTGAACATTTGTGCTGCTCTCCTAATTTGTCTCTTCTAAATTTCATCATCCTGTCGATGGTGGTCCCCTTGCTCCAGCAGGTTCAGACTTTATTTTGTCTCTGGATTGTGTCATCCAGGGTATGAAGTGACAATTCACAGCTCTGAGTCATGCTCTGTGCCTTCCAGGGCTGTGCATGTGACGGACTGTGAAATCACAGAGTGGTGACAAACACGCAGTAAGACAGAGCGACTGATCCTTCACTGTCACTGCAGGTGAGGTCACAGCTCCCTCTCTCAAGCCCTCCCTTAATTTAGGTTTTCCCCAAAGTAGATCTTGAAATGAGGATTTGGGTGCAGAGCAGTTGTTTAGGGGGGGCAGTGACCCCATCATAAGGCGGGAATGAGAGTTCATCAAGATCCATGAGTCAGGGACAACAGCAGAGTCAGTAATGGGTATGTTCTGAGCTGGTTACCAGCCTGGGCAGCTGGGGCTCAGACCTGCTGGGGTCCCTCTGGAGACCTGTGCAGAACATGTTCAGAACTGTCTCACTGGGGACCAGCACCATGGAGCAACATGTTAAGCCACTGATGCCCCTACAAAGCCGACAGCCCATGAGTACTGATCTGAATCCTGTCCACTCCACGCCCCATCCAGCTCCCTGATAATGAGCCTGGAAAGGCAGCAGAGGAAGATCCCAAGTCTCTGGGCTCCTGGCCCACCTGCAACACCTGGATGAAGCTCTTGGCTGCAGCCTGGCCCAGCCCTAGCCACTGTAGCCATTTGGAGGAGTGAATCAACAGATGGAAGAACTCTTTTTTCCTCTCTCTCTCATTCTCTCTCTCTCTAACTCTACCTTTCAAATAAATAAAATAAATCTTTCTTAAGAAGGAATCATACTACTGAAGGATGTGGCTGGGACACTTATTCAATCAATTCACATCCCACATGTGTTGAGGGTAACCCGCAGGTGCATTAAATTCCTGCATGATTCAGCTTTTCATGATCACAACTAAAATACTGGAGAGAAACTACCTATGGAGGAAGAAGGCCTGTTTTGGCTCACAGTTCTAGCAGTTCCCAGCCCAAGAGCTCTGGCCATCTATTGAGACAGTGACCTACTGCCTTGGTGTCACCTTGAGTGGCTGAGCTGGAGATTTCAGCTGGGTTCATTAGGCACTGTGTCCAGGAAAGCCAGAGAAATATTTTGCCTCTCCTCCAACCTAATTCTGATTTGAGGCCACTCTGTAATCAAAAGTCACTGTTGGGTTTGCAGGAAGAATTGATTCTTACAATTTCATATGGGGTCTACAAACTTCTTCCGGGGGCAGGCACTTGACCAGGTAACAAAAACACCTGCACCGCATGTCAGAATATCTGTGTTTGATACTTAATTCTGCTGCTGGGTCCATCCACCTGCTAACATGTACCTGGCAGGGATGGCTCAAGCAATCGAGTTCCTACCACCTGTGTGGGATTCTCAGGTAGACCATTCGGTTCCCAGTTCCTCATCTCACTGAGGGCATTTGGGGGATACACCAGGCAATGCAGCTCTGTGCCTGCCTCTGAGATAAGCATTTAAAAAAATAAAAGTCACATTGTAAATATTTTCAATTTTCTAAGCCATACACATTCCATCTGTGCCAATCTATTTTTTTTCCCTTCCGTTTCCCCCTAATTCTTTAAAAATCAGAACTGCATTCTTAGCTCATGTGCTGTGCAGAAACAGGCCACTGGTGACCTACAGGCCGGAGATACACTCTCCCTGGTGCACAGGACATCGGGAAAGGCAGGAACAAGAGGCCTGATGTCCTCTTGTGGAGAAAGAGGAGAGACAGAGGAGAGGACTGGAAACGGGCTTGGTCCCATTTGGCCCGAGCTTTGAGTGTCTGCAATGCTGCCGTGAAATCTCACTCAGGTGTGAGGAACAACAGACACAGCTGCTGGGACGGCCTTTTCCTGGATCCAGGGTCAACAACACACAGCTGACGGCTGCAGAGTTAGAACGGAGGCAGGCCTTGTTCTCGCGAGACAGGGGTCAGTCGGGAGAGAGAAATCACATCACAATCTCAAAGAGAAAAGAGAACGCAACCAACTAGGCATGGCAGCAGGGAACCAGCATGCCAAGAGAGTGGCTGGGGAGAAGTAAGGAAAGGCCTAAAAGGGGCTGGCATTGTAAGCCACTGTTTGAGATCCCAGCCTCCCACATCCAAGTGCCAGTTCAAGTCCCCAAGAGTCCCACTTAGGAACCACCTCCCTACTTACGGGCCTGGGAAAGGAGAGGAAGACGCCCCCGTGATTAGCGTCCTGCCTCCTGCACAGGAGAGCTGGATGGAGGTCCTGGCCCTGGCTTTGGGCTGGCTCAGCCCAGGCTGCCGCAGTCATTTGGAGAGTGAATCAACAAATGAAGGACTCTTTCTCTGTCACTCTGCCTTTCACATAAGTTGATTCTTACAAAGGAAACTGTCAAGCTAGTGCACCTGCAGGCACACCTGCAAATAACATTATCAGTCGTTTGCTGTGGCTGCCAAAACTGAGTCCCCCCGGTTAGGTGCCAAGAACGACTGGCACCGGCGCTCCCCTGGCACCACGTGTCGGCATGGCTGATTGCTTCTGAGGCCTCTCCCAGTCTGTACACGGCACAGCTTCCTTCTCCCCAGGGGTCCCAGCCCAAAGGACACCCAGGCCTGCTGAAATCAAACCCATCTTACAACTTTACCTCTTTCAAGCTTCATTACTAAATACAGTCACATTCCAAGGCACTGGGAATGTTAATCAACATACAAAACTGGGCATGCACTGTTGGGGCCACACAAACACAGCACAGTGAAACAGCTGGTCACCACCTCTAGGGCCGATCAGCAGCCCCCTTCCCAGGGCCTCCTTAAAGCCGACACCCAACTCTTATTGGAGACAGCATAGCTGTGGCACACTCCACAGCAGACAAGCCACTGTGGTCCTGCAACCATGGAGCTTGCCAGAAACTTACCTTCTAGAACTTTATGGAAATGTACCCTTTAGGTGCTGCTGGAGGGCTGTGAGTAAGGAGGTGTCACAGTGACAAAATGTCCTGAAGGTGACTAACCAGAGTTGTTGCTAGCTGCTAGGTGCTCTGGCCACACGTACCGGCCACACGTACCAGCCACATGAGAGGACCCCAGTCCTGAGGGCCGTCCCCTCTGCAGGGGGACACCTGACATCCATCCTGGCAACTGGAAGCCAACTTGCCAATCCTGGCTTGTCTCTCCAGCACTGCCTTCTGGCCATAAACATTTAAAACCAGTTGAGTTTTCCCAGAACAGACTGAAAAGGGTCAACTGGGGGAGCTGAGAGGGATCAACTAACAACAAAGACAAAATGCATTCCTTTTTCAGGAAATAAAAGGAGTCAGCCCTTCACCCTGAGCCTCTCAGTGCCCAGCCTCCTGGTGCCTCCACAGGATCCTGAGTGTGGGTCTGGAAGTGTGTGTGTGTGTGTGTGTGTGTGTGTGTGTGTGTGCAAAGCAGCATTCCGGCTCATCTTGAGCTATTCTCAGTGAAGTCCCGTGTGAGATCGTAGTTTGGCCAGGGCTAGCAACGCGGAGCGGGGAGGCCCTCCAGGGTGGCCACCATTGGGGTACTGTGCCTCGCAGACTCTGTGAACAGAGCTGGAGGGACCCAGGAGGCCCAGGCTGGGGAAATCCTCCAAAGACAGGGTGTCTTTGTTTTAAAAGTGGTACTTTCTAGGGAAGGAAGCCTCTTTGGGCTCACAGTTCTTTGTGAAACGTCAAGCACACGGTGTGGGGGAGGGCCTCGTGCTGCTTCAACTTCCGGCAGGAAGCAGACAGGCAGGCAGGCATCAGGTGGGGGGCAGGCCTGCTTTACAGCAACCTGCGTCTGCCATTAACTCATCCAGTCTTGCTCCAGCGAGCAAGAACTGGCCACGTCCAGGTGCACAGAGGCAGTGCCACCTCTGGAAGCTTTCACCATTTCTCAGCACCAAAAAGCAACAGGAGTGCTGGTGTGCAATAAGCCACATTCCAACCCTAGCAACTAACCAGGGGATTTTTTTTTTTTTTTCCTAGAGCAAGAGGGCAGGTTTATGCTAGAACTTGGAAGTACAGAAAAGACACACAGGTAATTCATGGCCCAAGGTAGTCTGGCCATAAATGCTGGGCACTTTGATCCCACATGCAGGAAGGTGCAGTCATGGCAGCAATTACGACAAAGGGCGAAGTTCAAAACCGGCTCTTTCCCCCCACAGTTCCATGACTTTATCTGTTGGTCTGTTAACTCTATGGCACTGTTAACTCACTGTGGCACTGCATATCATTTATCTCCTTGCAGGTGGAAGGAAGCTATATCATAAATGATAAGCCTTTTCCCTACAAACTTGATCTTAGCAAGCTGTGATATGGGCAATGTCCCCCCAGCCTCGCGCAGCACATGCTCATGAACCCATTCTCCAGGACCTTGCCACTTCTACAGCGATGTCACCATCTTGCGGGAATATCCTAGACTTACAAATCATGGAGCAGCGTTCTTGCCCTATTTGCAATCGAAAGCTGTCTCCTTGTCCAGCGTGGCTTAGTTTACCCTGACATTTCCGGAAAGTGGGCGATGAAGGAAGCGGTTAGGCCTGTGGCCAAATCTGTTGAAACTTCACAAAGTTGTCAGTTTGGCTTTAGTTACTTGATTCTAGTTACTCCCTCACACTGACTCGCGGCTGCCTTCAAGCCCAGAAAGCCGGGCTCTTTTCGGACTTGGAGCCCTCGGTGTGAAAGGGGAGATAGTCCGGGCCTCGTTGTGTGCTGGACGGCGGGCACGCGGGCGGTGGGTCAACCTCAACCTCAAGTGCGCTCTCTACCCACCTCCTTGGGGGAAGCCGCGGCCACGGGGCCAGCGCCGGACACTTGGGGGCGCACGGACAGCGTGGCCGACGCACTCAGCTTCTGAGGAAGCTGAGCAAGCGTCCCACGCCCGCGCCGAGCGAGCGCCGACAGCTACCCACGAGGAGGCCACGCGGGCGCCGCGGGCCTTGCTGAGGGGCCTCGGCTTAGGGGGAACAGAACGCGGCAGAGGCAGGCGTGGAGCACCCCCAGCCCCCAGAAAAGCGAACCTAGCACTCTGGGGCGCGGGAGCGGGACGCACTGGGGGAAAAACCCGCTGGCTATGGGCGTGGGTCCCCCCGCGTTGGAAAGGGCGTCAGGTCTGGTCTGAGGGCGGGGTGGGGGAAGAGAAGGTTACCTGACCAGCGCCCCTATGCGAAGTCTGCGCGGCCAACGTGGCCGAGGGCGCAGTCGGGGCTGCGGGTAGTGGGGCGGCCGACTTGGCGGGACGCGCCCTCCCGAGGTGGGGCGGGCCGAGAACTTTTGCGCAGAGCGCGCGGGGGATGCGCAGGGGGGATGCGCGGGGGGATGCGCGGGGGGATGCGCGGGGCGGTGCGGGCGGCTCGCCGCGCCCCATCCCGGGCCAGGGGCGGTGCACGCCGCCCGCCCGGCTCCTCCCCCCGCGGCGCGGCGGCTTTTGCTTTCGTTTTCTCGGCCGTGGCCCCAGACCCCAGCTGCGGAGGGACGGACGGAGCCGCGCGGCCGCCGGCAGAACGGTAATGGGGCGGCCGCCTGCGCCCCGCCGCCGTCCCCGCGCTCCTTCTGGGGCCGGGACAAGCGGCGTCCGGGGAGCCGGCTTGGGAGGGCAGAGCGGCCCCGACGGCCGGCTCTGGAGCTCTCGGGGAGCCCCGTTTGCGCCCAACCTGGGGTGGGGAAAGGGGGCGGTTCGTGGGAAGCGACGGAGCGCCTGGGATTTAGAAGGGAGGGAAGAAGGGCGTCAGCCAGGCGGGTCCCCACTTGGGGTGCCCTGTGCGCGTCGGTGGGTGGAATCGAGGGATCCCGGGCTGACTCTTGGTGCCCCTGTGGAGGCAGAGTCTGTTGGGCGTCCTGCCTGCCTTGGCGGGCTACCTTCCCTGCAGGGCTGGAGCCTGCACCTAGAGGAAGTGAAGAGGAAAAAGGAGGGGGGGGGGAAGGCGGGCGACACTCGGGCTCCCAGCGACTTGGCCTCGTGGTACTTTGCTGCTTTGTGGAGTAGCAGGATGGTAGGAGGTGTGGCTGGCCCTGGCCTTGGCCTCCTCCCGTTCTGGTACCTCCTGCTGAATCCTGGGGAGGACATGTCTGCCAGCAGAACACCGTGTCGCCGCCGTGAGGAGCTTGCTTAACCTCTGCAGAGGCAAGGCTGTGGGCAGACCCCCGGGCACCCCTCCTGGCAGCGCCCAGGTGGCACAGTGGAAAGCTCCACACCCCCACCCGCACCCCACAGCCTCATCACCCGCACCCCAGGTGCTGGAGGCGAGAGGTCGAGGTCAGGGCCGCTTCCCTCTGAGGGCCTTCGGGTCTTCCTGTGGTAGATGGCGGGCATACTGTGGGAACGGGTTGCACTTGGTCCACTTCCCCGTGGGGGAGGGTAAAGCCGAGTTCAAACAGTGTGTGGAAAGTGATTTTTCAGCTCAGCTCATAAAATGTTGAGTTGTTCATTTTGAAAATTTTATTAAGATTGTATTTATTTGAGTTGGAAGTCAGAGTTACATAAGGAGAAGGGGCGACAAGGAGGTGTTCCAACCACTGGTTCACTTCCTGAATGGCCACAATGGTCAGGCTTGAACCAGGCTGAAGCCAGCAGCTTCTTCTAGATCTTCCTTGTGGATACTGAGGCTCAAGCCCTTGGGCTATCCTCTGATGGATCAGAAGTGGAACAGGGCGATTGCGAGGGGCAGCTTAACCTACTTTGCCACAGGGCAGGCCTCTTGAAAATATCTAAGTGACTGTTTTGCTGAGTATAGCCCTGGTTGAAAAATCCGCAGAAAGGAAAGACGCTCTGGTTGGCTGAGTGTTCTCTGCCTGCCTGACCGTTGGCCTGTCCCATTTGTCAGCCATTTGGGATCGTGCTTGCCATATATGTCTCCTGGCCAGAAGCGTGTCGGTGGCCACAGTCGGGAGGGGTGTTGAAAAGCGAGTCGTGGAAGGCATTGGCCACGCCCTCTTCCTCCCTTTCAGCTCTCTCCTCTCTGCTCAGCTCAACCTCAGGTTAGCTGGAAGGTTCCACAGTTGGGCCACTTGGGGTTCGGCCCACAGGGCGTACCTTTGCCTGCTTGGACGCCTCACTGTCAGCCAGAGGCCGTGTGCTCCCAACATCCCATTGTCATTACTTGTACACCTCAAAGCACAAAATGAGGCCTCCCACACACAGCCCCAGATGAGCCCTAGCAAGTATCCAGGGGTGCACCTGGTGGCGGTGGCCCACTGGCTGCGAGCAGAGAAAGAGAGAGCAGGTAGAGATTGGGGTGCGGAAAGGTGGCCATTTATTGCTGGGAGTTGGTCTGCCACGTGGTGCGTGAGAATCAGCAGATAAACCAGCAGCTATGGCAGCTGTGTCGGGAATGAGGGCCTGAGGATGGGGAAGGGCCCGTGGGCTGGATGGATGCGGCCGAGGGGACCACGGGAGACTGCTATGAATCAGAAGGCACAGGTGTGTTCTCATCAGAGCTTCTTCCCAGAAACGGAAGAGCCGTGCCCGGCTGGTCCTGCCTTAGGTCCCCAAGGCTTAAAGTCCAAGGAGACAGTTTCGCTGTGGACTTGCTTAACTTTTAGCAGAACCGAGGATACGGGGTCTGGAGGTCCATGCGGGCATGGATTCGGTACAGTGCCATTGGCACACGGCACACGTGTCTGAATGCGGGGATGGTGCAGCTGCCCTCCGCTAACAGTACAGAACAGCTCCCTCCCAGCTTCTCCGTGAAGGGGAGTGTCATTTAAAGAGATCCTACTGAACAACCACTTCCGGTTTGCTTTTCCTTCTGCCAGATGGCAGACGACCAGGACCACGCTGTAGAGCCTGGAGCCGGCGACTCGGCAGCTACAGATGTGGTGGACGCTAAACCCGACCGGACCTCGGTCTTGCAGGCACTCCTCAGGTGGGTTTTCTTTCTGGTCGGGGTAACCAGGGACCCTGGGTCACCTCAGCCTGCCATGCTCGTGCCTCGTGCCCCCACCCATGGGGCAGGACACAGCCGGGCAGGGGCTGCATGCTGTGCACAGGAGGCAGAGGGCTTTGCTGGCTGAATGCGGTGACAGGAGGCTTCTTGCACACTCCCTCTTGTCACTGCAGCGGGCCCAGGCTGGGAGGATCAGGCTGCGGGTGGTCGTGCTGCCCTGCTGCGGGGTGTCCAGAGGGGCAGCTCCCGTGGGGGCGAGGAGGGCTTTTCTTGGGCATAGGTTACAGGGAGCTTCAGAGCAGAGTCGGGGCTGCCGCTGCCCATCGGCCCGGGAGTGGCTGAAGGCTAGACTCTGGAAGTCATGGGCAGGAGTCAAGGTGATGTTCTCTTTCCCCCCTCCTGCTTCTCCCCCTCCCGCTCCTGTCTGCAGGGGCTCCACCTTGATGGGGAGCTGGGGTAGGGGTGCATCCTAGCTCCCACCTTGTCTGTTCTTGAGTTGCCTGACAGTGCTCATGGCGTCAGGTGTGGAACTCCTGAGTGCCAGCCCACAGTGCAATCCCGGAGGCAGGACTCGGGCACTGGGAGATTGGACGGCTAGCTTTTCTGGTGACATTTACTACCGTGGCAGTGCTGAAATGAGACTCCCAGCAGAATCATCACCCCTTACTGAAACGCTTACTGATGGCTTTCTAAGTAGAGCCATCCCATACCTTCCCGTAACCTTGATCGTGGTCAGTGGAGTCTTCTGATGAGAAACAGCCATCCGGCGTCAGAAACATCAGCCTTCCTTGTGCCGTGGCTCCCCCGCTCTGTATCTGGGGCTTCACCTCCTGCAGTCTCAGCGGTCAACCATGGTCCAAAAATATTACTGGAAAATTCTAGAAATTCTCACTGTAAGCATAAAAACCCTGTACCTTCAGCTGTGTCCTGCCTGAGGCGTGCAGGCTCGCTTTGTCCATGCTGTGCAGCCGCCTGTCCACTGTGGTCTGAGCGTTTGTTCCCTTAAACTTGGTCTCCCATGGGTGGTACTGGGCAGGTGGGACTTCATCCAGCTGTGATGTTTCGAGGGGGCCTTTGGGAAGAGGTGGGCTGGGAGTGGATGTTCGGATGGAGTCCCATGATGACAGAGGTGGTATAGGCATACGTGCACTGTCTTGCCTTGTGATGTTCTGTGTTCGTTCGGGACTGCGCCTGCAGTTGGCATTGTTAACTTAGCCTTGCTCAGGTACCCCATCATGACAATAAGCTTACTGATGCATGGCCCATTCGTGATATGGTGGCCATCTCAGTTCTCAGCTCCAATGTCAGATGTCACACCGCCTCTGTTTGAGTGGCCCTGCTTTAGCTCGGCACTGACCCCAGACCTCAAGAGCAGCAGGGCCAGCAATTTGGATATGCTAAAGAGAGGCTTGTGCCATGCACCCTTTAAGTGAAAAGCTGGCAGTTCTCTGCTTAGGAAAGGAAATAGTTCCCACGCTGAGGCTGCTGAGGTCAGCAGGAGGGAGGACTCTTCCATCCACGCACCTGTGGAGAAGCAGAAGAAAGTCCTGCTTGTTTTGCCGTGGCATCTTACAGTGCATGGTCAGTGTGTGATCAGACATTGAGGGGTAGGGTCGGGGCCTCTCGCCAGTTTCACTGGGTGCGCAGCCCATGTGCTTGCTGTTTCCTGCCCAAATCCTACCCAGAAAAGACAGTGAGGGGGCACAGGGAGGGAAGGAGGTGGATGCCCTGTTTCCTGGAAGCCTCCAGAACGAATCTGGGGTCCACGCAGCCCAGGCAGGACTTGAGAAAGACAAAAACCGTAACACCATGGATCCAGATCCCGCTGGAGTCTACTGAGGGTCATGAACCTCTTAGAGGCAAGACTGTCGAGTGAAGTGACCAGAAAATGGAACTCCAGCTCCTGCCAACTTTGAGATGTCATGTGCCCTGTTGGGCCAGATGAACCCAGGCCCCAGGGAAAGGCCCCGCCAGGCAGGGTCTCAGCAGTGGTTTTTGCTTAGGCAGCCTTGAACCTGTGCTGTGAACCTCTGCCTCCCTTGTCAAGTTGAAGGTGATACAGGGCGTTTCCAGATGCTGGCTGTGCTGCAGTGCCAGACTTGTCATCAGATTTCATTTCCCTCTGCCCAAGTGGAGTATTTGGGTCACACAAGTGGTCCCTAAACACAGGAGAAACAAAAAATGTTGGTCATCTCGTCAGCCTGAGGAGGTTTTGTCAAACCTCCACCAACTGTCAAAAATGGAATTATGCGTTGTAAAGTTTGATACTGAAAAAACTATTTCTTTAAATGTTTGCTGTGGAATCGAAATCCCTCATGGTTCCCTGGGCACCTTTATTTAAAAACAAACAAGAGGCATGAGGTGCCAGCTTGTGGCACTGCCACTGAGCATGGACTGCCCACATCCCACACAGGAGGCCTGGGGTTCAAGACCTGGGTTCCCTCCAGATTCAGCGTCGGGCCCAAGCATGTTCTGGGAGCCAGCTAACTAGAGTTCAGGCAGGCAGGTGACACTCCCACGGGAACCCTGAGCTCCCTGCCCCCCATCCGGCCCTTGGGGGATGAATGAGCAGGTGGGAGGTCTCTCCTGTCTGCAACTCAGATAAAGAAATCACTAGCAATACACCAGGAACTCTCCTCTGTTGGCTAGATTTTTTTTTCTTGCTGCTTTTTTATGTTGTGTCTTCTTTCTCCCCAAACTCACTGTGTGTTTTCTTTCTGTTTTTGGTATTTGATTCTGAGGTTACAGATTCGTCAGTTGGAATCCTCAAACATCTCTGTACCATATTCATGCATGAATGTGTGTGTCTTACACATTTTTAAGACATTTTTCCGGGTATTCGCTTTCTCTTGGTTTGAGGAATTTTTTTTTCAGCTATTACTAATCCACAGCCGACGTCAATGAACACCTGTTGATAAATCACCGTGTAACATTTGTTAAACTGAAGGATGGGCTTTCCAGAAGTTTGTTTCTACATAACAAGTAATACTGCTGGAATGCGAAATAATTTGAAATTGCTGCTTCTGTTTTCCATTTTGATAGAGAAGAGTGCTGAGAAATGAATTAACTCATGGGACGGTAGATAGGAATTTAGTTACAGTAATGCCACTTATTCCTTTATATTCCTCCTGTGGTTTGCACCAGAAATAACAACTCAAGTGCATCCTTTTTCAGATGTGTTGAAAATAAAGACTTGTAAATATCCTTTTAAAGTCTGTGTATTTGAGAGACAGAGTGGCAGAGAAGGAGAGAGAGAGATCCTTTGTCTGCTGGTTTACTTCTCAAATCGTGGCGACATTAGGGGACGTCACAGGCCAAAGGCAGGAGCCCTAGACAGCGCCCTGGGTCTCCCATGTCAGCGTAGGGGCCCAAGCACTCGGGCTGTCGTCCTCTGCACCCTTCCCAGCCACTTTTTATCAGAAAGGCAGATTTTTAATTTTTATTCCTTTAACAGAGAGAGGAAAAGACAGAAAGATCTTCCATCCACTGATTCAGTCCTCAAATGGCCACGATGGCCAGAGCCAAGCTGATCCAAAGCCAGGAACTAGGAGCCAGGAGCCTTCTTGTAAGTCTCCCATGCAGTTACAGGGCCATCCTACACTGCTACTTAAACAAAAGATGGATTTATTTTTATTGGAAAAACTCAGATTTACGGAGGGAAGAAGAGACAGATCTTTAATCCACTGATTCAATCCCAGGATGGCTGCAACAGCCAGAGCTGAGCCAGTCTGAAGCCAAGAACCAGGAGCCTCTTCTGGGTCTCCCACATTGGTGCAGGGCCCCAAGGCTTTAAGCCATCCCAGTCCAACTCCAGCGTCTGTGGCAGCTGTCTACTGATGGTTTGCAAGCCAGAGGCCCCCAGGCTCCCTTCTCCCAGTGAAGGTCTCCTGGCACATCTCAGCTCAGGGAGTGGACGACCTGGAATCTGTTTCCAAATTCTAAGTCCTGTCCCCTGGAAGGATGGGGGAAGGGAGGGCCAGAAGCAGGGTCCGTGTTTATCTCCTGGTGCCCACTTGGTCCTCACAGTCCTTAGGCTTAGCAGTGATGAAATAAAATATGTGGGAATTGTCAGGGGGATGGAAGAGACAAGTCATTAAACGAGAGCCGTCGTCACTCTCACCCCGTTCTGCAAAGGGGCTGTGTGTTCAGTTGCACATCCCGTAAGCTGGATTCGGAACAGCCCCGTGTGGTGCACACGGCTCCCTGAGTCAGGCACCCACAGTGCCTGGAACGGGGAGACTCGGCTGGGATGTTTCACCTGTCCCTGTGCCCCGTGCCCTGCAGGTTTGGTATCCATGTGGGGACAATTGCAGGGCAGGTCGGAGGGCCTGCCTAGTGACTCCGACCAGTCTCGGGACAAAGTGAAAATGGAAATTGAGGGTCTGAATGTTCCCTTAACGTCATGTGAGTCTGTGCCCTGTGGAAAGTCTCTGAGTACCCACTATTTCATTGTATTATTTCGCCAGGTCTGTAGCATGGTTTTTTAATCCTTTCTTTTTATTGTTGTCTTAATTTGAAAAGCAAAGAGACAGCAACACACACACACACACACACACACACACACACACACCCACACCCACCCACCCCTACTACTGCTTTAATTCCCCGGATCCTGCAATAGCCGGGGCTGAGCCACGCCAAAGCCAGGAGTCCAGCAGTCCATTCAGGTCTCCCAAGGCAGTCACAGGGACCCAAGTACTTGAGCCATCAGTCACTGCTTCCCAATGTGCCAGTTACCAGGAATCAAGAATGGGGAGCCTGGACCCAAACCTGGGTACTCCGATACCAGATGTGGGGTTCCCCAGCTGCATCCAGACTGCTGTACCAACCCCCTACTCCCCCTCCCCACCTCCACTTTAAACTCTTTGGAGAGTTAAATTCCTAAATAACCACCAGGGGCTGACATTGTGCTGCAGCCTGTTAAGCATCTATTTGCAACACCCGCATCCCATGTGGGAGCTCCTGTTCAAATCC